GTGCTGATACTTGCAGTATTCGTTCCCTTTTTGTTTTTCCTTCGAGTGAATTTTATGATCTATGGGCAGGGAGATGAAGTTTTCCTTTGAGAAGGAAAGCCAAAATTTCCTCTGTTTTTAAAGTATCAAAGGTGTACTGGATTGCGTTTAATCTTTTAAGCAGTTTTTCGGTCGAGCATATATAGTTACCAGCATTCTTCAATTCTGCCATCACTATGTCCAAGTCCCCAAAATAAGTCCCAGCTGTAATTCATCTGCGATAATCCTCTTTCTTGAGTAATTCCTCATAACCCCATACCCTGGCCACAAGTTCATAGAAATCTTGAAATTCCATCCCCTGGCATTTCTTTTGGAGCTCTATATCTAGCCCTGCCTGCGCTAGCTTGATAAATTTAATTTCTGGAAGCAACACATGGCACCTACTCCTCAGGCATTTGAACCTCACTAAGTATTCGTCTACTGTCTCTCCTGCCCGTTGTGTGAGCTTGTAGAGTTTTGCTATGCTAACTTCTGGCTCTGCTTTATAGAATTAGATGTGAAATTTTTGCTCCATCTCCATCCAACTGAAGATTGAGTTGCGAGATAGCAACGTATACATAATTAGCTTATGGCTCATGAGAGTATTTGGAAACAATCTCAGCTTTAAGTTAGCGAAGTTATCATAATTAGCAATTTTGCCGCACTGAATTGTGAATCTCCCAATGTGCTCTAGGGTTGATTGTGTACCGTCTCTTAAGAACAATGTGAAGTCAGGGATCTTGTACCCCCGAGGGTATGGGTTGTCCCTGTCTATATACTCTACATAAGGTCTTGAGAAAGTGGGGCAGCCGATTGGCCTCAACCCTGGTCCGTATATATCTTGAATGGCATCCCTTAGAGCCTCCATGTTCACCAGTTGGTTCTGAGGCTCGACCACATGTTTAGGGATCACCATCGTGCCCCCCGTGCCACTCATGCCAGGATCCTGTAGATAATACGAAGGATGGATTAACGAATGAGTGTGTGCAAATACTTGGTGGTTAGGAATGTCTCTTATAAGTGTGCGACCCCGATGGCCAGCACTTATATTGACTCCAGCTTGCTGCCCCCCAAGCAACCCTATGTTCGAGCTTGCTTCCTGATAAGTGCCTTTCAATGATGCGGCTATACTCTTCATGCCTTCATGCAGAACCTGCATCATGATCTGTTGTCATTCTTTCTCCCCGCGTTCTGATATTTCCAAGGATATTGCAAAGAACCTCTGGTTCTCTTCTAGCTGCTTATCCATTCGGTCTTGAATTTCCCACAGTACTTCTGCCACAGGTTCGTTGGATATGATCAGTGGGTTAGGTTGGCCACTTCCTGACTTGGAGCCAGGGCTCGTGCTGCTACTGCCTGTTATCACCGGCACTACGTGCTCATGATGATTAGCTGCTCCAACATCGGGCGATAAGTGTTCGATCCTACATGCGCAGAGATCCCTTCTGGTTCGTGAGAACCAACACCTGTTTCATCAGTCCTTTTATCTTTTCGCATCCTTGCCATCTTTGTTATACAGGTCCCACTAGGCGTGCCACAAATTGTTCATGATTGAATAATAAATACCAGGTGTGCCAGAGATGTTGGGTCTCAATAGATAACAAAAGGGTCTCAAGTGCTCTTACCACAATTTGCTCGGATATAAAATGATAGTAGGCTTTGATAGAACAAGTGTGTAATTTTATTAAAGCATTTGAAAATTACAGACTAAAAACTAAGAGCAGAAAAGGGCTAGTAAATGTAAATTATGTGAGTCTTGATCGAATGTTGAATGACTTTTCTATTTTTTCTTTTTTCTATTTATAGTGTCTGATAGCAGAAGCCTTTTTTTTGAGACTTAGCACGTTCCACTAAAGAATTAGGAATCCCATGAAACTTATGGCACGGCCTCTCTATTTTGATCAACAGCCCGTTTCACCGAACTACTTGGGCATAGATTTCGGTATTACTTAGGATCGTGTCTTCGTGCCAACGGTCTGATATTTGAAACTGACGGGATTTTGACATATTTATGTGTTGTGGACTTTATTGAGCTTCAAAGCCGGCCTCTTTGTTTATATTGAGCCTAACATTTCAACTACTTAGTCCAACTAGCCTCATGATCTATTTAAGTGACGTTTCATATTTAGTCCAAACACAAGGTAATGATTATATAGTAACTAAGGACCATCTGTTAGGGCTAGCTCATAATCATCTTTGGGCCAAAATTGCACTGCAAAGAATCCCTCCCTTACATTAATAGCCTCTACCTCACCTTGTTCCCCCACAGCTATTGCACTTTTGTTGACATATGGTTAGGGTTCACCATACAGCCTATCAACTTCATTATTAAAGAATTGATCCATTTCTTCATGAGTCACTCCTTCTCAACAAGAAGAATAATCACGTCAAGTCCTCTCTCAGTTATCCTCACAGTAATTCTCTTCTTCCATCTATCCCCCCACTCCACCAATCTTCCTCCTCCACTACTCCCTCAGGATGCTTCGTGAACACTTCCTTATACAATTTCCACTTCCTTCCAAGTCTGTTTGATTGAGTGCTACCATCTATGCACTCAAGTTTAAGCTCCTTCCTCACCCCGCAAATTTCTAATAACCTAAGCTTATGCATGGGTGGATTAGATATGGGTTTGTCTATTTAATAAACATTTATTGTGTTTAACTTGAAACTCATTATACAAATGAGTTATGTTTAGTCCCTAACCCGAAAAAAGAAAAAGAAAAAACCATACAGACTTCTACCAAATTCAACATTTAGTTAGCGTCAGAAAATGGGTTTAAGGTTTACTTCCAAATTGATCATTTTTTAAGCAGAAACTTCCACCAAATTCAACATTTAGTTAGTCATTTTTTATTATTTTTTTATTTTTTGAATTTTTTAAAATTAAAATTTTTAATTATAATATTTTATATTTTTTAAATACATATTACAATGTTCAAAGTTAAATAATAGACATTCTAATTTTAAAAAGTAAACATATATTTTAACATATAAAATTAATTTAAAAATTAAAAATATTTTACTTTTTATGAGTAAGAAAAAAATAGACTTGAACATGCTACCCAATTCTCTTTTTCAAAGGCTTAATAAAACTGAGCTTTAAAATTTGATTTCTTTAAAAAATACTATTTTTTAAAACCCAAACTCTTCATAAAAATGAGTTTATATTTTTTAAATGAGTTTATATTTTTTAAACACCAGGCCGACCCTTATTTCTAGATCTACATTTAGTTGATCCACTATCACCACTAATAACTTCTAATTTTCATCAATTTCTTAATGCAAACTCTATTTCTTCAAATGAGAGCCAGCATAGGTTTTCGGATGATGGAATAAGAGATTTTTGCATCAGCCAAACATTAACAGCTGAGGAAGGAACATGGCTTTCCCTTCTATAGCGTTGGTTTGTAGCAGCATTCTTCCTGTAACCAGCTGCCCACTAGACAACGCTCGGCATTTTTCCTATTTATTATGTTGGCAACATAAGCCAGCCTTTTAAGGGGAGAAAAAAGGAAGTGACATATAACGAAATCCCTTGCCACATTCCTTTGCTTGTTTTCAACCATAAATCTTAGAGCCTTGGAATCTTTATATCAAAACCCAACAGATCAAAGTAGGAAACTACTGTAATAATAAATAAAACAGCTTTGAAACAAATGGAACTCACGTATTAGTTGAGCAAAATGGTCGTCGCAAGAGAAAACAGAGAACATAGATTTTAGAGTTTAGACCTCAGCAACTTAACACATGGAAAAATAGCAGAGGAAGAACATAGATTTTAGAGTTTAGACTTCAGCAACTTAACACATGGAAAAATAGCAGAGGAAGAGTGTGAGGGCCAGGTGCCGGGAAGGCACACTTCGAGCCCAAGCAAATGCAGTTCAAGTTGAAGCCCGTGGAGATTGAGAATATGCGATGAAGCGTGAAGATGCAGTGCAGATGGAAATGAAGTCCAACGCAGATGGAAATGGAAGCGGGGAAGGCTAACCCTAAACACTGCCCAGCCTAACCTTTGGGCCAGGCGCGACTTTGCCCGCATTTCTTTCAGGCTGATTTTTTCTTATTCGATTTTCGGGCAACTAGCTCTACAAAGCTGATGTTTCCAAGGAGAGGCCAGATGATGGGGATTCAAACGCCAGTGGCAACCATGGAGAATACGGCCCTTCACAAGTCTCCATTTCTCGAGAACCGCTCCATCTATTTTTTGGACAAAGGACTAGAGTGGACAGTACATGTTGCCGGATGTTATGAGGGGAAACTTCGGCAAATTACCATGTCTCCCTGTCTTCTTGACCTTTTTCCTTTTGCCAATTACGTTTTCCCCCGAGAATTGCTGAGACAGCCAACAGCTAACGCTGCCACTATCATCCAGGTTTTCTGTCCACCGAATAAGCTTATATCTTTTTCTTTGGGTAATAAAAGGAAACAGACATTTACAACATCAGAATTCACTCAAAAAAAGGGGGAAAAACATCAGGTGCCTGAGACCATTAACTAAAACAAGCTCTTCTACCAATATTCACAAACTAATCTTCGCTTTCTTTTGCCTTTTTTGGCCTAAACTTGGCTTTGCTTTCACTGCAATCAAGCAAGATGCAACTGCCTCCAAAACTACAGCTACCTGTAACGACTAGCACAATAGACTCAACTTATGGTAGGGTAACGGCACACTTCCTAAGTAAAATGTCACAACTCTGAAAAATGCAAATGCATAAATGCACAAGAATGAAGGGACTTAGGCTGAGAATAAAGAGATAAAGAAATGCTAGTTTGACCCTCAGCAGACAATGGAATTGGAAGATGTCAGCTTGAGAGATTAAAAACTAATGTCCAGAATCATTGAGGAATCTCTTTCTTGATTCTTTCATTTATCATGCACCTCCTCCGAACAGATACTACATCAACCAATCACCAAATATTAAAACATGTACATTTTCTTTCGATGGAGATGCACCAGCACTCGAACATACAAAGACATTACATTTAAAAGAAAACACGAATAAGCCAGGGTAGATTTTGTTCATTATGTGTATTAACACTTAGAAACAGAGAGTATACATCAAACGACATCTGACCTTTTACCATCGTCCCTCCATTTCACTATGCCAGAAACACAAAATCCCAAGTCTAACTGCTTATCCTATCAACTTCAAAGTAAAGCCACGCCTAAAGAGATTCAACCCAAAGAACCCTACCATTCTCAAAACATAAGTTTAAAATTATAGAAAAAAGCGAATCGCATAACAATAAGCAAATTCCACCCATCACGGCACCACAAAAAGATCGGGTTGAGACATTAGAGTGCATACAACAGGCTCAGCGAGCACCGGTTGGGCAGTCCCTTGCAAAATGCCCCGACTCCCCGCAGGTGTAACAGCCTCCTCCGCCGCCGCCGCCGCTTCCGCCATACCTGCCTCCACCGCCGCTGCCGCCGCCTCCCTGGTAGCAATCCCTAGCCAGGTGTCCAACCTCGCCACAGTTATAACAACCCCCGCCGCCGCCGCCGCCATATCCACCACCGTACCCACCACCTCCTCCGCCTCTTCCACCACGACTAGTACCGTAACCGCCGCCACCGCCGCCATACCCACCGCCATAGCCACCACCTCTGCCGCCACCGTAGGATCTGTTCCCCCCAGCACCGCCCCCACCGCGTCGGCTCCCCTGAACATCGGACTCAGCGGGGCCGGTGACATCAACAGCCTTGGTACGGCCACCGGAGTCGGACTCGATCAGAAACTCGACAGACTCTCCATCGGCGAGACTGCGAAACCCCTCAGACCGGATCGCAGATTGGTGGACAAAGAGGTCTTCACCGCCATCGTCAGGAGTTATGAAGCCAAAACCTTTCTGGTCACTGAACCACTTCACCTTTCCAGTCACCCTCTCACCCATCGCTCCTCTGATCTGCTTCTCCCGTCTCTGGTTTTGGCGCTTGGGCCAGAATTGCAGGGAGGCTGTACTTATATGCAACAATCAGAAATAGGGTTCGACTTGTCAGTACCGGCCCGCGATCAAATATTAAATATTAAATCGCTGATTAATATCACCGTGTTTTTTGTGGGCCCTCATTTTGCGACCAGCGGTGATCCAAGTGACAGTGACGATTTCAGATTCGCTGCAGAGGTATCCAACGGCCAGAGATCTCAATTTATTGAGCACTGAGCGTTGGATTGTTAATTGTACCACGAGATGCTGATTGGTAGGGGAATCGTCCACGCTGATTTCCCGATCCTTTACAATTTGATTTGATTAGGAGTTTAAATCATAGTGATGCCGGAAGAGTTACTTAAAGTTAAATAAAAGTAGTGAGTAATATTAATGTTAAGTAATTATTTAAAAAAAGTAGTAATTAATTATGATAAAATTTACAGAAACCTTAGTAATAAGAATTAAAAAATAGAATAAATTTTTGTAATTGAAAGGAGAGCGTCTTTACTGTAGCTGTCGCTCCGCCACTGGGTGATCTCCAGTAACGCCGTTGCTGAACCGTTTTGAAAGCATAAAAGAGGTCTTGATTCCTTTTGATAGCAGGATTTTCATGTTGAAACAAGCGTGAGGATTAGTTTCATGTTTGCCACTCTCGTGTGGCTGGCAATTCTAGCAATGGCAATATGTCGCGAATGGTTTCAAGAGCAAGATGGATAAAGCAGCAACGGAATCGCGTTGCTGGGAGAGAAATGGCATTTTGGCTGTTGTGGTGCGAGCTCTGATATAAGCCCCAATGACGACGACCTAAACCTAGCTTCTTTGAGGATTGCAAATTCACAACATGTTGCACGCTTTCCGGGTCTCTCCCACCATCATAGATCCTGACCCTTCGCTGTCCCTTCCTTCCCTCGGCAAATGGATCATCCATTACACAAGTTGTAACTCCTTCGTGACATTTACCGACGCTTTCATCTAATTTAGACAATCTAAGTTTTAGGTTGTGCCGTTTCTGTTTCCTCCCTTATCTACTGATTGATAAAAAGAAAGGCTTTCTTACGGATTAATCTAAACAAGTCTGGTGCGTGCTTTTCTCCATGCTTAGGTGCCACGTTCCATCGCATATATATATATATATATATCATCAATGCTTGCCTATTCCCTCTCATCTTTGTCATCCCTCATTTCCATTCTCTCTCTTTTCAAAGCTCACTTATCCTATGTATCCCGCTTTCAACATAAGCATAAAATTGAATTAGTGTTAATCATGCAGCAAAAACCCTGCTTAGTGATGGCTTGCATTCATATACACGCTACAAGCCAAGGTAACATCAGACTCGGATATGTGCTATAAGATTACTTTTATCCTAATTAGTTCAAAGCATGGATTACACTGAGTGGTGAATCAATTCCCAGGTACCTTGAAAGATCTCAAAGCAGGGAAGCACCGCCTTCAATCTGAAATATAAGTAACATTAACAAAGGAATCATCGCCCAGGGCCGACGAAACAGTACACATACCGCGGGCAGATTGTGTTCTGTTACCAGCACTGATCTGTCTCCCATTTATGTCCAGCCTGAGCACGTCTTTGATGATAACCTGACATGGAATCCATATTCTGCGAAGGGAGAGATGAATACTCAAGAGATATTCTGTACCTGCAAAGCTGTCTGTCATATTGAGCACGCTTATCAGGGTCTGACAGTGTTGAATAGGCTGAGTGAATCTTCATGAACTCGTTTGCTGATTTCGCCTTGTGATTCACAGCCACCACATCAGGGTGATATGTTCTTGCAAGCTTTCTGTACGCACTCTTTATTTCTTGGCAGCTCGCCCCCATTGAAATCCCTAGCACATCGTAAAATGAAGCAGGAGAGGCCATCTCTGTAGCAGGAGAACAGAGTTTGATAAAGGAGACAGAATAAAAGATGTGGAAATATGGATAGCTCCACTTAAACTAGGCTTCAATGGGGACTGAGCTTATATAGAGCCCAGTGTTCGATTGAAGAATACTGACATTTCATCTATAGACTTACTATTTTTCTTTTCCTAGTTCATTGTACATTGACTTTTATGGATTTAAAATAATTAAATTTACTTTTCTTTTGTGACATTATTTTTGGCATCCTTGTAACGGCATGTACAGGTTTACCCATTCTGTAGAAAACGTGAAGTTGTACAGTTTAACATGCGTGGAATCCGCATTCAATGTGAAACGACAATTAACAAATGTTCTTTTCTTGATAGTGAGCAAAAGTGATCAATTCAAGCTTGAAAATGGGGTTAGGAATCCGAATTGCTCATATTTATTGTAGAAAAAAAATTAAATATAATAATATTATATAAAAGAATTGCAAGTCCGTTGGACAAAAAATATAAGTGAATAGTGTGTATATTTTTTCCCTGGAAGAAAAAACTTAGCAAGAAATAACTGCAAAAATTCTCTCGCACATCACACATAATAAAATTTTGATGATTGGCATTGGATCTAGAAATAGCATGATTTCACAATACCAAATTTTACTCCCAAGTATTTTTTTTCTTTTTTTCGTGCGTGATGATTGCTGCGTGGAATAGGGAATCTCATTCTCATCCAGAGATGGAAACTTTAGGATAAATATTGGGAGGCAGAGTAATCTTATTCTTATCTGATCGCAGTGGCAGGGAATAGTGCCAGCACACAGATCTAAATCTTGCTATAGAATACAAGGGACACCCTCATTTGAAGAAGGTAAATAAGTAATCAATCCAGAGAAAGAAAAGAACACATATTCTCATAGGAGAAAAGAACGATTAGAAATGAAGAGATTGATGACAAGACTCCTTACTGAAAATTTTACATCTCTAAGCTACCCTGATGCACGTGTGCTGCAATAATTCATCTTTCCAGAATATTTTTGATATTCAAACTAAACCTTATGATACCCTTAATTGTCATGCTCCCCGAACCTTATCCTTTTCAACGCCACATATGCACGATCTTATATTTGAGCACTCTCGTCTTGCATTATGTGACAGAAAGCACTGGTCTAGATTCTGGCTTCTGAACTTTTGAATTCTGATGATAAATCCAGGACTCATCTTAAAGAAGATTCAATTTTTATACATAATAATAAACAAAAATGTGCCGCCAGAAACCATGATTTGTAATCAGGTTCACGTTCACTGATTCACAACAGTTTTTATCTATTGAAACTTGGAAAACTCTGCTGCTGTTGCAGCAAAAGTAGAGAATGTATGTAAGTAAAGATGAAAGAAAAAGTAAGGAACGCTCAACAGTTGTTGCTAGAAACTGGTTAATGGACCTGTGCATTATTTTAATTTTTTAATTTTTCTGCTAAGATAAAAGGTATGAGCAACGTAAAGGTCTCTCTCTCCTTTTTTTTTTTTTAATTACTCTTCCTTTTTCATGTGAGGAAGACTTCCACAGTTTTACCCCTCTAAGAGAAAATGACAAATAAAAAACTTGACAAATTAAAAATTGTAATACTGAAAAATGATAAAAAGAATATTAAAATTTTAAAATATTAAAAAGTCTTAATTTAATATTAATGTTCTAACAAAGTCTCTATTTATCATTCTCACCCTTCAAAAACTCAAACTAAATCTTAAACATGATCTATTTTTCCTTTCAGAACTTCACATTTTCTTAAAATTTGACACGCTAAACATGATCTCGCCTAATTTTTAACAGTACCACGTTAAGCACAAAATCAATTTTTTTTCATATGGTTTATGCGAGAAGATCTCATACATCTTGCATGATAGAATTTCCCACAAGCATAAAAAGCTAGAAGGAGAAAATCGGCTCAATTTCACATCAAATCCTTATGTTTTTGTAAAAGGAAAAACCTAGTTTGTAAAATAGAAATTACGTCGACAAGTCTAATTGCTTCATTTAGACGTTTAAAAAGTAGCTTCCAAATGATCTAAGGTTTAATGCTTTTTTTGAATGTGAATGTGATGTCAATGAAGTTGATTACATCGAGAAAAGATGGAAAGAAGGTATGCACAAGAACTGAACTGGGAATATAGATAAGTTCAGGCTATCCCTTGAATTCTTGCATGAGTAAGACCAACACATGCATCGACAAAATCCTCGTCTATGAAATCCGTAGAAAATATCTGTAGCCTATCAGCACATCCATGGGAGAAGCACAGAGCGATGAAGAGCCTAGCATACCCACGTATCCTCTCCGTCACAGGTTTCACGTGCAGGATCGGGTTATCCGGCACCGGCGTCACCGTATTCTCCACCCTATAAAAATAGTTCCTCGACGCCAGCGGTGGTTGCTCCCTCAAATGCTTCATATTGCTCTCGAATTTAGTCGACGGCAAGTCTGTGTTGATCCAGTCATCCCTCAAATATCCTGCGCTCCACAGGGCCCCCCCTGCTTCTGGCTGACTGAATTTTCTCGGCCTCCAAACACATAGGATTCTCCCGGGTAAAACCTCGGCGATCGTCTTCTTAAACACATTATCATGCTGATGAATCAGAAGCTCCCCCAGTTGATCCACCAGGTATACATCGAATCCAGGTGGGTCCCTGTGCCCAATCTCCGTTCTAATCTCAAGAATTATGATCTCTGACTCTGTTTCGGAGAGGAACTTTTTAACATCATCCATCACAACATGAATTCCGTACGTGATCAGAATTCCGTGACAGGCATTGCCATTCTCATCAACCCGGATGTCAAGCACTCGCGTGCCCATCGCGAGCTGGTGATAGACCGATAACGTTTGGCACTGTGCAAAAGGGCGGGAGATAAAGGGGATGCCGATTTTGTCGGTTGCGGAATCGTGGGTTCCAGGCCAAACGATTTTATGGATGCGAAGATTTTGTGGGTTGAGAATGGACATCCAGTTTTTTCTATCCAGGGGGTGGTAACGAGAACCGGGGAAGTCTTGGCCGGAAAGTTTAAGATCAGAGAGGGTTCTGTCTTGGATTTCGAGTGCGTTTCGTCTTTCAATCTGCGTGGCAATCACGGAACCCATCTTCTACTTCGGACGTGGGAGAGCAAGAGTTTTCGCTTATTTTGCCTCTGGGATTAGGCATGCTAAATTGCATAGCTTGCATATCTTTTTTTGTTGGATAACAAAAGCCTGTGCCTGAATCGGTTCGATTCTTTTCGCCATTGCTTTCCAATCCATTCAATCTTCAATCTTCAATCTTCAATGATGTTCCTTTCGTGTGTATTTGCCATAATGACCCATCTCTCCTCTCCCCCCCACCCCCACCTTTTTTTTTTTTGTAAGAACAGGTTATTCCCCTAATCCTCTTTTTACGTAAAGGAAAAGGGACGCAACACGCGAGAATAAAGGGATTATGCTAAATTTATATCCATTCCGTCATCATAAATAAATAAATTTAGTAATTAATAACAATTATTAGGTTTTTTCCCACAAATATCAATTAGAAATTATTAGGTTCAATTTATATTCACTCACACCATTAATATTATCTCTTCTTGTGTGGATTTGAATTCCATAATAATATTTAGTGGACATAAGTGAGTTTATTAAATTTGTTAATTTAAATTTTAACAGCTCAACTGATAAAAATACTAAAAACATTTAGTATCTGTATTAAATATAATCATTAAATCTAAATTTTTATTTATATAAGGTTAATAAACTCACTTATTCTGCCTCTCAAATAAGCTCATTCAAGTTTCACTTGATTTACGAGTTAATTAATTAATTTATTTACTCGTAATTTTTATGTGTTTGAAAATTGAGAATGTGAGTATACATTATATTTAAATAATATCAAATTTTTTATTCTCATTTTATTCTTGAAGTATTTTAAGCAATTGAATTGTCAATAAGCCAGATTTTTTTGTTTGGTATATCAAAATTAGGTAAAGGTAAACGAAATTAGAATTGGAATTTAAGTTAATGAAATGTTTGGTATGGATGAATCTTATTCTATGTAGGATCCAATTCCATAAAAAGTCCCAAAATTGGTTCCCATCATCAACCCATAGAATCAAGTCACTATTCACTTAATCCATTCTTTTTCCCACCCTTGCCCTCATTATCACTTCGCCTTTTGATCTCCTCAAAGGAACGGACAAAAGTAACGCATCGTCTCACATCCTCACATGCATGCATGCAAGCCTTGGGCCTACTTCTTCAGAAGCCCATAAATCTAGTCAAAGTTATTTGTTACTAGTTGTTACGATTTTCCCGCTGTGATACCCTGTTATGATATTTGTAAATATAGATAGATATTTTGTAGATATGAGATCCCAATCAATGAATGAATTGAGTCTATAAAATCTCTATCGATATTTACATATTTACAAATATCATAACAAAGTATCACAGCGGAAGTATTGTGACAAATAGCTTTAACTAGATCTATGGGCCTTGGAGAAGTGGGTCCAAGGCTCGCATGAATGCATGTGAGGATGTGAGATGCTGCGTTACCTCAGTCCATTCCTTTACTCCTCCCACGTACAATACACCAACATGCTAAGTAGCTGCCAGGATTTTATCACCACCCAAAATTATCATCACCCCCATGGTAGCTCTTTGTCGGATTTCTTGCCGCTGAAGTGAAAGGCACCGTCGGCACTGATACGTTCCTGAGTTTTTGGTTGTTTTGTTAGCAGTGAAATCAACCTATTACAGACACTTGCTGCTCCAACAAGCCAAGATATCCAAATCCTGACGCGGTGGGGCTCTGCTTCAATCAGAAATAGGCATTGAGAGATCTTCAGGTCGGAGCTTCATTTCAATCGAGCGAGGATTTGACTTATAGACTTGGTAATCGAACAGAGAATGAAGAAGAAATAGACGCGCTCTTAGCTTCTTCATCTTGCAAGTTATCAAGTTCAAGCATTTCAAGGTCGAAGGTAAGGTGGGTGATCAATTATCAAGATGAAGGAATAATATAAAAACATGCTCTTTTCTGGTATATCAATATTAATAAAATGCATTTTGATCAAAAAAAAAAAAATCAATAGAATGCATCTCCCGTTTGATTTTATTTGACGCTATTAATTATTTTTGAGATTTATGAATAAAAGATAGAAGAATCACGACGATCGTCAGAGTGGAGAAGATGGAAGAGGGGCAGCAGCTGAAACGTTCTGGTGACTTGATCACAACAGTCATAAGAGATGGGGAAAGGTGGAAGAGATGACGGGAGGGGGGGGGGGAGTCGATCAGTGTGAGGGAGAGGGTAAAATAGAACAAAGAACCGATTCTATGGAATTGAATGGATTTCATGGGTCATAATAAGGAATCCAATGGTGGGACTTCTGATAGAATCAAATTTCATGAGAAACATGGATAAGACATACCAAACATGTCTAAAGGAGGAATACATTAATTCCTGATTCCATTTCTCTCTTCCTAACTCCAGCATACCAAACTTAGAATTGAATGGTTACGTAACTTATTTTGCGTTCATTTCACTTTGCAAGCAACCCATCACCCTCACGAGCATGGTATAGTGAAGTGATCTGGCGTGCGTGTGTTCATGCACTCAATTAACGAGTCGACTTTTAGACCTCCTCGTGCTTACACGGTGCATGCATGGGGTTAAAATGGCAGCTGCGCTCCCGCTTTTAAGGCAAATATCCATCCAACGAGATTTAGACAAAAAATTATCATGGTGTCAAGTCTTGAATGTGAATTAATGCAGCAACTTTTTAGTTATCAGAAGAAGTCACGGGGAAGGCTGTGCACATTAAGTTCCGCAGAATCTTTCCAGGCAGTCTCGACGAGGCGCATTTGTGTGAATAACTGATGTATGCTGTTGCCATATGCAACCCAAAAGTTTTTTGTTATTATGTTTACAAATATATAGGACATTTAATTGAAAGAAACATGTATATAGGACAAGGACTACATACATACATATATATATATATGATATGACATGTACGTTACGTCGTGATTTAATGGCCATGCTCCAGTTTGTTTTGGCATGAAAAAGTTGCTTTTTTGGTCTCATGCGGCCATCACAACAGGAAGGAGGGAGAATGATAAATAAAGACTTTATAAAAATATTAATATTAAATTAAAAATTTTAGCATTGAAACATAATAAAAGGAGTACTAAAATTTAAGGGCATTAATATTAAAAAATTTTAATTTAATATTAATGCTCTTATAAAGTTTTTATTTGTCATTCTCCTTCGAAAGGACCAAGAGCCAAGGCGCCAATAGTAATAACAATATTGTCACAGTACACAGGCATGAGGCATGGCTATACATTGTGGCAATACCACCACAAGTTATGTCCTTCGCCGTCTGATTTATATTTTTGTTAGCAAGCTTTTTAGGTTGGATAAAAATATTTACCCAGTCGATTTTGATGGTCACATGTAGCAAATTTAAGTAGCTGTAATTGCGCGGTAGGTAGAGACTGCTACGTGCTGTTAGTATGGCTTTCTGTTGAAGGACGAAAGTTACTATACGTTGAAACCGTATGTGATATATATATATACTGAACATATATTGTAGAAATTATTTTAATTATATTAGACTCAGTAACTTGAATTTTTAACGGGGATCGGCGTCCAATCACTGGTTCCTAATTTTAAGAGATACTTGTAGCATTTTTATAGATCTGTGACTTGGTGGAAATACATTGTATATCATGCGCTAAGTATACACTTCTTTTAAATTAAAAGAGATTCTTTCTTAATAGATTTTAGACAAAAAATATAACGTTTTTATATTGAAGTCTTGGAAAATGGGTGTCTCCATTTTTTAGAGTTTCAATTGGGGACAAATTATATCATAGTCAATCATCAATGTAGCTATAAATTTTGGGTTCTTTGGATTTATTGGCCCGGTGACGAAAGTTTGATTCCCTTATTTGAGAGAAGGGTGGTGAAGAAATTCTTACCGTACGTATATAGAATCTAACTGTAGGCTTTCATTTTCTTTTTTCCTCTCGAGTTTTTTCTTAAATGGAGGCATTCCCTTGGCAATTTTCTGGGCAATATGTTCATTGTAAACATACACAGGATCAAAAAGTTATTGGAGTGCCATTGATAATGAATATGCTCATCAAGAGAATACTGCCCTAAAACCTAAGAATTTCCCAAGGTTGGCACACCTGGCTTGTAAAATGAATACACTGTCAACAGTAATCTATCAAAATAATTATCTTCGCTCAGACATCATTGCGTCGTTCCTAACAAGACTCATATTCAAGACCCTGGAATCGCCCGTATCAATATTCAAATAGCAATTGGAGCTCCATCCACTCAAGAGAGATTAATTGCACCGCTCTTCTTCTCAATTTCTGGTACAAAAAATGGTATGGATCGTCTAAACGTGAAGCATGCACCGGATATTAGAGATTCCAGAGCAATAGTTTTTTGGGGTGAATTTATGAAAATGCGGTTCAAATGAATCTAACTTAAAGAAACAAGAGAGAATGAATTAAAATCTCCAAACAACAAGTTTATAACAATTAGGTTCTGACAAAATTTTTTGAAAAAAAATCAAGTATGAGTATTGTCTTAGGCAATTATAAATTCAAAAGTTATAATTATAAATATAACATTTAAATTTTAAATATAACTTTTAGTTTATAATTGAGATTATCTTTGTAATTATTTGAATTAATATTTACAACTTACTCTTTTTTAAAAATATATCAAAATTCAACTATTATAAAATTTTTATTTTAAAATTTTATTGTCATTCTCTCAGAAAACAATTGGAAGGCCTACAGGTGGCATGAAATGAAACTATTATATTCATAGGAGTAAAAGTGTCACTTCATAATTATAAGAGATAATTATATTTAAGAATCATTTAAAAAAATTATTTACAAATAAAAATTAATATTTAATGTATGTATTGGTTTTTTTTTGAAATAATAATGTATTGTTATTAAAACTAGAACATAACTTTTTCTTAAATAAAACTTATTTAAAACTTATTGTTAGTTCTTGTTTATAAATACTCCCCCCATCTTAAATTATAAGACACTTTTAAAAAAATTTTTCTATATCAAAATATAAGACACTTTAAATAGATTAAAATTTTATTAAATACGTCAATTTTAATATTATTTTTTTTATAATTAATTTTCATTCTTTTTTTTATTATATTAAATTATAAATATTTTTTAAATTTATATTTATATTTTAAAAAGATAAAGATGTTAGATATATTTAATAATATTTAATAATATATAAAATTTTATTTAAAAATATTTTATAATTTAAAATGGAGGGAGTAATTTATTTAAGTAGTACTTAAATGTAGATCTCTTTTACTATAAATTTATATTATATTTTTCATTTTTTTTTTCATTCTTTATTCGTTTTCATCCACACCATCTTATAGGGGTGCTTCCCGATACTCGCATCTCTATTACTATCCACCGTTCGATCTTTCAAATCCCCCGACTCATCGTAACCCGTCGATCAATTTTACCGGAAAGTGGAAACACGAGGTTAGCAGATAAGAGCTGGGGAGGGAGGTCCTTTCTTTTGACTCTTCCATCTAACCCACACTGAGGCCTTTGTATTCTCTCTTTCATTTCTTTCTCGCCAGGCCATAACCAGGTTAGCTCCTCTGATATTGCGACTCTAATTGAATGCTTGCTTTTCTTGATTATGCAAAACCCTAATAGAAACTAATCCCGCCCGCCCCTGCACTGAGGATCTGCTATTCATGGGCCGTTCTATTAATTAATTACGTCGAACCGTACAGATCCATTTTTCCTGGTTTTGTAGCTTATCGTGCCATCATTTTAACGTTTTAATATATGTTGTCCATTTCAATTCATTATTGAGGCTTGTGATTGTGATTCGTCTGAATAATGGTTGCGCTTCCTTTCCATCCCCCGCTTCTATCACAGACTCATCGATAACTATGTTTCTTGGTTCTTCGTATCTATTATTTTCCTGTGAATCTAGGACTGGAAGCATCATTGAGTATTTGTCATGGATTATGGTGCTGAGCCTTCTAATGGATATCACGAGATAGAGAGGAAGAGCGTGGAAGATGAGGCTTCTCCGGATGCTAGTATAGGGCCTGCCGAATTGAAGGATTTGAAAACAGAGGAGATGTCGGAGGAGGCAACAGAAGGTCTAGAGCATTCCCATGATCGGGGAGTGAACAACTGTCCCAAGGATAATATTGTCGGGGATGACGATCCTTCTGATGCGGTCAGTGCTCCGGTTTCTAGTCTTTTGCATGAAAATCCTGATGCACCACAAGAGGCTGAGAACTTTGAGGAGGCGGTTTCCGTTTCTTGTGAGTCTAGCGACCACATGGAGGGGGCGGCGGAAGTAATTGTTAATCAGAGGGTAGATGAGCACGGCGAGGGACTTGATGGCATTCATTTGGATGGAATTGACTCTGGGGAGACTGTAGATGGTGTATTGCACGAGGAATCATACAGTATAGGGAAGGATCAATTGGAGGGTAGAGATGGGCATGCTGGAAAGGAGGTATCTGAGTTAAACGGGGACGTAGTTGTTAGGGAGAATGCTTGCATTTCGAGCATCAACCCTGGTTTAGTGACTGAGAAGACTGAAAATGAGGAGTTTTTGACTCCAAGAGCAAACGTTGGTCTAGTCTTGGAAGATGAAAGTGGGGACAGGGTGGATAATGTTGTTTCTGAATCTCATACAGAATCTGAACCAGGTGAGAAGATTCTGGATGAAGGTGCTGGTTCTAAGGCTGAGAATTTGGAGGAGAGTATTGAGGATAGTGTATTTTGTCATGGCAAGACTGAGGAGCAGTTGAATGCTTCACGTAATCCTCATCATGAAATTGAAGATAATAGAGGTGAAGAAGTGCATGGCAACTCAGCTCATATGGATGCAGAACATCAGGTTGAAACAACAGGGGATGTGAATTATGAAGTCCATGGCACTGATATAATCCACGAGAATAACGATAGTGAAAGATTGTGTATATCTGGTGGTAATAGTACTGAATGTGAAGATTATTGCAATTTTGTTACAAAGGATACTACAGCTGGATCAGACTTAGAACATCAGAAGGCTATTTCTGAACTGGGAGAAGCTCCTCCCAATCTACTTGAATCTGTGGGGGAAAGGGATATGAATCTGGATGCTGGAAGCTCATGTTTAAAAAATTCTTCTCCTGATGAGAAAAGTGTTCAAGCTACAGCAGCTGAGCTTATTGAAGGAACTGACAAAGGTTGTCTACTTCAGAAGGATGAAGGAGAATTTGGTGGAGGAGGCTGTGACACCTCCCCTGTTGTTGAGGAGCCGGAAAAATTACAGGAGAAGAATATCAAAGAGAAGCATGTCCCTCAGATCACTCAGGAACAGAATGTTCAGCATGCTGGAGAGCCTGTTTCTTCAACTGGAAAACCAGCTGTTACTAATCCATCTCCTGTTCATCCTGCTGGCCTTGGGCGTGCTGCACCATTATTGGAACCTGTGCCTAGGGTAGTGCAACAGCCTCGAGTAAATGGTTCCATGTCTGGTATCCAGTCACAACAAATTGAGGACTCCTCAAATGCTGAGGCCGAGGAGAATGATGAAACTCGTGAGAAACTTCAGATGATTAGGGTGAAGTTTTTACGGCTGGCTCACAGGCTCGGACAGACTCCACACAATGTTGTCGTAGCACAAGTTTTATATAGACTAGGATTGGCTGAGCAGCTTAGAGGGAGAAATGGGGGCCGTGTTGGTGCTTTTAGTTTTGATCGTGCTAGTGCTATGGCTGAGCAGCTTGAAGCGGCGGGTCAGGAGCCTCTTGATTTCTCTTGCACAATAATGGTTCTTGGAAAAACTGGAGTTGGTAAAAGTGCCACAATCAATTCTATTTTTGATGAGGTTAAGTTCAATACTGATGCTTTTCATATGGGAACAAAGAAAGTGCAGGATATTGTGGGAACTGTGCAGGGCATAAAGGTACGAGTCATTGATACTCCAGGGCTTCTACCTCCATTGTCAGATCAACGACATAATGAGAGGATCCTTCACTCTGTCAAACGCTTTATCAAGAAAACACCACCAGATATTGTGTTGTATCTTGATAGATTGGACATGCAGAGCAGGGATTTTAGTGATATGCCTCTGTTACGCACAATTACAGAGATTTTTGGGCCATCAATATGGTTCAATGCTATTGTGGTTTTGACTCATGCAGCATCAGCTCCACCTGATGGGCCTAATGGTACAGCCTCTAGCTATGACACGTTTGTCACCCAACGTTCTCTTGTCGTGCAACAAGCCATTCGTCAAGCTGCTGGAGATATGCGGCTCATGAATCCTGTATCATTGGTAGAGAACCACTCTGCATGCAGAACAAATAGGGCTGGCCAGAGAGTGTTGCCGAATGGCCAGGTTTGGAAACCTCACTTGTTGCTTTTGTCTTTTGCATCAAAAATTCTTGCCGAAGCAAATGCTCTTCTTAAGTTGCAAGATAGTCCACCTGGAAAAGCTTACACAGCTCGCGCTAGAGCTCCACCATTACCTTTTCTACTGTCATCCCTTCTGCAGTCAAGACCACAGTTAAAGACACCAGAGGAGCAGTTTGGCGATGAAGACAGCATTGATGATGAACTGGATGAGTCATCTGATTCTGATGATGAAACAGAGCTTAATGACTTGCCACCATTTAAACCTTTAACAAAGGCCCAACTGGAAAAACTGTCTAAAGCTCAGAAGAAAGCATACTTTGATGAATTGGAGTACAGAGAAAAGCTTTTCATGAAAAAACAATTGAAGGAAGAAAAAAAGCAGCGGAAGATGATGAAGAAAATGGCAGAATCTGCAAAAGATTTGCCAAGTGACTATAGTGAAAATGCAGAAGAAGAAAGTGGCAGTGCAGCTTCTGTACCTGTTCCTATGCCAGATTTAGCTTTGCCTGCTTCTTTTGATTCTGATAATCCCACTCATCGGTATCGGTATCTTGATTCATCCAACCAGTGGCTTGTGAGACCTGTCCTTGAAACTCACGGATGGGATCATGATGTGGGTTATGAAGGAATAAATGTAGAAAGGTTGTTTGTTCTCAGAGACAAGGTACCCTTGTCTTTCTCTGGTCAGATTTCAAAGGATAAAAAGGACGCTAATGTCCAGATGGAAATAGCCAGTTCCATAAAGCATGGGGAAGGGAAAGCAACTTCATTAGGTTTTGACATGCAGACCGTTGGGAAGGACTTAGCTTATACTTTACTTAGTGAGACAAGGTTTAGTAATTTTAGGAGAAACAAGGCGACTGCCGGGCTCTCCTTCACTTTCCTGGGTGATTCATTTTCGGGTGGAGTCAAAGTTGAAGATAAATTGGTTGCTAATAAACGGTTCAAGGTGGTTTTAACTGGGGGTGCAATGACAAGTCGTGGTGATGTTGCTTATGGTGGCAGTTTGGAGGCTCAATTGAGAGATAAAGATTATCCTCTTGGACGCTCGTTGTCAACACTTGGTCTATCTATTATGGATTGGCATGGGGACCTTGCGGTTGGCTGTAATGTACAATCACAGATCCCTGTTGGAAGGCATACAAATGTCATTGCCCGTGCCAATTTGAACAATAGAGGAGCAGGACAAATCAGTATTAGATTAAATAGCTCAGAACAACTTCAAATTGCTTTGATTGGGCTTGCCCCTTTACTTAAGAAGCTTGCTGGTTGTGCTCAACAGAAGCAGTTCGGACAATGACGACAATGATAAAGTTAGCTTTTGTATGCTGCGACACTTGCAGGGCAATACCATTAGGAATAACTTCTAAGATAGCATGTCTTGCTGGATACCATGAAATGAGTGATGCTAAGTTGCTTCTTGTGTTTTATACCCACAAGTATCTTTTCTTTGATCTTAGTCTTTGTAGCTTCCCTTCTTAGATATTCACTTCCAGTATTTTTTTTTTTTTTTACATTTTGCTGTTGGAGTCCAAGCAATGCTTCTTTTGATTGATGTCTATCTTATCTGCCTGAGTGTGAATTTGTTGTTGTCATCTTATGATGTTATCCCTTGGCTTTCATGCGTGTTTCGATAATTTTTTTACCCCCCAAGAGCAATCTTTTCTCGTTTGTCGTTTCTTTATGGTTCCTGGAGAGATATACATATACATATATCCCGTGCCTTAAAAGACAGTGCAGGCCACAGCTTTTCTTGTCACTATATATCTACTCTTGGGCCGTGGCGAACGCCCGAGGAATACTGTTGTTGAATGGAGAGGCAAACAGACTCTGGGAAGGAGAATAGAAGTTAGCGTTGAATGCGGACATGATCATCTGTGTGTTTTTTTTTTTTTCTTGTTATTATGCTGCATTTGTCTGTTTTGCTATTACCAAACGCCTGGCCATCTCATTTAGGATGTCCGATGAGCTTTTTCAATACAAATATGAATAAGCTAATTTTTTTTATCGTAAATTAATTCTAGATTTAAATTAATACCAGTTCGTTGACGGTTTGATGACTCAAAATAAGCTGCTTGCACGTCATAATCCAATCGAATAAGATGATAATAAAGTTCTACTTCCCCTGGATATTTCTTTTAACCAGAGGTGGTGCATTCAATTTGGTCTCGAAAATCGAAAGAGTGCTGATTCAACAACAGTTAAATGCCCTGCGGGTTCTCAGTTGCATGGCTGAGGCTACCTGGTAATGGAAAATGTGCAGCGAAAATGATGAGTTAACCATTTTAAACGCAATCTGTGGCTCGTGTAATACATGGAGTTCAAGATTAATTGTACTGTTTCTGGCTTATAAATAGTTTGTATTTTTTTTTTAGATTTCATATTATATGTATAAATGATTGGTTTGTGTTGTCTGTGAAACATCTTATTATTGTAAAGAGGTCATGTGGAAGGACCTTCCAAGTAAGTTCCTAAGAATCTTTTGACGCAGTGCCTAAGTTGTTGTGCTTGTGTGAATAATTGATCTTATGGTGTTGCTTTATGCAACCTTAAATAGTGGATTAACATTAAGAACGTTGGGAGTGCAGGACGAGGGCAATGTGCTTCATAACTCGAAAGACATCTTTCGCAATTATTTTGGGTCAATTGCAATGTGCTTTGCCTAGAAGATTCCTGATCTCGGCTGAGTTAAATGATACACGTGAGCAGACTTTGTTTTTTTATTTTTGTTTTGCTGTGGGTTTGTTTGGGTTAACAACAATACGAATGGTCAGTTTTAGGGGAACGTTGCATCAAGCTATTAGCTCAACAAAAAGCATTGGGCACTCAGGACGAAAGATTGTGATCCCAAGTCGTTTCTCTTCTGTGAGAAGTGTCCAAATGTTTTATAATGCAAAATAAGTATATATATATATATATATATATATATATAGTAATTTATTTTGGTAAAATATCAATTTATTAATTAAAACAGGAGTAATATATAATTACTGTTACATCAATATATAATCACCAACAATGCATGATCAATATAAAGTATAAAATAGTATTACATCCAGATCGAGTGGCAATTTAAGACGTAACTCAGTGCGGTAAAAAGTGCGGTTAAGATAAACAGAATAGATTCAGTGCGCAGCACATTCAAATTAATGAACATGAATCACCGTGACGTTATAGGCAACAATGGCATCGCCGGTGGCGGGGTCGAACCAATGAGTCTGGGCCAGAGCGTAGCCTCGCGCCAGCCGGAATTTCCCTGTTCCACCCACGACCGGCATCTCGCGGACGGGGTTCATGGCCGAGTTCTTACCCAAAATGCTGACGGAGCTTCCATCCGTGAAGGAGAAGCTCATGGACATCAGCAGGCCCAACTCCTGCTGACACGCCGACGTATAAAGGCCCTGGGCCCGGCCCACTAGCTTGGAATTCGGGTCGGGCGTCTCTGCCAAGGGGTCGTCGGCCATCATGACGACTCCGAAAAGGGTGGTGGATTTGTATGCCTCGGCGGGTTGAACCACCCGAACAGCAGTCGGGTTCTTTCCACTGACGATGTCGTGGAAGTAGAAGTGGAGGTTAGTGACAGTCTCCTTGTTCTCCGGTTCAGCAATTGCTCTTAATGGGTTCGTCGATGTCGCCATTAAGAAAACAAGCATCGTAATCTCAAAAGCCTGCTTTGACATCTTTTTTCTGTCCCGAGTTACGGAGAAAACGCAACATGCACAGAGACGCAGAGAGTCCTTACACCAAGTGGGCGTGACCGGGAGAGTGGCTGTACAAATGCCTTGTGCTTGTTTGGGTATATATAATTAAATACAAGAAGGCGATGATAGGTTGCTTGAAAAGGGCGTTTAACAAACAATTGACCAAATGATGGATTTTGGTTGCCACGCGGGTCTACAGACTACAGGTGCCGGTGGTCGTTTAGCTGTATTAGCAACCATGCTCAACCAAGGAGGGGGTTGGAATGAAATTTAAATTAGGTGTTCTAGAAAAAGGTCCAGAATTGCAGCAAAATCACTGTAGAGTTGGCGGGATCAATCAGATTATTAGTTTTCCCAATTATATAATGCACCATTAAATCCTCGTGTCACTTTCTTTGAATCATGCTCGCATAACTTCAGAAGATCCATTTTCAAAACATGCTCACTTTTCTAATCTCTATCAAGGTGTATATGACTTCTTTAGTTTATATCTTTCATGCAGACAACCTTGAAGTTATGATGTATTCTGTCCCTTCTAAATGAGTGGACTAATATTGTGATTTTGATTGTTTGATATGTCAAAGACTTGGGCTTAATAATCCCTTAAACCAATTACTCTATCTTTGCATATACTCCTGTGATGGTGAAGCTATTCTCCGGACTTCTCATCCTTTGATTTTTTTTACCTTTTTCCCAACCCCATGTTTTGTATAGTTGGCCAATTAAAAAGCCCATATTTGTGTTGAACCCCCGCCAATTAAATTAGTGTACTGAAGTCTTTGTTACTTTGTTCAATTCGAACTACTTAAATTACTTGCTTATTTAGGATTTCATGGAGCTATTTACTGTTGAGTTGACTTTTTTTTTTTTGTATATTTTCAAACTCCATATTTAACATGGGACCCATACCAATTAAATTAGTGTTCATACTTTTCAAACTTCGGCGACTATGCAAGTATTGTTAATTATATTCACATTCTACACCCAACATCGGGCTACATAAATATCTTATAATTGACTAGGTTATCAAAGTGGTATAAGCATATGCAGTGTAGCATATTATAATGGTAAATGTAAGTATTATTTTTCTGTTTTTCCTTCTTTGCCTTTTTGCGTTCAAGTCATGTTTGTTGTGCTTAGGAGATACACCATAATTTATTTATGTCGCTTGCCTAATCAATTGATGTGATTATTATTATATCAGGTCTGACTATATTCTAATCAGAACATGAAAATAATAAATTGAAGATATTACAACTATATAAAATAAATAGCTGAATATGTAATGGAGACATGAAGAGATGAAGGTGGCAGTGAATTTTCTTAGCCAAAACATGCTAAGACGATTAAAAGATTATATTGAGACAGTAAAACAGAAAAACTGGTATAACTCCAGATAGCTGTGTCTGTTATTTGTATCGTCTAAGTCCTTATCAGCAACCAAGGGAGACACAGAGAGAGAGACACAAAATTCCCAGTAAATGATGATTCAACTTGAATTATATATCATAAAGAGCAGCAGAGATGTTATGATAGAGACAATAATCTGCCTTACTATGCAGCGTTGTAGGTATAGACCTCACATGATAGAATCTGCATATAGGATAAAGATGAATGGAAAATCACATATAGCGGTGGGGAGCGGAAGACACGAGTCATTCGCAAGAGGTGAACTTGCAGGTAACATTTCCAGCACCAGAATTAGACCTCATGAAGCGCAGGGCAGTGAGGAGGACAGTCCTGGTGGAACCCATCAAGGCCCAATTCATGTGCTGGACCACGCCAAGTGGATGGTAAGAGAACTGAAGGCTGTTGTAGGAATTCAAAAGGGCAGTGACTCCTTCCCTGAGGAGAGTCCTATAAGGGTCTCCTCTCCCATGCAGACCATTCCACAGTGTCATGTCAGTTCCATATCTCCTTGCTGCCGCCATTCCAAATGCTACAGCCACCTTCGTTTCTGGGTTCACCCCCCTCCAATAACACTTGTATTCTGGCATCGTCCACTTCCTGACGAAGTAATTAATGAAAGTTAATCTTCCTTCATAATAAAACCTTTTCTTGAATCTAAGAAGGAACCAAGGTCTGTGAACTTACTGGTAAGGACAAGCTGAAGCATCTGCAAAGATGACTGGTGGTAGAGGTGGCATAGGAGGCAAAGGTGGCAAGGGGGGGAGTCCAGCAAACGGAGGAAGGTGGGAAGGTGGAGGGGACTCGTGTTGTGTGGGCGGTGAAGGCACAGGATTGGAAGATCCTGAGCATTGGTTCATAGGCTTGGCAGGCTGAGCGAGCAGAGGATCCACAGTGTACATCTCCATATCAAACATCCTAAACACGAGTCTAAGGTTTTGGGGAGGCCCCGCAGCTTCACCACAGCCCATTGATCCCTGACCACTGCCTGACACGCGAGCAGAGCAACCATTCAAGTCCGGCGTGCCGTCCAGCCTCATTGCATAGCTTCCGAACCAATTTGTTGTCTCTTCTCTCGACATCTTGATTTGCCCGTTGCTATCAGCACAGGTCAGGGTCACTTTAGCACCTGTAAGAAGGAAGAGTGGCAGAAAAACCCATCACTACAGTTCAAACTTTCGAAACACATTCAACGTCTTGATGACCATGGATTAATACTCGTTCTCTTCTCAAATGTCGAGCAGCTCGACAGTCATGAAACAACTAGATTTTCTACCAGGTAATCTTAAAGGCGCATTCATCTAAGATTTTGTTCGTTAATTGGTCTCCTAAAGAATCAAATTTTTTGGGTCACAATACTTTTACTTAGAATGTGTTGTGTGATTGGAGAAGAGTGCTTTCAACAAGCGGTAGGAAGACGTAAGGATTTTAAACAGAAACGGAGTGAGGGAAGGACATGGATCTTACCATTAACGGGAAAATCGAAAAGTGACATTTGGCCATCTTTGCACTGGTCACAGAACACAGTGCCGGTGACCATAGCGTCTGCCTGGGTTCCATTGGTGGCCACAGCAAGAATGAGGAATGCTGTGAAGAGGAGCTTCTCCTGAAAGTCCATGAATCTTGGACGCTGTCAAGGACACCACTGTGGAGAAACCAAAATCACAAAGGCACGGGTTGGTATGTTCAGAGCGGGATGAACACTTAAATGCTAGTGAGAACCAGTAAATGAGCAGTGAAGGTGCATACATTCAACCTTCAACTGCCAGAATTAATGAGGTATGTGGAAAATAAATTTTTGAGAAAGGAATAAGGGTACTGTTTTCATTCATCAGTGCTAGCAAAGAAAAACCGTGTCGAAAATATAAGATGCCTTAAATAACATTCACAAGTGTCAATGTTTCAACAACCATTATGAAGAATCTTAATAGTCTTTATTGAATTGTTATGGGCATCTGTCATTAGATGTGGTTTTGAGTTTGTTATTTATCAGCAGATCTTTTATATTAGAGCTCATCATCGAATCAATGAAACCATCGTGTCTTCTACTAAAATAAACCCATGGGTTCTGAGTTCTGACTAGAAACTCGGCCCTTTTTCACCGTTCACGAGAAGGTTTGGTAAATGTTTAAAAAAGCAGGGAACGTAGGGTACCAGAGATGGCAGCCCATAAATGAGTCTGATTGGTGTCTTCATTGGCTCTCAATGTCTCATGGAGTGTTCTCCATTTGTCTATAAGTAGCAATTTAAGAGCGAATCATACGAGACATGGAAATATTTGTCACAGTGATAGGCATCAAAGGCCATCAATGCAAAAGCAAAACAGTAATGAATGATTATGAAATATGTGGGATGAATTATTGGATGAATGAAAGAAACTGTTAAGATTTTGGTCTAAAATTTGGAGACGTGGGATAGTTTAATAGCTGCTATATTTTGAGCTGATAACGCCATGGCGATGATAGGTATTAGTTCGCCGTCAAGGTAGAGAAACATTAATGAAGAAGTAGTGCCTTTTCTGTAAGTCAAAAAAAGGTTTCAAGTGTGAACCCACCTTCACAGGAGGGACCCAATTTGCTTCCAGTTCATGCACTCACTCTCAATCGCTACCATTTCAACCTCACACAGACCACATGTCGATGCTGGCTTTTGTTGTCATCGCTTTGCTTTTGCTGCTGCTCTTCTTCTTCAGTCAGAGGAAAGAACCAGAACATGATAACATTTTTCCTCGCCCAAGATTATCTTGTAGACATGAGTTTGATGAATTTTTTTTTTATCTGCATAATTTAATAAAATGGCCTAAAATTTCTGCATAACAGAAGACCTCCTGGTGCGCGTGCCCCAGAAAATGAACGTTAGATGTTACACTATTTATAATGAGTTACACAGTTTTGCACGGACTTTATGCTTTCAGTTTTTTTATTTTTAAATACATCAACTCAAGCTTTTGTTTTTGTTAAGATCAGAAGCATTCTGGATTATGCTAACCTTTCTTAAAATACAATGGCTAAACTCTAGATTTCTCCTCTTATCACCATGAAAACAGCCACATAGAACTTGGCCCCCTACCCCACCCCTTGTGTGTACCGTACATGTACATACATTTAAATAGTAATTTATTTTTACGTTTTGGTGCTTGCTATTAAAAAATTTAAAATGAAATTAGCATCCTGGAGAGAGTGTGCTCATCATCCCCTCCGTTATTAAGGATCCACCTCATAGTTTTACAACACTCTTCCAGTGAACAAGACAAGGCACCTGCTTCTACCGACATTTATGAGGTCGGATTCTGTGGCCGATCGATTTAAGAATGATCAACGGTATTGGAAGCTACCAGTATTTAATTCAGCAAATACAAGACTGAGCAACTAAACTACACAACTAAAACCGTTATTTTCATCTTAACCTCATTCGCATGCAACATCTTTCTTTGCTCGGAAACATGTTAAACTAGCTTAAACCGTGCTGATTCATTTAACAGTGGAACACGTGACAGATCATTGTCCTGAACACCATAAGGATATAAATAATATAACACTATAAATTCGTGTCATCCCACCGAATCGGATCAAATCAAAACAAAATTACATGAAATTAACAATGGAGGGGAATCCGTCCAACGCACATACAAATATTATTGAGTTGAAAATAAATACCAAAATCGGTAGCTCAGAACCCACTAGATGTTTAATACATGATTTTCAAATGGCGAAAATTGCCGCCACAGTCGGCTATGAACAAAGATATAACAGCTAAGACTATCTAAGCTACATGCAGACCAACCAAAATTGTCTATAACTGTTTCAGTATAGTGTCTCGGAATAGATGCTTTTAGAAAAGTCATGAAAAATAAAATAACACGAAAAAAGGAAGCTCCGTATTCAATTTCCAAATTTCATCAACATGTCTATTTCGCAGCGACAAAACTAATTCACAAACCTTCAGTTTTCTTCAACTTGCCCATCCTCGGATTTCTCAGCGCTGCATCAGAAAGTAAACAAATTAACAGAATCAAAATAAGATCAAGGGAGACACCACATCAGTACAAGTATCAAGCATTAAATCGATTGTATAGTGATGGCCAGAATCCAAATATCAGAAACAATCTGAGGGACTCAAAGCCAAAGTACATTCTGGTGCTTCGGGAGAAAACAGATTGGCATATGAATTAAGATGACTGAACATTATTAATCAAGACATGTTCAACCCAGCTGCACCAAGACATCGATCATAACTCATAACAGGTCAGCTTCAAGTCATAGGAAATTAATGAACAAGTGACTAAACCTTAAAAAGCAGTCGTTGCTACATAGTTGGAATAGACTTTGAACGGATCCTCCTACCCAAGGAAGGTACAAGGATCCCAATGATGACTTCACATAAAATTCTAGTCCCCTTGATGCAGGGCACCGGCCAGCAGTACGTCCATTTTTTTTTTTTTGGGGAAAGATTGTAGCATGTCCAATTTATAAATAGAGCGCATAACACTTCCGAAAGAAGGATCTAGCAGACAGGCTAAAACTGTTGCGACAAATCAGAACAAGCAAAGCAACATCGCACAGCACAAAAAATTTCTTGACTTTTAACTCTATTTTCTTCTTTTATGTTTGTTGTTTTCAAAAAAATGCGACCAACAAAGAGACTCATCACAGAATCAAAAGAAGTCTGGAGAACATATATATATATATATATATATTTTTACCCGAAACCATCTCGAACTTCAAATTGAAGGAAAAGAGAAAGAAAGAAATAGCATACCATGGCTGAACCAACTAATAAAGCCAATCAAACACATAATACATGAAACTACTTAAGTTTGTTTCCTATTCTCTTTACTGACAAACCTTGTTGGACGACTGTCATCAGATACTGCCTTCCTCCAGCTCCTTTCAGCTCTTTCTTCGGGCAAACTAGCACGTCCATCGCCAGAACCAAAGCCCCTCCTCCCAAATCCATCGTTCTTCTCGACTGTTTCCTTAATCTTCATTGCGTCCAGCTGCTGGTCAATCTTCTTCCAATCCTGCCCCTTCTCCGCCAAAACCTCCTCCCTTGGCTTTGCGTCTCCGAATGGGTTTGGACCCTTGGGCTTTGCCAAATTCCCAGAACCTTCTTGGCTTCCATTACTCAGAGGCAGTGATCGAGGCTGCAAATTTAGTCTAGGTCTTCCACTCGGGGTCTCAATTCTGTCAATGCCGCTTCCTCCGTTAAATTCCCCTTTCTTCCTGTTCCAATTATCCGAATCTGCACCACCGCTCGAACCAAATCCAACCTTCCTGTCTCTCTCAAATCCACCACCATTCGAACCAAATCTGCGCCCCTCCGATGGCACATAATTCTTATTAGCTACCCAACTGTCCGATTCATCAGCTCTCGATTGTGAATCAAAAAAGCCTCCTCTATCCCTCTCTCTCCTCTCAAAACCATTCCCAACGATCGGTTTCTTCGCAGCAGTCCAATTATCTATTTCGTCAGCTCGCGAAGGCGCCATTTCACGATTCGAATCCCGACCGAAGGAACCATTCCTCCTGGGCTCATCACAAACCCTAGATGAACCCCATCGAGAATTGAACGACTCGTCCCCGCCAGAATTCCTATTGGGCCGGTCATAGGAACCATAAGACCTAAAACCACCACCAAGTCGACTCCGGTCGCGCTCAAGTTCCTCGGCGGTTCGATGGCGAGGACCGGTTGGCAGCAACATGAGGTCTTCATGCGTCAAGCCATCGGAATGAGAGGCCTGGGATGGTTTAGGGCCTCCGTAGGTAGTGAAATCAGCCAAGGGGATAGTCTGGCCCTTCTTCTTCTTGGGCTTGGTGGCAGCGGCGACGGCAAGAGAAGGAAATTGGGAAGTGTCATCCTTGTCTTTCTGTTGAAGGAGCTCGGCTTCGTGTTCTTCGGAATCAAGCGCCCATGCTCCCGGTTTAGACCAGGCAGATACAGAAGCCGCCATTGCTATACTTTGGTTCTCTCTCTCCGTGTATCCTTTGCTCGCTCTCTCTCTCGAGGTTGCGTTTGCTGGCAGCGAAAACAAGCGCGCAAGACGAATATATCTGTGGGTTGTAACTTCGGATCGGACGGTCGAAGGTCTAATCACGTGATTCTGCCTTACCCGACGGTCATGATATCGTTTTTCCGCTCCGTGTTTTTTTTTTTTTTTGGTTTCCTTTAAAAAAGGGTTCCTGATTCATTGATTTGTGACCACCATGCAAATCTGTCGGCTTAATTTTTTTCATTTCACTTGATGTCAATAATATTTTTAAATAATTTAATATTTTTATTTTTATTTTAAAAAAATAAAAAAGATATTAATTATATACTTTTTCCACCACTATTATGATATTATTAAAAAAAATAAAAAATTAATATACTTTTATATAATTTTAATTAAATAATAAATTTTTATTAATGTGTGAGAATCGATTTAAAACATTTTAATAACAGAATGGGTATCTTATAAAATCTATATTTTTCTCCGCCATTTTTATAAGGAAAATAGCATCACTTTGATAGTTTAATCATTTGATATCAAGATGCCCAAACCATGAATTTAATTATATAAATCATAACATTATTAAAAAATTAGTTGTTTAACATTTTATACTACATTTAATTAATTGGGCCAAAAACAGATCAGCATGGTATCTACTGGATATTGTCTCCAGGATCATGTCAACGTCAGTTTATGGAATTAGACGAATACAAGGGAACTGTAGATTTTATATAAAAACTACTGATACGATACATTTAAAGTTCGATTCTGCTGAGATTTAAATATTTTATCTATGAAAATTATATAATGAAAGAGTATAAGATTACAGGCTGCTAAAAAGCATCACCATCTCGCTTAATGTATTCAAAACCAGGCTAAAATCGCCATTACTTAACTCGTTGGTGCTAATAACTACATTTGCGTCTGCTTCACAAAAGGTAATTTCACCGTAAAAACATCAAGATTTTCTCAAGAATCTAAGCATATCTGAAAATTTTTAAACAAACAAGAAAAGAAATGCTTTCCATAATACTAATAATAATAAAAAGAATCGATTGAATCTGATAGTTGAATAACAAAATAATAACCGGGTAATTTTGTACATAAACAAAGCCTAGCGTTACTACCTGATAGGTAAGCAAAGTTACAAGGATTTAACACAGTGAAATCATCCCCAAACATCTTCAAGTGCCATTGCAGTTTCAATTGGATTTAGCGCTGGAATCTAGGGTGGCTCATCTCACATTCCTGGAGGGGCTCCCTTACGTAGCTGCACGCCTGTGCAGCATCAAGCTGAGAAATGGTCAGAAAACTACAGGAATCCAAAATGCACAGATCTACGTCCCACAATCAGTGACAAGCCAAGCACTCCAAACAGCAAAACTGGATGGGATCAAGCTGTTGCATGATTGCCGCCAAAACATGTTCTCTCATACCAACCTCGCAGGAAAAATCAATGTTCAAGATATTCTGAACCATGTATGAGGATCAAGTGTTCATCCTCAAGGCCCTTCATCGAATCCTCACCAATGTACCACGTCAAGGTCCCTGCATTATAAAAAGAAAATTTTATTGCAGGATCAGGTTTAGAAACTATGGTGAAAGAATTAAAGGCTGCATATCAACCTATAATCGCATTAGCAAATGAATGGACAACAAAAATGCGTCTGTTCTCAAGGTGTTGTTAGAAATATACCTTGCGTGTTAGATTGATCCTGGTCTCTTGTCGCATGCAATATTATTGTTCCTGAAAGAACGGTGATGAAACCACATACCTCAGATGCTATGCTGCTGGCATTCTGACCCGACCAATCCTACAACAAAAATAGAAGAAAACACAAAGTCAAGATAATTCGCCAAAAGGAAAACTCTGGCATATAACTAATTGAATCCAAGAATATGAATCTGAGACTGTACCTTAAACATTATTGCACTGGCAATAATAGTCAGAGTTGTGAACATGACATAATATACAGGAGAAACAATTGCTGCGTTGAATGTATCTAGTGCCTAAAATATCATTCAATGGTGCAAAGCACACTCAATTAGTTAGAAAGTTCCAGAGAGTTAGAGATAAGCCATTGATGGCTCAAAATTACAGTCATAACAGTGAGAATTACAACATGCAGTTCATTAGAGAAAATGTTACTTTAGCTGTGTTCATCAGTTCACAAGTCAGCAAATGATGGACCAAGTATATAGAAGAAAAAGATACCAAGACTAAACAGATAATTACAAAGTTCCCAGCACTAGACATATGAAAACAGCATAAGGTACTATCCAGCGTTTACATTGCTAAAGAGCAAGCTTTGCATATTCCCAGTACCTGAGTATAAGCATTTTGTTTAATTTTAATGTACTCCTATATCTTTTTAATGCACTTCCGTATCTTTTCTGTTAACTTGCTTTTGTAGTGCCATAACAAATTTAAGGGTTTGTGGCAAGGTGTTTGTAGCAGTTTCGGTCCTACAATATGAGGACATATGTGGCAATCATGCCTTACAGGACCCATTTCATGAAATTTACCATCAAAACCTTGATAATTTACAGGTCTGGTTATATAAGTTGCATCAGGCCTTCATATCTTTGCACACACCTTGTTCAGGTAATTCAACTGAGTAATGACACATATCGTTGCCACTGTGAGGAAAAACCAACTCTGTGGATAAGTTATTTGATTAATTCCCTCAAGCGTAAGCTTTACTGCAATTCCAATGGCCTTTATGCTCACAACCTGAATAGTTACACAAATTTAACATTGAGCCATAACCTAGGTAGTTAGATCATGCACGGTGGCATTAAATATTAAACTTCCATCCAGATGCTTGGTAAGAACATAATTACCGTAAGTGAGCCCATCAGAGAACAAATTCCCAAGTAAACCAGCATGTTACTTTGTCCATGGCGAGGTTCAAAGTGCAAAATCAAAGCTAAAACTACTGAAATCGTTGCCACAACATAAATTAGGAATGCTGTTGAAAGAAAAACGAGCATCAGGTAGAAGTTAGGGAAAATCTAATCTGTGCCAGGGAAAAAAAGGGGGTCGAACTGAACCTGGTTGAGTGGCCAGATCCCATATTTCTTGCACTGAATTTGGAGTTTTCTCTTGAGGTGCATGAATGACAATAACCACTGATCCTACAATACAGGATATACATCCCAATACCCCCATCTTCTGAAGCTGTTCCTTTAATAAGAAGTGAGCCAAGACAGCACTTGCAATATATACTGAATGTTAGTTCCAACACAAAATCATAGCGATGAAGTATTCAATTAGCCTACGCACTAGCAAATTTACCTGACAATGATGCTGAGAGCTCCAAGGGGGGTCACCAGAACTGCTGGAGCATAGATATAAGCCACAAAATTTGCAACCTCCCCAATAATCACTGTAAAACCAATTATTTCAAGCTTCATTTGCATTTTGTTTCATCTTTCAAGCACACTAAAGCCAGAGGAAGGGGGGAGAGAAAGATCAAAATCCTAAACTTACTAGTCACCATGCCAGCCCACCATAGTGGCTCCAGTAGGTAAGTATAGCCACCACCTCCTGCCAATTTCAAAACAAAAATTATTGACAACGTCCAAAAGCCACAGCTAATAGCAGCAGAGTATGAAGCCTAAAGGATCGATGGAGTTGAAGAGAGTTGTATGTCACCAAGGTAAATACCAACAGATTTCTTGACACCGTTGTTTTCATGATAAAAGCATTCTTGCATGATAAACTGACCAGCATGTTTAACAGGCTTGAATCTGAGATTAAGTACAAACCCAGCAATAATTCACCATTCATATAGAACAAAAGCCAGGAATTTATTATGGCCAAACAGATTATAGGGGAATTCTGCATCACCCCCTACTTACCACTCAAGCTCAACGACAGTAAATGCTAAGATTCCAGTCAACATGAGGATGCAATTTTTTACTCTTCTTTCGGTTCCTCAAAATTAAGAAACATTGTATTTATATAGTTGAACATCTCCACCAGACGTTAAACTGCAGGGCTGATGTGATTAAAAAGAACTGGGATGAGGCAGCTCCTCAAGCCCAATTATACCAAACGCCAATGTGATTAACAAAGTCAAAAAGACATTCTTCCCATGATAACCCTGGCTTGACAATGAAGAGTTTCAAGAATCGCAGGAGGAAGAAGACTCATTCTCCCTAAAATGAAGATTTACAACATAAAATCAGAAATTCTCCTATCACCAGACAAGTTATTCAAACACGAGATTCCTGAGCAGATAACTTCATGATTCACCAGCCAATGAACAAGAAACCGCAAAGAACCAATACCATGATGCCCCCGAGCATTTGGAAGACATAAAAAATAAATAAATAAACAAACAAGAATTTCCATGAGGTTGACCTGCGCGAGTACCGTGCGCACCGGCACGCTTAAGACCCTTCTTCTTCAAGATGAAGCTTCCCCCAATGAATGCACTAGATGCAACAGCCAGTATCAAACCCTTGGAATTCTCGGAAACTCCCATCTCTATCTCTCGGTCCCTGTCAACTTTAATTGAATTGTGGAAGACGACGGCAAGGACGTCGTCGTGCACAGCCTTCCCGCCAAGAAGGGATCGAATCGAATTGCCTCCAGGGAAATTAAATCAAAGAACAGAGAGAATCGTCCAGGTGTCCTGTGTGGAAGCCCTCGAGTCACGGGAACCGGACCGCAGTTGACTGCTAGTGATAAATAGATAGATGTGCTTGTAAATTAAAAGTTTAAAACCCTTCTTAAGCCGCCGTCGTCTAGTCGGAAGTTTCCAGTTATTCGCGACAATGATCCTCCGCTTCGCAATACGTCCAGCGGAGCAACGCTCTCCTCCTGATCAAAGCTCTCATACTCAAAACACTCGGAGAAATTATCAGTCACGTTCCCCTTGGCCAGGCTGGGATTCGTCAAATAAAATGTTGGCCATGGCGGCCTGATCTCCATTTACGAAAATACCCCTGAAATCACTAAGATGGTTAGTGGGCCCCTTTGAAATGTCTCTTAGCCGAGGAATTTTATGTGAACTGAAAATCTCCAATGGCATTTGATTTCATCAAGTTATAATATTTTGATGATTGCAGAGATAAGCATATGTTTTTCTTGAAAAATGATACAAGCCAATTTGCTAGTATTTCAAAATTGATTACATTGTTTGGCCAAAAAAAAATATTACATTGACCTTTGATGCGGTTTTTCAAATTGCAAATGCTAGTAAATAAGTATACTCATCAAATAAAAAAACATATACCTTGGATGAAGCTATAGCTTGAAATAAGTGTCGGTCTATAAGCCCTATTTAAATAAAGATTTGAGTTTTAAAAATTATTTTTTTAAGAAATTGAGCTTGAGGGTCTAGCCTTGATAAGCTCTGTAAAAAAGGGCTCGGATTTGAACAGTCTTCCAAACCTTGATAAGTCTAATTATCTTATATATACACACACATATACACATATATTTAATTGATAATGATACAATTTAATTAATATTATTGCAGGTGATAAAGAAAAAATTGTAAAGGTAATTGACATTAAATTTCTTCTTCCATCTTTAATAAGTGCAAGATCTGATGGAGATCCATACAAATTTTTAAGGGTACAGCGACCCAGGCTCTATTGGATTTGGGCTGCAAAGGGGATCCAAATATGTAAATGGCCCATTGGAGGAGAATTAATGTTTAATGGTAAGTAATTTAAATTTGGCTAAAATGCAAAACAATTTTTTGAACTTTAAGATAGTTGTATATCTCCCCTTCACCTTTAAAATTTAAAATTAACCTCCTAACTTTTAATTTTGTTTTATAAAACTCCTTATTGTTAATTATGTTATTTTTTATGAGGGTTTAAATGTCATTTAACTAAAAAATATTATTAAACAAAAATATTATATTGTATGACTATTTATAATAAATTTTTTTTATTTTTTGGATAGTTGAGACATTGATAATAGCCAAAACAAATGTTATTATCACCATATAAAATTTTAAATATTTACTTTTGTGTTAGTTTTTTTTATATTTTTTGTTATTAATGGTGCATAGTTTTTTAATATTAAAGATAAATTAATCTAACATGGTAATATTTAAACTTTTAAATATTTTAACCATGTACATTATATTAATCTAACATAAAAATATAAATAAAAAATTATTTTTAAAATAATAAAATCATGTACCATTGATAACAAAAAAAAACATGGATAAAACTAATATAAACATGAATATTTAAAATTTTATACAGTGATAATAATATTTTTTTGTTATCGATGCCTCAATTATTTAAAAAATATAAAAATTTATTATAAATAGTTATATAATATAATATTATTATTTAATAATATTTTTTAATTGAATGATATTCTAATTCTCATGAAAAAATAATATAATTAACAATAAGGGGTTTTGAAAAAAAAATTAAAGGTTATGGGGGTTAATTTTTTTGTTCACCGGTTAGATTGAAGCTACAAGATTTGTGCATATATATAGATATTGATGATGATAAAATAAGATGTCTTGAAAAGAAAAACCTAAACACATGGGAAAATGCAACAAACATGGGTCATGAATAAAAAAAAAATGGAATCAATTAACGCTCGCGTCTAAATTGTGAATTACAATTTAAAATTTGAAATTGAAAATAGGTGGGCCCACATAAAAAATTGATTGAACTAATGAAAAAATATAATTAAATTTTAATCAAGATATAACAACGAATAAGAAGGCTCAAAATTTGATTAATGGGATGCTTTTTATAAAATTTGTTAGTATATATTGATGTGAGGTGACAAATGAGGATTATCATGCCTCTTTTTTTTTTTTTTTCCTATTAGAAGAGAAGCCACGCTCCTCACCGAGAAAAGGCGTACAAATGGTATTTGGTATGTGATTTTGCAATGTAAAATTTGAATTTGAGAATAAATCAGTGTATTTGCTACACCATGAGTTATAGATGATACGATCATGTAAAGTCATGTGAAAATTCTTCTTTGCAATTAATTTTGTTTCCCACGAACAAAATTGTCACACAAAGATGGGGCCCATGCATTGCATGACCTTCCACTTGCTATTTTATTTAAGATAAATGTGTATTTTTATTCTTAAATTATTTTTCAAAAACCATCCAGTACTCTAATATTTTTATTGGAGTAATTTTACCCTTAAAGTTATTCAAATAGAATATTTTTATCCTTTTTGTCAACTTTTCAATATTGGCCTTAAATGTTAACAGTTAGAAAATTTAAAGGGAGAGGCAAAAATACTCAATTTTAATAACTTTAAAGGTAAAATTGCTCTAATAAAAATATTAAGGTGTTAGGTACTTCTTAAAAAATAATTAAAGAATAAAAATATACTTTTATCCTTTTATTTATATTCAATTTGATGTCTATGTTGCAAGTAAGGAGTGGAATGGGAATGTGTTCTCACTGCTAAAAAAATCAGAATTAATGATGAATATTTAGTGATGAATTTCCATTTCATGAACTAAAATTTGTTACTAATTACATAAATTAAGGATAGATTAATAATGGATATAAAATGTCATCACATTTTTATTAAATTTTATAAATTTAGTGATAGATTTAAATCCATCACTATTGTACATCACTAAATCTCTGTATTACTTACACATATTTTAATTAAAAAAGTAATAAAATGTATTTAAATATTTTATAAATTTACAAAATTATAATATAAATAGTGATTCATATAAAAATTATTCAAAATTTAAAAAATAAATAATTAAAAAAATATTTTTTGTATTATAAGTAAAATAAATAATATAAAATGATATACAAAATAATCAAAAATATTTTTTATTTTATTATGTAAATTTAAATATAAAATAATTTTTTATCATATGAAATATTTTAATTATAACATGGATAATATAAAATGATATATACAAATATTTATTTTAATAATATATATTGATTGATTTTACATAATACTTTTTGTTAATAATATATATTAATTTATACATTTATGTGCATTAATGTACAGTACATGACAATATATATTATCAAAATATTTACATATTAATAATATGTGAAATAAATAAAAATTACATTATATATTTTTCTTGCCAGCAAAAAATACATTATATTGAATATATGCGTTTAATTAAGTTATATGTGTGTGTGTGTGTGTGTGTGTGTGTATTAAATTTTGTATGTTAATAATAAAAGGATATTACAACTCAACTAGCAAAAAGCACTTATGAAAAGAGAAGGATCTTGGGTTTGAACTGTGACAAAGTCACATTAAAAATAATTAAAATAGTTTGCTAACGTATTGGCATTAGACAAGCCCAAAGAGAACAAGCTAGGGATATCACTAGATGCTTTGTTCAACTAGCAAAGGAATTGTTTTATCTTAATTAGGGGTATTGAGTTTGAGTCAAAAGAATTCTTTAATAGTAGAACTTTGGTTGAAAAGAGCCCAACTTAACTCAATTTGAATTCGTAAGAGTGTGTTTGGATTAGTTTCTAACTAAGGTTAGGATATAAAAGGGCTAAAAAAATTTGTTTGGATGAACAAAATATTTCAACCTCAATTAAGTTAAAATGAGCTTTTTCTCCAAAGCCATCAGACATGGCTTCTACGTTAGCGTCAGTGTTGATATTTTGCTTGCACAGTCACATTGTGAAGTCTTGGTCTCTACTCTCTCCATCCCTTGTACAATTGCACTCTTAATCACTCTTATTGAGTCATGGTTGTCACTCATGGCATGGTTCAGGTTGACCATACCAATCACCCTTACGACCTCACCCTTCGCCCTCGACCTTCTTCTTTTTCATTTAGTTCGAGTACTCTCTCTCACTCTCACTCACAATCACAAACTCACGAATCATGCTAGCTCATCTCTTGCTCGCCTTTCAATCACATTTCAGTCGCCAGATTTGATAAGAGATCACAGCCACTACGAGACTTGATCTCCACCGCGTGCATTGTCGTCATTCCTTCCCCTTTGTGAGACCTGATCTCCATCGCTACGAGACCTGATCATTGTCCGAATCCTTGCTCTGCTTCATTTATTATTTTCACCTTCTTTTCCTTTGTGCTGCCAAATTTGACCTGAGATCGCCACTGCTGCCACCAGCACTGCCGCTATTGTCTGATCTTAACCATGTGTGTTGCTCGTGTTGATTCTTGCATGCCGTCGTCCCTTTTTTTTGGGTTGACACAATGTTCGTACTTCGAGAGTGTCGTCATCGTTGTCGTCCATTCTTTTCTTGTCAAATTTGTGCTTCTCTGCATGGAATTGATTGTCGCTGTTGTCTGTTGATCATGTGTCAAGTTAGGAGTGTTAGGATCAGGGGATTGAAGATGGCGGAGGAATGATGCTTGTTTAAAGTTTGAATTGAAGACAGTAGAGGGATGTCGATCTTGGCATATAAGGACTTGAATTTTTTTAGTTTTTTGCAATTAAATATTTTGATTTCTTATTAGATAATATTATAGAGTTAGAATTGAAATTTTTTATTATATATTTTTTAAAATATTAAAATTTTTTAGTTATACATTATAATTTTAAGTTTAATATTTTTTTACTTTTTAATTAGTAACAAAAATATAAACAAAAAATTTAAGTTTATTTTTGTAATTAAACATTTCAACTGATTTTTACCTTAACTCGTTTAAATAAATTTTAATTTATCTAATTAATTTTTTTAAAAAAATATTTAAATATAAATTACATTACATTCATATTTTTTTTTATTTTAAATAAATTCTAATTTTAATTGTAAATTTTTTAATTCAAACACATGTTATCATCGAACTAGAAAATAATAAACAGAGAGGACGGGCTGGGGTCTCATTGTTTTTGAAGCGAATCAAAGGCCAACAAATGGCTTAAAAACACTAAGTTGGCCGTGGTTTAACTAGGGAGGCTAAACGACATCGTATTACTAAACTTATCCAGAGGGTGGGAATATCCAGTCAGGGGACCCCTGGCAAGCAGCAACCCCTCCTCTCAACGCCCAAAACACGTTACCTTTCCCCACCACTTGTTCTTATTCTTGGTTATCATGGACCCTACCTATATTTTAACTCCCCACATTACTGTCTATAATATAGATACATATCTATATCACTCGCGGTCTCACAGTACCGAACTTTCCTTTCATTTCCTACCAAAGAAATCAAATCATTCCATTCTAGTATCAATATCAACCCTTTATTCCCAACCCACTACCAGCAAAATTTCATATCTGTCATCCTCTTGGAACATCTCCCCGAATCATTCCCTTCTATTATGCTTACTGTTAACCAGGTTTTTTAGTACCATTATTTGGATTTCTGAACTTCCAAATTAAATTGGAGATCAACCACATAAATTTTGCCAATAATCCTCACACCTTTATTTATGGTGGCCTCATTTTATCATCACAAGTGACATGGAGAAATCATAAAAAAGGGAAGCCCAGAGAAGAAATTACACATGACCGGGCCATCACAAGAAGTAAAACCTAAGAGTTTTAAAAAGAGGAAAAACGACGCCGCATCAGATACACGATCGCGTAGATTAGGGCCACCATAGAGTCAGAGTCGCACGCTTCTCTAAGACAGTTGACCGCAGTCGGCGATCACCACTGGCCTAGAGGTCTTCCCGGACCTTGACCCCACCTTCTCCACCTCCCTCACCACATCCAGGCCTTCCACCACCTGACCGAACACCACGTGCTTGCCGTCCAGCCACGACGTCTGGGTCGTGCAGATGAAGAACTGTGATCCGTTTGTTCCGGGTCCGGCATTGGCCATGGACAGGATTCCCGGCCCGGTGTGCTTCTTCACGAAGTTCTCGTCCTCGAACTTGGCGCCGTAAATCGACTCGCCGCCGGTTCCGTTCCCGGCGGTGAAGTCGCCGCCCTGGCACATGAAGTCGGGGATCACGCGGTGGAAGATGGAGCCCTTGTAGTGAAGGGGCTTGCCGCTGCGGCCGACTCCCTTCTCGCCGGTGCAGAGGGCACGGAAGTTCTCAGCGGTCTTCGGGGTCGTATCCGCGAAGAGCTCCATGACTACGCGGCCGGCGGGCTGACCTCCGATGGTTATGTCGAAGAAGACCTTAGGGTTTGCCATTGCCTTTCTCCTGAGAACGGATTTCAAAGGCTAATCACCCTGGAGACAAAATCTGCAACCCGGCGACAGCAAGAAGGAATATATATATAGGACTCCGTGTCTAATATCATTGGAACTGGCCGTTGGATTGAAGCACGTGGCAGAATTTTGACGGATGCCTAGTAACCGTGGTTAAGTTTTAAATTGACCACGGTTAGAGAGGGCATCCGGGCGGAAGGATATGCTCGAGTCGTGTCCTTTACGGGTTGGGTGACTTGATTAATTTTGGAGGAGAGTCACAAGATGGACTTTTACGAATCCAAAATTAACGACGTCGTTTGTCTTTGTCGAAAGAAATCAGTCAATCACAGATTTTTTACCTTTGGGCAGCCAGACAAATCAAAGAGATTTTCTCATGTGCGGGTGACGTGCAAACCTGATGAATGCTCCCAAATCTCAATTGAATGTAGGCGGTGAAATTACTAAATGTAGGGGACCATCTTGATAAGATCGGACGGTGTAGATCCATTGTAAACGGTAGCTTTGTCAGGTCTTGAAGTTGAATTGAAGGTATGGGTATGGGGATCGAACATTCTAGAGTGACCAAGCCCAAAGGAAAGGGCATATTTCTTGCACGTGAATTAAATATCTGAGGCAGTGATGAAACATGCATCAAGGACGAGAGTGTCACGGAGAAATAAAATTCCAACGTGTATGGGATTAGAAAGATTGAATTATATTTTATAGAAAACAAAAATAATGTATTTAAGAGTTAAAAGTACATCAATTTGGCTTAAAAAGGATTTATTTAAGTGATTAAAAGAACCAAAATTTATACAGGGTTATGTATTTTATGATAATGCCTGAGCAAAAATTTTTAAATAGATCGGATGCATCACGTTATTTATGATCTGTTTAATAAAAATATAACATTTATATGATATTAAATATAAATTTATTTTGATATTAATGATAGTAGAAAAACATGCAAGAAATTAAATATGCATTTTGTTATAAGAATAAAATTAATTAAAAAATATCACACAAAATTTTATTTAAATTATTTGAAACATTTTATTTAAGCAGATTATAATTGTTATTTAAATTATTTGAGACATTTTATTTAAACAGATTATAATTGGCGTAGTGTACCTCATCTACCTAAACATTTATCAATGTGTGAGTGCTTCACATCACAAAAGAGTGTATTCAATGAGGGCGAAGACGGGAGTGTTGATACCGCTTGACCAAAAAGAGAGTGAGCATAAGCACAAGATGCTAAGCAAAGGAGCAAGGCCATATCACTGAAAGGATTCCATTGATTTCCAACCGAGTGAGTCTGTGACACTGACAATCATGCAAGGCACTGCCCATACATGATTGCCCCACTCCAGAACGATGGCCATCTTTTTCTTTCCTTTCACAAAGATTCCGATGAAATTCTCACAGAATCCCTAAAAGGAATCGCCACAAGAACCGCCACAGCCCACGTCACTACATAAAGTGGATGACCAATATCCCTAGCTTCACAATAGGCGATAAAAGATTTCATCCTATTTGCCACTATATCCTGACTTTGTTCTCCGCACCTTATAAGATACTAATTCAAAAATCCTACATCACTGGAACAACGCAATTTAGTATCGAGTCTATTGACAAGTGATATAATCCATGTTAACAATTTAAATTCCAGTGCTACCATGTAAACATTTATTATTCAATCCTTTTCATGAGGAGTAAAAAGATGCTGAAGAAGATACCTAATGCTAACACAAGCGGTAAGAGTGGGGTAAGGAATCGGTAAAAATCAAGGATAACCCTCCTAATGTATATATAGAAAAAGTCCAAGAAGATTAATAGCAAAATGGCAACAGCATATTGATGGATATTTCAGCTGAGTGGGGCATTAGGAATAATAAATAAAGCCAACAATAAACGATCAGTAGCAAATGGGAAAATGAGACAGGGCAAAGTGCCAAATATGTGACTCGGAGATTTCATATTCCTTTCAGATTGTCTTTAGGACTGGGCTAGGGAGATCATGAAGTCTCGAAAACACCAAAATTTTTTTAATTCTTTGTTTGGAGGTGGGGTCACGTGAAAGTTCAAAATCCACAGTTCAACAGGTTGCTAAAACCTTACTTATAGATTAGAATGTTCTAAATTCTTTTTTAATTCTAGCCGCACCATTCTATTCATGTCCAACTGTATCATGAAAGGCAATCACGTTGACTGTCTCATTCTCCAAATAAACCAAGTGCATCACAAGAATTAGAAACCAAAATACCAAATTCACCAAGGAGCAGAACATAATTTAGATGGAGTAAGCATAATCTAACTGAAATCCCGTTGGTTCCAAAAAGTTTGCTCCCATGCTAACTCATCCTTGTTAGTTTTTTTCCCCTTTATAAATAAAAAAGCTCCACTAGTTCAATTCACGCAAGTGAAAAGAAAATGCAAAAATTTTGCTATAAGCTACAACAGAAAAGGCACGTTTCTCCAGCCTAAACTTTAGAGCTACATCCTCGCGTTCTATTTAACTCTCCAACCTGTCTGTTACAAGATTCTGCACCTCAAGGTACAGTCTTGTACGGCTGAATTTTGACAAGAATTGTTTATCTACTTCTTCTTCTTTGATTTGCTTGACAGTGACTGAGCATATGCAGTTCCCTGGATGTCAAAAGGCAGGATGAAGAGAGAGATATGAGAATTCAGTGAAAGGTTACAATTGTTTCTTGTAAATAGAAATGGCGTAAAAAGAAAGAATTAAAAAGTGATCACCATGACATCAAATAGAAAAAAGTTTTATAATTAAGTACAAATACACACCTCAAGCCATTCATCCATGGAAGCATCTGTAGTCTTTGTGCCAACTTCAACAGTTGGAGCTCTCTTTTTCTGAGCAAATAGAGAAATCCATATATGACATATGAGAATCACCAAACGAGCAAGAATACATGATATAAGTGGGTTCAGTGGGAGAAAAGAACCAATGAGATATTTTAACAAAAATATTCAAAAGCAGCTTCTCTTCTCGAATCTAAAATGCATAAGACTAGATAATGAGTCTGCCACAAGCACAAAGTTATTGAAGAGGAAACCACAGAGACAAATTCTTATGTACTTTGGAAGCAGATGAATTCTCTACCTCCATGTAAATATGACAAAGCAAAGTTCAATAATTATAACATGTATTAGTTTAAACCACGCAGATAAGATTCTTTTCCTTCACACCTTCAGATTTATCCACGAGGGTTCTCTTACTCCTGGGTCATCTAAGCATCTCTCTCCAAATCATAATTTCTCAGCTATTGCATATTCTCCTAATTGATATTAGATATAGTATCGAGAAAATTAGTGATATGTACCCAAATACTCTTACTAATACGCCACTTTATGCGTCAAATCTTTGTAAGTGTGGAAATAATGCTCAGCCTCACTTTTGGATGAACCCTTGAATTATGAAGTATCGTGACCCACCTCTAACAGCAAAGGCCACATGGAAACCGATAACTAGAAGAATAAGAACTGCATTACCTTAGACAGGCTCTGTATACGGCCATGAACCCATAGCCCAAAGAGGATAATGAGCGCAACTCCAAGGGTAACAAGGAAAACAGATTCCATGCTAAGAAAACCACTAGGTTCAACAATTTCAATTGTTCCATTATAGAAAGTGCTCTGGTATGGATGTGTGTCAATCTCATACACAATGGTACCCACAAGATCAAAGTTTCCAGGCTGCACAGCAGAATAAACAGGTTAGGTATGTTGAATAGTGACTCACTTTCTGAGGTTACTCATTGAGAAACTGGGTCATGCTTCCAAACTAAAGGAGTTACTTGGAATAATTTGCTGAGAGTAAATATGTACGGGAAAGTGGCCTGTGATGAAGCTGGCACCGAACCATTGTTAAAAACCTGCAATCAAAGCACAGGCTACTATTTAAATAATTTAAATAATACAATTTGCTGAACCAGAACAGCAATACTAGAATAAAATATGAACATAACAACTCCTTAGCATAATATATAGGAAATTCAGTTAAAAAAACATTACCTGGGCAGTAAGGTTTTGGACAAGAAGATGGTGATTATATGGAATGTGGACGCTGGCCTTAATTGCTATCACGTTTAAGCCTGATTCCCCTGTTTTTAGTTCGAACAATAAAGTGAATCAACTGATTTATGATAACTTATATTTTCTTTTCTCATCTTTTTTTTTTTACCCCCAATGGCTCCAAACGCAGGGAAACCATGGAACTGGAAAGAAAACAATGCAAAACTATGTTATGAGGAGATGTTGCTTTCATAAAAAGTGATTCAACACCAACAAAAGACACAGAGGCTGAACAACAGATACAAAACAGAGCATGAAGCTGAATAGCAAAAAATTATAATGAGCATCAAATTAGATTCAATTACCATCATTTTTAACGCCAACAAGTAGCTCAGTCTCTTCTCCAGCTGTTGCCACTGCATCAAATGAGTAAGGAAAAGTAACCACCAGAATTATCTTAGAGGAAATAACAGATTATAAGTATAAAACAGGCAAACCATACTTTTCTGAGCTCCAGAAGAAGATTCTTACCTTTTGCGCTATTTTTTGGGAACAGACAAATTGTATCAATTCCAGGAGCAGAGGAAAAGCTCCCATCACCAAAATCTTGAACATCATCGCCAACAATGCCAAGATCACTCACTTCTTCAGTTGTCTCTGCAGCATCATTCGTGTCTGACTGGCACCTAACAACTAAGAAGTAGAAGAACTATATTTTACTACCATCATGTACATTTATCAAGGCCATGCACAAAATGTATCATAATATTAATCAAATAAAGTTTAGCAAGATATTTCTGAGAATCAGAACTAGGGTCCCAAAGAGGATCAGATATGAGCTGCACTGAGTTCCCAGCTTGAAAAAGATGCTATATTAGAATAGATGAACTTTCAACATCAAATTTAAAATGAAATGAACCAAACTAAATACAAATAACATCCAGTTGCGTACAGTTGATCGCCATTTTAAGTGATTCTGAATCAGAACCCATGCGAAACCATGAATTCAATTAGAATTTTATTTTGTAATAAAGATACAGCTAAATTGAATTTAATTAAATGCAACCGAATGCTTTAAAGTTTAAACTATTGGTTCCAATAATAGGCATCATCATCTAAAAAGACAAACTTCTAATACAAGTGCCTGCCAATACGATGGCCAAAATTGACAAAGAAACCTCCTGTCTATAACTTGTGCATAAGTGATGCTAAAAACGAATGTTCATCAGTTCTGCCGCAGATAAGCAGTGAAAGCGGAGAAAATATTATGGTCCAACAAAGGTCAAGAGCCCAGAAAAATTAAATTTAAGAGGAAAAATTCAGATCAAAAATCAAAATCCTGCTCCGAGTGAATTGGGTCCGAAATTAGACTGGTAACGGCACTGGAATGAATAAAAAAAGGTTGACTTTCCTCAATGCAAAACATCGATATCCAAATACGCATGCAAGCATCGATCTTGCATCAATTAAACTTCATATGAGAAACAAAATCAAAATCTGGGAAATCGGAATGAATGCACAGAGTGCAAGTACGGACAAGCTGACCAGCCAATTATGAAAGTACACCGAAGCAAAATCGGATCTAGATCTAGAATCCGAGTAACATACCCTGTGAGAGAGGGGATGCAAGGAGGAAGAAAGCAACACAAAAAATCCAAACTTTGTTGAGGGGCGCCATGGGTGGGAAAAGGCCAAGGTCTAGGGTTGGCTTGCACTATTGTGATGACAGTTATGAAACTCGTGGCCTTCGAATTAAAACCATAAAATCGACGGGGATTTTTTAGTACTACCAAATACCAACAACAACACTGCTTTTGGGGAAAACCTTGAAAGGGCACGTTGTCTCTGGTTCAACTAAATGTTGCTGTCGTTTTGGAGCATTCTCTAATTTTTGTGTGTCAATTTTTTTTTTCACTGGTTATTCGGGCTTTAAAAAAACATAGTCAAGAGAAATGTGTAATTACACTTTTTGACACAGAATTGTGATAGGTGATGACACTATACAACATGCATTTTTAACAAAGTTAAAAAAAAGTCTTTTAAAAAAATTATTTTTGATTAAACTGACAATATTCAAATCTAATATAATTAAATAGTCATATAAGAAAAACAAAATAAGCGTTATTGATAAAGCCATACCTAATACATTATAAACACTTATCTTGTATTAAGTTACTGTCATTATTTAAATTCTATGTTACAATCTAAATTAAGAATATGCATGAATTATTAAATATTTTTTATTTCTAAGAAAATTTTGTATGTTTATTTTTATATATCTAATGTCAAACAATTCATTTCATTGTTTTCCTTGAAATTGCTAATTTCCTCTAAATTATTATCACCTGTGGGTCTGAATCTATCTAGTTATAATTAAAATGCAAAGGCATTCATATGGTTATGAGTTGGATTTAGGCCATCGTGGTCAAATGATATTTTGATCCTTTCATATATGTTAGAAATACTCTCTTCAAGCATTTTTGTAAGAATTTTATTGACTAATTCTCTAATATTAATGACATTAGTCACAGATATAAGGATATTTTTAAAAAATTATTATAAATATTTAACTAAATTAAAGAATGTTATATTAAGGATGATAAGACCTTGTAAATAATATTCAAATTCCTTAATTTTTTGGGAACAGTTGGGGTAAGGGGCTATAAGCGTAAAAATAAAATCCCTCATGGTTGGTTTGGTTTAATAAAGATTTAAATTTGGATTTGAACTAAATCTTTCATTTAAATATACAAAAAATTATGAATATGAATTTGATTTAAATCTAAATTCATTTTTTTATCATAATTGCTTTGTAATTTTAAATCTTCTTGACACCATAATCATTTCAAACATTTCATTCTTTTCACATTTTTATTATTGATATATCTATGATTCTTTTATATTTTCTTATTTCTCATTCTCTTCTTCCATCAATTAAAAAATATAGAAAAATTTTTATTTTTTATTTTTTATTTTTTATTTTCATTTTGAATGTAAGCTCAATTCAATGAAAAATTCATTTTTATTTTCATTTTCTTTATTTAAAATTTTTAAAACTACCCAAATAAAAATTTTAAATACATAAATTTTAAATGTAAAAATTTAAATATAAAATTTCAAATCCAAAATTTAAATCCATCAATCTAATTGCTACCTAAAATTTATCTGCAAATTAAATTTTTGAAACTTATTCATCATTAAGTTCTTAAATAGGTAAGGACCTATTTATTATTTTTCTCCTTAAGTATTCTTCAACAATAATGGCACAGACACGTTTTTAACGTGTTGGTAAAAATAATTGTACAAAAATAGTTAAGTAAAAAAATAATTACAACATAGAAACAAGGAGAACTTTCATTGCAACCCCCTTGATCAGACTTACTGACAATCAAACTTTATAAAATTGTAAACATCAATTCAATTCATGTGAGTCCCACGTGGGTTAAATTGAAATTAAATTTTTAAAGAAATGGCACAAATAAACCCAATCCACCTTTTACAAAAATAACTGAGGTAAAAATAAATAATTTGTATATAGAAAATGAACAATTAAAGTGGAGAACATTTGTAATTGTCTCATTAATAAGATAACACCACTATTTAATCAAGGGAAAAAAGAAAATGAATAAATACAATATGAGAACTAGACAACTAAAGTGGGGGAATGGAGTTCTTTATATTGTTTTTTCTCAAAAACTTAATTTCAATTTAACCAAAGTGAGACATATAGGAAATGAATTGATGTTTCAAAATTTTAGGAATTTAACTAATCATTTTAAAATCAAATTGAATCAAACAATCAAATCAATTTAACTATTGACTAAAGCCATTAACAGCTCTATTTGGACAAAAAACAATTTTCATGATTGAGCCAAATTTAATCAAAATTAAACTAAAAATTAAAGTAGTTTTAAGAAAACCAGACAATTTTACATATAATGTTTAAAAAAACTTAAAAATTAAAAAAATCATAATAATTCAAAAAATAGATCTTACTAAAAGTTAACTTTATTTTTAGACAATTCAAATGTATAAAATATGATTTAAAACAATTTTTTATAAAAGTGTTGACAATTAAAGATGTAAATATAGATACATTTTAGTTTACTTATATTTAATTTAATTAAGATTCACCTATATTTGACAAGTTTTAAAATTATAATTTATAATATTATTAATTTACATTCATGTCATTTTATTATCATACTATGAATTTTTTCTTCTATATATTATATATATTTAATATTATTTTTGTTTAATTATTATGTTATCAATTTGACTATTGATCCAACATAATTGGATCATGCAAATCGTGAATCACTAATCCCTTTTGATTTAATATTTGATTTGATTTTGAAAATATTAGATTTAACTGCTAATAATTAAGACTATTATAGTTAGAGTCGATAATTCGGGCCAAACTCAACTGGCCATTCTGAACTCACCATAAAAAAGTTGGAGTTGTGATTAGTTATATAAACTTTTTAAAGAGAGTAGGATATTTCAAATTTAATTTAAATAAGTTGGCTCAAATTAAACTCTATCCAAATAAATTCAATTTGTTTGAATTACCGATCCTAATTGCAGTGAAATTTTTTCTGAATATACATATATATATATATATATATGCTTCCTCCATTATTAAGTTATGATGAGTGCCAAAAGACACAGGCGTTATGCACCCTCAACAGTCAACTCTAAAGACACAACGACACCATCTTCGACGTCGTATACTCGTTCGACAGAACACGACGATCGATCAATTGTACACGCCGAGATTCAGATAACGAGAAAAGCCAAGGGATGAAATCTTAGCGTAGTTCGTCGATGACGGACGCTCGTTCGGCTGCGCTTGTGCTGTCACACTTCAGCTAGAACACAAAACTTTCTCGTCACAGCTTAATCTATTATCCCTCGCTGAATTTCGTTCGGCACCTCTATCCTTGCGTTCCGTTTACCAGATCCCGACCGAATTCCGGGTATGAAGGGTTGTATTATCATGATTTGCTTTCCATTTATTATTTTATAGGTTTGTCTTGACGCTATCCATCTTTTGTTTTCATCTTATGTCTTAATATTTCTTGGATTATAGTTAATGCAGTTCTATTTTTTCATATCCTGCTTGTTTTTGCAATGTAAAGTAGCATTGAGGGCTCCAGTAGTGGATGAGGTGTGCACAAATATTTTTTAATATTAAAATTACTTTTCTCTTCTTCTTTGATTTTTCATTCCATTGAATAGTTACGACTTTCGATATGTTCTTATGACCCTGTTGAGTCTTGCCAACATAATATGCAAGCAGAACCCAAAAGGAACTGTCTGAGCCCCCTTCCTCCTCCCAAAAGCAAAAGCAAGAGTCATGACTTCCAGACATGGTGAATCTGCATTTTGAATTGTGACACCATGCAGACTGTTTGTTTTTCTTATCCAAAGCTGAAATCATTCGCCTAAGCCTTCTTAGTTATCGTTTTGGAACTGACATTTGCAGCCTAAGGACTGAGAGGTTGAGCCCATGGACTGTACAGCTGCTAGAAAAACTCAAAAGGCTGACAGAGAAAAATTGAGGAGGGACCGGCTCAATGAACAGTTTGTAGAATTGGGTAGCATTTTAGGTAATGAAACCTTCTTTTTGGAAATACAAAATTGCTACTAGTGGTCTAGAGCTTGATTTATGATGTAACATTTTCATACTTTCCATTGATTAATTATTTGGCTCCTGGACCGTTTTGCATGCAAATATTTCCAGATGAGTCATAAATTAGAACAGAATCTTGTGTGCAGAAAAATGTTTTATAGGTGGGTGATATCTATACCTTGCTGATGATACTTGTTTATGGGTTTCTTCATCAACATGTTAGAGGCTTTAAAGAGTAATTGTCAGTCTAGATAGAAAAGTGAGTAATGGAGTTTCGATATTGTATTCGCACTCTAGTTTCTGAAGTAACCTGGTTTGGCTTAATATTTTATTAGTTTAGGCTCTTTAGGATATGATATGCATATGATAGTCATTTAATGTTAGGAACTGAAAAAACACACTTGAAATGCAGATCCTGATAGGCCCAAAAATGACAAAGCAACCATTCTTGTTGATACAATCCAATTGCTGAAGGACCTTACTGCGCAAGTTAGTAAACTCAAAGAGGAATATGCAATGCTGACTGAAGAATCCCAAGAGGTAATGGTAGCCTTACTTATTTTGTAACTTAGTTGTGGGACTTAAGTAATAAAGCTAACTATCTCATCTTGTTAAATCCAGTTGACTCAGGAGAAAAATGATCTTAGGGAAGAGAAGGCCTCTCTTAAATCAGACATTGAGAGCTTGAATAACCAATACCAGCAGCGTCTCAGGACTACTTTCCCTTGGACTGCAATGGATCACTCAGTTATGATGGCTCCACCTTCATATCCATATCCAGTGCCAGTGCCAGTGGCAATCCCTCCTGGTCCAATTCCTATGCATCCACCCATGCAGCCATACCCCTTCTTTGCAAATCAAAATCCTGGGGTCATCCCAAATCCGCGTTCAACCTTTGTTCCTTATCCGGCCCCTAATGCTCTTGTTGAACATCAGTCCGCGCAATATGTAACCCTCCCACTTCCTCCAGGTAACCATTCCCATGCACCAGGAACACAAGATTCCAGAAACAAATCATCCAGGGAGAGCAAGGTTGAAAATGATGAATGTGCTAATGATGTCACCACAGACCTGGAGTTGAAAACTCCTGGATCTACGACAGATCAGGTTAGTTATTTCTTAGGTTCAGTTTTTGAAGAAGATTTCACCATAACTATGAAAAGTATTATATTCAACTTGTGTCGACATGTTGGGTTTTTCAGGAGTTTTCATCTGGGAAACGAAAATCCAGCAGGTTGTCCAAGAAGGAAAGCGGTTACACAGAAGGGAGTTCATCTGGCAGGTGTTCTTCCTCTCATAGCTTACAGGATAGCTCATCAAGTAGCGTAATTGGGAGCAGAAAAGCTGATGAATGAGGAGATTCAATTTTACAGAAAGTGCTCGTGCTTTTTGAATATAATCTGAGGCTTTTCTTTCTGCTTTCATTCTTACAAAGGTTTGCAAGCAAGTGTTCCTGGGACTAGGTTGCTTTGGTTCTCTATTACTGGCTGCGAAGGTCTTAGAAGCAGTCGTAAGAGGAATCACGTTTTACTCTTGCATCAAGAGTTCAAGACCTACTTAAGGTTCAGGAGTGTTATGTTGCATTTTAAATTCCATGCGGCACGTTCGTAGTCAGGCCTTTGTTCAAAGATAAACTGTAGGGTCTCCAAGTTCTAAATGCTACCTAACTTCGAATCAGAAGAAGCGTGACTGGTTCAATTGTTATATTTCCTGGGTCTTGTATAAAATTGGAATTTCATTTCAATTGCAGTATAACTAGTAATTTGATTGCTACGGATATATGGTTTCATAAATTCTGAATATCATGTGTTGTCAACTCATTGATTTGGGAACTACCGTGTTAAATTTAAATCCTATATGAGATATGAGTAACAAGCATTCAAGTTAATTTAACACTCACGTGTATACAAGTTGCTGGATAGGATGCATATAGGCCATGTTTGATATGTAGGCCTCAATTTAAAAGGATTGAAATTGGTAGTGAAAATAAGATTTCAAAATTATATTTAGTATGGAGTAATATTTATAGAGAATATTTACCTTTATTTTATTTTACAATTAAATATAAATCATAAAAACACTATAACGTCCTTAAAATAATAAAAAGAAAAATTGTAACCTAGCTATTATTTAACACAATTACTCTCTTTCCCCCCCAAAGACCACAGCGGTGCAAAAGGCCATTTCCTTTGCTCTCTTTGCCATGCATGAAGGCCACGTTCAATCTTCTTCTTCTTCTTCTTCTTATCATTGTTCCTTTTCTGGTTTTCATGTAGATAGATGAAGTGATGGAGATCTGCTCACTAGTGATCAATGATACAAATGGCCTTTTTGGTTTTCGATACATGAAGGGTACTTATTCATTGGTGATGCAAATCGACAAGCTGATGGAGTGAGACCTTCCTCTTCTCTCTTTCCCATCACTAGTGTGGGAACTAAGAGACATCATTTGTCCATCCTTGCTCAACTCTTCCATTCTGTCATCATCGTTGTTGTTCTTCATACACGTGGTTGCCATCGCCATCATTGTCACCGTTGTGGCTGTTAGGTGGGGTGGAGGCTGGAGGGCAGAGGAAGAGATGAGGGAGAAGGGGTGGAGGGTAGAGGGAGAGATGAGAGAGCGTTGGGGTGGAGGGCATGTGGGCCAAAAAATAATCAATATCAAGATTTATTTTTCAATACTAAAGAGTAAATGGTATTGACTTGGTGGGATTGGAATTAAATTTTTCATCATCCCATACCAAACATGAAAAAGGTGGGATTGCCTATACCAATCCAATCTTCTCAGTGCTTTGTACCAAATAAGTCCATAGTGTTTTGGTATGAATAGAGTATGATTCTCAAAGTTATGAACATACTTAGCATCTTAATGTTCTACTGGGTTGGCTTGTAGAGCTAGTCGTTGAAAGATGGCCAGTAGAGGTGTTAGGTGAATGAGCAATCTCATGCCAACACACGATAGTTATTTATTTAAATTTATTATCTTGGAGGTATGTTTAACTATCACCATCTTAATAGAGTGGTTTGGGTGTTATATTTAAGAATTTTGTTATGAAACAATCTAAGGAGATGTGACTTGTGAGTAGCAGTATAGAAATTTATATTGAAGCAACGTTTATTATTTATTTCCACAGATTCTAGAACTAATTTGATAATTGAGAGATTCCAACAATTGTATTTTTTTCCTCGAAAGTAATGTAAGAAACATATCTAGAGTATTTACTTCTAATTGAATTTAACAATGCTCAAATCTAATACGATCAAATAATCACATAAAAAAAGAGGATTGATAACAGAAACAAAAAGCTTTTAATCAATCATTTACAGATGTTGATATACACGTGTTAGTGTGTTGGATAACAAGACCTATACGGTAGATATCAGTCTAAGCACAAAGTGACTATGCCTCAATTTTATTTATGGTCACGTTGCCATAAAAAGATTTGAATGGAATAAGGAGAACGAAGAAAATAGCAAAGGAAGGGAAGGTTTATTTCAGATTTTTTTTTAATAAAAAAAGGTCCTTTCTTTTGCATAATTCGTGATCCAAACATACCTGAGTAGAAGATATATCATCATGTAGATATAAAGAAGAGCAATTACCCAATTACTTTATCTAAATGGATTACCGTGCAAGTGTCTTTCATGGCAAGTGAAGCGTGTTGTGTTGTTTATTCGACACACGAAATGATAATTGAATGCTCTCATCCTTCTCAATGAAGACATTACTTTGGCATCGGACACTTCCAAGGACTAGCACAAGATAAAACATGCAAGTCGGACACAAGTTACACTCAAAGAATATATGCCAAAGCCAACCAAGTACTAGCTAGAAGCAAACGAAGCTCGTGATATAAATCATTGGCCACAACTTGGTTTGTCTCCATCCCTGTCATCAGAATAAGCAAGAGAGATTAGAGATGGAATGGTTGTATCCCAAGAGGAGGGGTGCAGAATGGAAACAAGGATGGACAGGGCACACCATGTCCTCCATTTCTGCTCCATCACTCCACTTCCTTATGATATTTGGCATTGTCATTAGCTTGTTGTGGTTCTCCCAATCCACAGATTACAAAACTCAGTTTCATCATGCAGCCATTAGCTTTCACTTATTCCTCTTACTATTGCCCATCTTACTGATATTCCTCATTCTTTCATATTCGACCGGTAGAAGGCTCAGTTTCCGTCTGACTCCACTCAGATCATGACTCGCTGAAGCAACCTGGTGTGTCTGTCTCTTCTTCGAGTGTGTCCATCTTGGTGCTTCTGCTTTTGGTTTTGCTTTGGTACCAATCTTCATTTCAGTCGATGTGGTTTGGCCTCTGAAGGTCAGACTAATTACCACAGACAGGAGAGACTGAGAATTCTAGCACATCGTGTTGGCACCTTTAGAACCTTGTCTTTAAATTAAAGCTTTCTCCTCGCGTGTTTTCTGCTCATGTTCTCTCATCTAGATTTTGCAACACACCGCGCATTATATTATTTGTCAATAAAAAAAAAAATGCTTAGTTGCCTATCTAAGAAAGGTGATTGGTGAACAGAAAGTTTGTCTGCCTTGAATGATTGTGATTCAATTACTAAGTATAAGTGAAATTGAAATTTCAATATTTTTATGACCAAAAAAATAAAAAAGAGGAAACTTATGCTGGACGATTTCGTTTATTTTCTTTCCTTTTCGCGGACTATCGGGGCAAGTTTTGACTACCGGTAGGAATCTGAAGACTTTTTTTTTTTTTTTAATCTCCTTGCTTCTCTGGCATCCAAGACGGAAGAATTCAGAGCTACTTTTCCGATCAACTAGGTTCCATATCTTAAACCAGATTCATACAACACCATCTTCTATCATATATTTACAATAATCACAACTGACAAGATCTATGTCTTAGATCCGAAGTTTTCTATCCTATGACAAACAAAATAAAATGAATTATCGTTTTATCTAGAAAATCAAACCTCTAAAAAACAAACAAACTTGCAAACAAACAGAACAGCATTAAAATCACATCAAAAGAACCAGCTTTCAAGAAAGGAAGACTGGTACTGAACCATGATAAGCAAGACCACAATAAGAGCAGCCACACCCCATGGCGAGCTTCCCTCTGATGGAAGGTGATGAGTCCTTCTCTGTCTTTCCCATGGCGAAGAGCCGAAGAAGAACCAATCGGAAGTATCTACGGAAGACAACCACCGGGCTAAGAGTAGGATCGCAACTGGGGTAGCAAACAGAACCCAACCCAATTGTTCTTCTGCACTTTCGACAACTTCCTCGTAGGATAAGTACCACGACATGCCGAGGAAGACGAATAACACGGCAAGGATCAGAAGAACAGGGTATGGGAGAGGGTTCAGAGTGAACCCATCGAAAAAAGAGGAGGCTCTGCTTCTACCATAGGCCATTGATTGGCGAAGAACTTTCTGGCTATCGGAAAAAAGATAAAGATTTGATTGAGGAGGTAGGTTTGAATATCAGTATCGGAGTGAGAAGCCCATTATGAGAGAGGCAAAGCAATTATATGAAGACGCGTTTAAGTAATCCCGCAAAATGTGCAAAAGCTTTGTCCAAAAGCAAACAAAATCAGCAACGGTTTAAATTGCCCAGCTTCTTCTGCTGGGTTAGTGTTTTATTTATTTATTATTATTATTTTTGCCAACTGGGTTAGTATTTTAATTTTAAATAACTTAATAGACGGTGATCTTGATAAAAGAAACAGTTACATTTAAGGTTCAAAAGATTGCATTAAATAATTACCGAGAGAGTTTTATCGTCTTTATAATTATTCTCAACTCGATCCAATTAATCAAACTAATGGTATTTTGGAAATCCAGGTAGTGTGGCTTAAAAAACATTAATCCTTGAACGTAAGTACAACATTTAATATTTTTAATATAAAATTTGCAAATATAAGTTGTCATACAGCTATAGGCATACTTAATTAATTAATGCATTAAAAACTTTATTTGCTATGAATGGTGACGATGACGGTGCCGCTCAAGACTCCCCGAATTGCATGTCTTCATCCCACGCCTTGCTTTAAAGCAACCCCACCACTATCCATCTTATTGATATTGAGAACGAAGCGCTTGTTTCATAGTTATAAACTACTATATATAATCCAAAATCATTTTAAATTTCATACAATATATGAGATCTATATTTATAGTTAGACAACAAAAAAATACAATATTATTGGACATAGTTTTTCTATTAAAAATATGTACCTCAATATTATTACTGTTTCGAACTCAGACTGGCATAAAATAAGGTTATTTCAAGTCGATTAAAAAAGGAAAGAAAGAAAATTTGTAGTTAAGGCCACAAAATACAATATTATTGGACATTGTTTTTCTATCAAATAGGTGCACCTCAATATTATAACCGTTTCAGACCGAGACTGGTATAAAACAAAGTTATTTTGAGTCCATTAGGAAGAAAAAGAAAAGAAAAGAAAGAAAATCATTGAGCTCATGTGGGTCATACCTGTCTCGTTTATGATTGCTCATGGTTCTACCATTTCTTTCTTTCTTTCTTTCTTTTTTTAAAAAGGGTACAACTTTCCATATTGAATCTTCCTCTTCACATGCTTTTTCATTCTCCCCGTATCTTTCCGTTCCATTTTGATTTTGTGTACTTAAATACGAACGGTGCGAGTAATTAACACCCTCTCTACTTTGCCTTTTTTTTTTTTTTTTTTAAAAAAAAAAACCCTCTCTACAAATCATAAACCGACCGTATGATCTTTCCAAATGCCTATGACGCTACTTTTTATTGCATGTGACTTGCCCGTAGATGTGTGATTGATTCAATGTTTGACATGTATGTTATTATTATCCCTGAAAATTCTTCAGATGTTGTTATTATATACAAAACTAAATAAATACTACTAACTTCAATTTAAAATATAAAAAAAATTTAAAAAAAATCGTACTAATAAAATCTTTTTTATACAAATATATATTATTTTTTTACTTTCAATCTCAATTATCAATATATTTTATGATGAGTAAGAAATATATTTATGTGAATATTTAAGTTAATAAATATAAAAGTTAAAATGAATTTTTTTACATATACGATATTAGTTATATTTTAAACTAAAATTAGCTGAAAAAATACTTATATTTTAAATTAGAGGTAGTATTTTTCAACTAAAATAATGTATATCCTTTTATTTTTTATTTTTTTAAATTGTGCATAAGTGTTTTTCTATTTAAGGCAATCCTTTTTAGTTTATAGTTAAATGCTAAATAAAAAAAATGATAATTACATTTCAAAATACTGAATTAATATTAATTAATTTCCTGTCAATTTTTTTAAAAAATAAGTTAAAATATCAATTTTAACCATTATAAATTTAAGAGTTTTAATTATAAATAAATATTTAAATATTAAATATAATTTTTAAATTGTAATAAAAAATTTTATTTGTAATTTTTTAAATTAATATTTATAATTCAATTGATAAAATTTTTTATTAAAGATTTAATAAATATTAATTTAATATTTTAAGATTTAATTATTATTTTGTCTGCTAAATGTTAACATATCTTTTCTCCGGGTTGAAATATTGATTTGACATATTTTACCACTATACTAGTCTTGTTGGTTGTGTCTTTTCACTTTGCCAAAGAATTATGCTCTCTGACAGGCTTTATTTTGATTTTTATTTAATATGCTTTATTGAATTCACAAAGCTGGGTAAGCGGATCGGCCCAATACGACTTTTGTAGGGTTCCCACACCATAGACCCAACATTAAGGGATCGGCCGGCCCAAAGGCTTTCCTTTGAAATTCATGAAATTTCAGGAGCTGAACTATTTTTGTATTATTGTTTTAAGAATTAATATTTTATAAAATATATTTTGAAAATAAAAAATAATAAAAATAAGAGTTTTTTTATTTTTTTTATTCTTCAAAAAAATAATTTCAAAATACTTAAAAGTTATTTTAATTTTTTTACTCTCAAAAATAATATTTTGTTTCTTTATTTTTTAAAACACTTTTTAAAAATATATTATCAAATAAATTTTTTTATTCTTTTATTTTAAAAAATAAAAAATTATTTTTAAAATAAGTTGCCAAACATATTCTTAATCTCTCTCTTTAATTTTTTTTTTAGTCAACAAATTCTCAAGATTCATTCCTTTTTTCTTTTTTAAAAAAATTGAAATATAGGACCGAAAACGTTTCGGCACAGATAGTTTATTGAAATCTTTCAACTTCACCAACCTAATCTCTACCTGTCTTCCATCCTTTTCATGATCCACTATGACGCTATCTTTGACTTGCGAACTGAAATTGATGACCAAATTTTAGATCCTCTTGCATCTCTCGTTGCAAGAGGGAGAAAAAATGTTTTTACTTTTCAGTCCAATTTTCATAGTCCATTTTGATTTTTTTTTAGGTTTTAAACTAACAAGTCAATTAGATTATAGGTTAAAAAAAAACCAAGTCAGTTATAACTAATCAGTCGAGATTTGATTATTAATTTGGATTACAGGATCAAATCAATTCAATTTATCACAATAGGGAGAAATGATATTCTTAAAAAAGCAGGGTATAAATGAGATTGTTCGTTGACAGGAAATTACCGAAGCTCGGCTGAATGATCTACTATTAAATAAACTAGTCGAAAAGAATAAATTTAAAAAAAATAAAAATAAAACTATCCTTCTCTTGTTTTTCCTTTTCTTGGCCTTGCAATCGCAGTTGCGCTCGAATATAGCAGAGGCTCAAATTCAACCCTATTTCAGAAATTGGGGACTTCAAGTGAAAATTTTTCTGACTCCCCAATCAACATACTCTGAATCTTCGATTCCATTGATCAAGCAAAATCGATTTTCTTCGATCTGTTGCCACCATAAACTAAAAGATTTGCATGCAAATCCAGAGAGAGAAGACAAGTGAAGGTAATATAAGGACGTCGTCATGAGGCCTCAGAGGAACCCGATCCACGCCGTCTCAACATGGGTGAGGCGACAACCTCCGAAGGTGAAGGCTTTTCTGGCCGTGGTTTCGGGTATGGCGGCTCTTGTGTTGCTTCGAGCCATTGTTCACGATCATGATAACCTCTTCGTAGCCGCTGAGGCTGTGCACTCTTTAGGAATTTCCGTCCTCATCTATAAGCTGATGAAAGAGAAGACGTGTGCTGGTAAATAGCTTCGTCCTTCGACTGGGATGATTTCATTTCTTGATTGATTCTTGGTAATCTTAGGATTTTTGGGACTACGGTGAGTTGCAAATATTTTCATGGTGAAAAGTTTTGATTATGAATCGGCATTTGGTATAGCTTTAAACAAGATTTTTCCTTTCTTATTCCTCTTTTCTGGGTCTTGAGAATGGGGTTGACCCAGTTTTTCGGCTCATTGGGCTGGTGCGTCCTCCTCCCTTTCTTTCTGTGATGAATATATAATTGGGAGTTCTTCGGGGCATTTAAAGTCGCCTAATGTTTAGTTTGATGAACAAAAGTAGTCTGGACAAGGAAAAAGATTAATCTTTTCTGATTAAAATTTTCGTTTGTTGTAGCTATGTTTGAAAATGCTGTCTGCATGATTGAGCCTGGCTAATGATTATCCATTTTCTCTCTTTCTAGAGGCTACTTATTCTTTTGTTTACACAAACAACAGCAAGCATGCTTTTCATCTCATTTTTATCGTGACAATTACTTTTTATTCAGAGTTTCTCTTGATAAAATTGAATTCGTCGAGAATGCCCTTCATAAACATTTGGACATTTGAATATTGTTAATATCGTTACTTCGTCGATATTTGTAACTGTAAGACTTGCTTTTCTTTTAAAGCTCTGAGAGACTGTCAAAATGACTGTTTCCATAAATGTTACAATGTTAGGGTTGTTAGTGCCTGGAGCACACTTTCTAATTTTGTCCCCTTCTTTTTCATTTTCTTGGCAATCAGATTGAGCATCAAGAGCATGTAAGGTTCAGAATGTGCTTGTTGGATCATGTGTGTGTGTGTGTGGCTTTCTTCGGAACTTTTGGATGATTTCTTTTCCCCAAATTTCGTTACTCAATTTCTTGATAATTCTAATCGAATAGAAAGGAGACCGATATGTGTAACTGTTTTATTTTGCTGACGGGTTGTTATTTCCATCTTGCAAATATTACGGGGATGGTGTTTTCTTTGATAATGTCATCTTTCTCTGTGAATGGCACACATTTGTTCATTTCTCTTTCATCACAACACTTAACTTCTTTGGAATGACGTACAGGACTGTCCCTCAAATCCCAGGAATTAACGGCTATCTTTTTGGCTGTTAGGCTGTACTGCAGTTTTGTCATGGAATTTGATATACACACTCTACTTGACATGGCTACTTTGGCAACAACACTGTGGGTCATTTTTATGATACGTTTTAAGCTCAAGTCTAGTTACATGGAGGAGAAGGACAACTTTGCAATATACTATGTGGTAAGCCCCTATTATACTTTTCCAAAAATCATAACCTTTATCCATATTATTTTCCCAGGCTAAGGATGAATGTAATTTTTTTATGAGCTTGTGTTCTTTGAGTGTTTATCTCCTATGATTTTTTTTTTCTCTTTTCTTTCCTGTTTGACTATCTCTTTATTTTGATGATATCTATCTTCCTCTTCTAATAGCTAAATATTATTGTGACTAATAACTTGTGAATTGCACAATATTGTGCTATCCCATTCTTTACTCTGACGTACTTTTATCCTGAATATTGATTGCAGGTGATACCCTGTGCTGTGTTAGCCTTGTTTATTCATCCGTCTACTTCTCATCATCTATTGAACAGGATTTTCTGGGCATTCTGTGTATATCTCGAAGCAGTTTCAGTGTTACCCCAACTGCGGGTTATGCAGAACACCAAAGTATATTCTCTTAACTCAAAAAGCACCGTTCCTGCAATCACAGGATCCACTCTGTTAACCTTTTTATATAACTCGCGTCACTTTATACTTTCAGATTGTTGAGCCATTCACAGCTCATTATGTATTTGCATTGGGTGTGGCAAGATTCCTAAGCTGTGCGCATTGGGTTCTTCAGGTACAATTTTGTTAATTGCTTTAGTTACCTTCGTACCTGTTTAATTCATATGCTTTAGTCACCTATTCTTGATCAACAGTCAAATGTTCACATTTATGTGGATAAATTTGGTCTAGGCAAAATTTTTATTGGATGATAGCAATACTCCTTTGCATTCGCATCTAATTTACCTTTTCTATGTTGTTTGTTTCGAGTTTTGACCCTCTAAAAATAAGCTGCTTTAATAATGCATGGGGAGTCCTAATGGCTAGTATAATGTTACTTTCTTGTGACAGGTGTTAGATAGCCGTGGGCATTTGTTAGTTGCCCTGGGATATGGTTTATGGCCATCAATGGTTCTTTTCTCAGAAATTGTCCAGACTTTCATCTTGGCAGATTTTTGCTACTACTACGTTAAAAGGTTGGTTGAATAGAATTATGCAGCTTTTTTGTCATCTTGCCACCTTTCTCTTGCAGCCTTCACTGCGAATATGTATACAGCTTATTTAAGGCCTGTTTAGACTTTAATGAGTGCACGAGTTAGTCTGAAAATATCAAACATTTTGAATTTGGTGTTCTTAGCATATTGGGATCCCTTGACAAACAAACTAGTGTGCAAGGAGTTTATGATCCTTTAGAGCTAACTATGGCACTTGAATAGGATTAAATGGACTAAACAATTACTAGATCTAATTGTTAATTTACTAAGTAATAACATTTTTAGACATATTTTTAACCCTGTTTGATCCATCGCAGTGTTATTGGGGGACAGCTTGTTCTTCGTCTTCCCTCTGGAGTGGTGTGATTGAAGATCTTCTGCGACGAGCACATTCTCACTTGGATTTAACTTAATCTGCCAACACTTAGGGTCATCTTCGCTTCAAGCATGTTGTGTTGATGCACTTGTTAGGTCTTGATGTCTCATGATGCGAAAGATGATTCCTTCTTTGACGAAAAAAGTAAAGGAATGTTTACGTTTACACTTACAGTATGTCATTTGTATTCTGTAGTCGAACATACTTTATACACAAGATTTCTGATTGTTCTTTCTTTCTTCTTTCGCCCTGTCACACCGCCATGCTCAAGCTTTAATTACCTTTGCAACAAGTGTAAATCTGGCTCACCATTCCCATGTTACTGTGTCTTATGCAATAAATTCAGAATAGAATAAATGAATGTTAGGAAAGAAGAATAGGAGATAGAACTAATAAAACTCTTCTCTTTAGAAGTTATTTATATATGTAAACTGGCGGCTGTTACTATTTTTTCAAAGTTCAGAACTTGTATGAAGATAAGTAATCAATCAGGCGCTCAAATTCCTGGCCAGAATTCCCTCGTAAGTTATGCCAGGTCCAAAAGCCAGAATCAATCCCCACTCAGAAACCTCTCTGTCATCGCTCTCAATTTTGTGATCCTCCTCCATCATATACTCTAGCACGTACACTATAGTATTGCTACTGGCATTTCCATAATCCATTAAGGCCCTTCTACTTGCATTCAGCTTCTCTGGCATCAAATCAAGCCTTTTCTCTATCCGATTCAAAATTGCAGGACCACCTGGATGAACAGCCCAGAACAGCTTGTTATAATCCTTGTTCTCTTTGAACCCAAAAACATCTGCTATTAACATGTCACAGAACCCTTCGATGTTGTCCTCAATTATCTGAGGAAGCTCTCTTGCTAGCTTGAAGCTTATCCCTTCCTCTGTTAGCTTCCCATCAATTATCTTGTGTGTGTGTGGCAGGAACTTCTGTGCCGCCGTGTGAAGCTCAAAGAGAGGCCTTTCAATTCCCACTATAGGATCCGACCCGATTATCATGGCTCCAGCACCATCCCCAAATAGTGCTACCCCGACAAGATCATAGGGTCTATCTGCACTTGGTGGTTTGAACCCAATAATTGTAGTTTCAGAAGTAGCTAGCAGGACTCTGCTTCCGGGGTTGTTCTCTGCTATGTCTTTTGCAACGCGAAGGCCAGAGACACCTCCAGAACAGCCCATGAAATACAGCATTGTTCGTTGAGTCTGAGGATTGAGTCCTAGACCTAATATGAAATATGAGAAGATGAAAGATATTCATTATCTGTTTAATTTACTCACTTCTATGTACTCAAATAAAAATTTGCAAAAATATAACAAACTCAAGTACATTTCAATTCTTTCATCTATGGTGACTAAACTAAAAGTAAGAGTGAAATTATGAAGATTCGACCTCAATATTATAGTTTCATGTGACAATAGATTTGTTATTATTTTAACAGGATAGTCCACGATTAGTGAGGAATTGATCCTGCATCACCTGTGGCTAGATAAAGGTCACCACCAGGAAGTCTGGCTTCGCTTGAAGAGACATAAACTAAGTGGGTTATGTCTGATAAAGGCCTGCCCCAGTTCCTGACACAAACTTGGGACGCTTCAATTGCCATTTGTGTCACTGCTTCATTGCATATTTCTAGCCTTTGCTTTACAGTTGGAAGCCCTTCAACCGCCAGTTCTGGAAACTTCTTCAGTATCTCCTCACACATCACCACGTACCTTGTTCTAACGGTAGTTGTCTTGCCTGTTTGCTTATTCCATAAACTCAGTGAATAAGCCGGGCAAGTCTCACAGGAATGCCACGTTTTAAACATTTTAACAAGATAGTTAATGAGCCTATGAAGGTTGAGTCTCAACAAAAAAATGCGGGAAGTAGAAACTTACAGAGTCTAGCGAGCTTCTGCTTGAGCTCAGGATTGTCACAATTGGTGTCTCTGAAATATCCGTCAACTAAATACTCCTGCATCACAAGCTGATGAGGAAAAGCTTTGCCAAGAGCTAAGATCGTAGCCTTCCCAGGGTTAGCTTGCTTTGTTACACCTTTCTGAACACTGCCCTTTTCTCCCATATTTCTTCTTTCAATTCAACTGCAACGAACGTTCTGCAGAACTGACGCAGACAAGGCAGCACACTGGCTTATATAATCCGCCTAGCATGCGCATGATGGGATCTCTGGCATGACATAAATGTATTGGGTGAGACATGAAGTTTGCAATTGTTATATAAAATGTGGATTAGATGGGAAGCAAGAAACTCATGGAGATCATGCTGGTAGCTATTGGGCAGGTGTTGAGTTTCAGTTTTAGGCGAATTACATCCTGTTGGGTTAGTGTATATTCAGCATCAATGCTTGCAACTTTCTTTTCAGTGTTTTCACGACGCTCTAATGGCATAACTTGTTCGTACAATTCGCGAGAAACTGCAGAAAATCCGATGGTAGTAACAATCTATAGAGAGGACAATTAAGCATTAATGATGTTAATAACGAACCACTTGATCACGTTAGTTATCAGACCCTCATCATAAGTTTTACAGCTTAATCACTGAACGAGGATGCTGGTAATGCCAATGGTACGAACTAATGTATTGGAGTAAAAATCATTGGTGGTAGTAAATTGACCATGGTTACTAGCTGACATGAGTTTTTCGGTCCAATCAACCTGAGGTGTTTTGATCAAGATAATATAATAAGTAAATCATACTATGACATCCTCGATATTGACATGAAACCTTGAGCCTTATTCAAAAGGAACATTTATTAAAAAATAGTTTAAATAGCATCTTTATTCTTGAACTATTTTTAAAGAAATACTTAGTATTTTAAACTATTTATTAGAGTAATATCACTCATTAAGTGTTACAATTATTGCAGTATTGTCCATTAACTGTTATCTACCGATTAACTGAGTTAAAAAGCATTTTTATCCCTAAAATATTATTGAGAAGTAACTAACACTTCAAATTTCATGAATTTGGAGTCGTTGACATCCATGTTTTTCTATCAAAACATCACATTATGCTTAGGATGTCGCACGAATGGCCAACTAGATATTCATAGTAAAAAAAAAAAAAAGTTCGTAAATATGCGCTAATAATTAACTGACAATATCATCCCAAGCTATATTTATCCATATTATCAAAAGTCATATAGGTATCCTCAATCCTATAACGTATCAGGAGACATACATAACCTGTGACAACGCCAACTTACAGCGCGAGCTGCCAAGCCATTTTCATTTTTACTGGTAAATCCTTGGTTGGTAAACTAAATGAAATCAACTTTATCATCCTTTCCTTTTTAACCAAACCACGTACATGATGCTTTGATATTGATCATTAGTGCTAATAATTATTTTCTTTACAAAGTGTCCAGTTAACAAGTTATGATAGACATACATAACCTGTGACGTGTTAAACGTTACTAATTGATCATCAATTCAAGTTGATCAAATTATTTTTATTGATAAATACCGAGTCGGCAAAACATTTGATACCTTAAGAGACATATAAATGTTTCAATGAAAAATGCAAAGGTATCGATTGCCCAACATTATAAAACTTTAAGATACTAATTAATTTTCTACAATTACTTTAGGAGTAAGAATGCCCTTTAACCTAAAGTTAATAGTCAACATCAATGTTAGTTACTCAAAGGGTAACATTACAACCATTTTGACATTCGGAAAACAATATTACTCCAATAAATATTTATAGTACACAGTACTCCTTGCAAAATAGTTAAGGGGCAAAATAATACCCTTTAACCTTCAGAAATTTAGCTCCTCAAACCATCGTTTCTTTATGATAAATAATCCCCAGTGGCAACAATGAATCATTAGGCTTAATGCAATTCACCAAACGATGTCAATGGACATACTTTGGCTATCTAACTCAGTGTGGCAACCACTGCAATACCAATCTTTATCAACCTACAAGCTGTTGCTATTTGTGCATAAAAAAGTATAAAATCCCAAACAAATGTAGTGTAATACAATAATGTAACGTTATAATATTAAAAATGGGGTGTAAGGTGTAATTAGATCGTCAAAGTTCAGACAGGCACCTTCCACTGATAAAATTAATGACTTTATCCACTGCCTCATCAAGTGCAGCAGTTACAGCAGCCAAATTCTGCAGGAATTCTTCTGCACTTGGCTTATCACCATCAACAATATCAGTCACAGCTTTTACAAAAATTGCAGGGACCTTTAACAGATCAGCAACATAGGCAATTGCCGCTCCCTGGTGATGAGTTCAAATGGAGAATAAATGGTAGATTCAAAAAATCAAAACAAAGACATATAGATGGATTTAGCTACATAAGATAGAGGGGCACTGATTAAACTTTTCACATTGCCCATTTTTCTCGTGCAATAGCTTGTCGATTGAAGTGATTTAGGCTTAACTAAAAAAAGAGGCCTAACCTATAGCACAGAGGACAAGGCAGGCAAAAGCATGGTGCAGGAAAACAAAATGCAGAAACACAAATTAAGAAATTCAACACCATATAGTGTTTAGTGCAGGATATCGTGAAATGCAAATAAAGGTAATGGAGGAAGCAAAATGCAGAAAAGTTTCTATCATGGTGTAACCACATGAGACAAGAACTTGGTCCTGAGTTTCATCAAATCACTTGCTATTAACTTTCTTAGTCGGGAAATTGAGTGAATTGATAGTTAGAGTTGAAGTTTAGGGTTTACAGACTTTGCCTTTGGTTAGGAGAAAAAAAAAAAGAGGGGAGGAGAGAATGTTTTTATAAATCAAAGTGAAAAATACAATCGGGTGATACTGATATCACCCATCATTAGCATCTTCTCCTAGAATCTTTAGTATATAGCATAGCCTAATATGAAATTATAACGCAAATATGAAAAATCTTCATTCTATGAATATGTGAATTTCTTCTGACAAAAAAAGAAAGAAAGGAAGGAAGAAAAAGAAAAGAACAAGAATCTACGGATTTCATAAATCGCCAATAGGGAAGCATAAAGCCTTTCTAATGTTTGGTTTATAAGAGATACAACAAAATAGTTTACCTCCATATCTTTAACTGTGGCATCGTTTGCAATGATAGATGCTTCATCCTGTTGTGTCATATCCAGAGAGTCACCAGTAGACAACTTACCAGCCTGAAATATTCACACCCATTGTTTAAGGTTAAAAATAGCCTGAAGTCATGAATGGGCTTGATTAGGAATTTCAAAAAATTAGGTGGGTTGTTGTGGCATGGAGGGGATGGGATGGAGGACATGACCCACTCCATTGATCAAAAGTTTGATGAAAAAATAAAGGGCATGTCACTCCCCACCAAGTGATTATTATGATACCATTAGGGGGATGGGGTGGGTTAGAAGGGTGAAATTTCCAAAATTATCTTTATGACGTTAACCTTTTCACAGATAAAAAAAAAGGTAAGGGGAAGGGTTAGGAAAAAATGAAAATTTGTAAAAAAAATAAAAATAAAAACCTAAACCACCCAATTTAGAGAGGTTCAAAAATTGGGGTATGGGACCACCATTTCCCATTGGCTTTTAAACATCTCACCCTACTCTACCCCCTCTCCCAAACCATCCTCCCAATGAAGCCCTAATGTGTAAAGGTAGGTATTTGGGCCAACTGAAGAGCATTGATGTGATAAACAGGAAAGAATCTTAGTTAAAATAGCCACAAGACAAACAAGTACATCAGAAGATGTGGAGTGTTTATACAGATTTTTATCATGCAGTTCACAAAGAATATATATCTGGTTGACTGGATAACTTCAATCATTTACATGAACTAGGATCCAGATCTAATTCAAACGAGCTACTATATTCACTCAACAGATTTCATGAATAGCAATTATGCAATATAGCATATGATTTATCTAAAACATTATACCCATGTAAATCTCAGATATACCTAACTACACCAGAGGGTTTTAAATGAAAAATATGCCTGAGTATCCTCTTTAACAGGCTATTCAGGTAAAGATATCACCCATAACAAGATATTCATGATATTGGAATATATGCAGTTTAGCACATTAGTACCTTCAGATTAAGATCCTTTACAAGATTGGGTGTTTCAAAAGCTTTGCGTGAACCAACTCCAAACAAATCAAAAACCTGTAAAAGAAAATTAAACATGATTGTTTGTTGATAGCAAAGCCGAAATTGCATGCACAAGAACAATCGTATTGTTTGGACCCCTGGTTGGGCTTTCACTTGGAGGATATCATATCCTCCATTCTTTTGTTAGACTCACTTCACATCCTCTATTATTTTGTTACCCTCACTTTCTAATGAAATCCTTTTACTATTAAAAATAAGATTTCTTATCCTATTATCCTCCATTCTTTTGTTACTCTCACTTTCTAATGAAATCCTTTTACTATTAAAAATAAGATTTCTTATCTTGTATCCCTACAATGTGTAGCTGAAAATGGCGGGAAAAAGATTTCTTGCTTCTCACCCTCACACACTTGCGATGAATTTAAGTTTATATACAAGAGCAACAGATAAACCAGGCAGATTGACCACATTTATGGAAAAACATAAGACTCACAGGTATTGGTATTCTTCTGTCATGAAAAGCACAATCTGATATGATGAAAACATCACCAATACTTGCTCCTTTTGCCTGAAAGCAAAATTAAGAGCACAAGTAGAGTGAAAATTGATTACAGAAAATTTTACCATAAATTGTTCTATGAGAAATAAAGAAAAAGATTCCATAACAAAAAAATTCAAAGCTAATGAATCAGAAAGACTCAAAGAAATAAGACGACATAATATGTGAGTTGGTGTCATAAATAATAATTAAAAAATAATCCCATCAAATTTGTTGAGTGGGGAAGATATCTCCTACCTTGAAGCCACCAGCAGTGCCTGCATTTATGATCAAGTCTGGCTGTAATGCTTGAATAGCAGCATATGTTACAAGAGAAGATGATATTGTGCCTATACTATCAACCCCTGAAAGAAATGCGTGCAGGACTCAGCACATAATCCTGAAATAAAAACTCCCATTTTCTTACTCTATGCTCCTTACAGATATGTATGATCCCCCCATGCCCGGTTCTTTTCTTTGTTTCCCCTGGGAGGGGTGGGGCATCTTCTGATGCTTAGCAAAGTGCTACCAGTAAAGATCCTTGTCATGCAGAATAAAATTTAAGTCTCGTTTTCCTGAAAGTAGCAAATCAAATGGGCAACGATGCTGCTGGGATATATTGATACTAAGAGATGCCTGTGTTTTCATTTTAGTGGTAATGATTATGATTTTGTTAGCAAATAGCAACCCATCCAATAAAATTCCCTGATTGTCACAGGTCTTCTATCCAAAGAATAAATGCATCGTCGTAAAAAGTAAAACTGCTGGACGCTTTACCTTCGCATTATAAGATTAGAAGAATCAAAAGGCAAATTGATAATGTTTGCTAATGTCTAGCTAGAGCCATCTATATCCTTTGACAGGATACTCAATAAGTAATAGGAAATAAGCTAGAACTAACACAAAAGCTTACCCAGCGTTGGATCTTTTCCAGGCCAGATTAAATTTATATTGAGATCTTTGTATGTACCACAATAGCGAACCCAAGGGACCCCTTGTGGAAACCTGCACCATCGTGGAAAGACGTCTAGATGTAAATATATGGAGAACCTTGAAATCCACAGCAAGAGTCTATTTTACCCTTATCTACTAGATAAAGAGGGGGAAGAACTAAGTTAAATATGTCATGTCCGCACATGTATATGTTACTCTAACAAAAGGACAAACCTTGGATACTATTTTAAGTGTTTAACTTTACCAAGTCCTTTTCTTCAGTAAAAAAATGACTTAGTCATTGAAAGATCATTCTTCTCCCCAAGTGATCCTCAAAAGATAAAACCCCTGAATTTAGCCCCTAGAAGATCACATTTCTTTCCACTTGATCCTCCAAAAATCCCTTAATTTTGTTCCCCAAACATTTTCGCCACTCTGAATGGACCCTACAAAAGTATTTGCAGTTCTATGATAAACTAAAATCTGGCTCTAATACAAAATGTCATTTTGAAGCATAACATGTCTGAGCAAGTGCCTATTACTCCACTCTTTGCCTAACGAAGGGATATTTTGGTTAACAACATGTTTAGAGAATAAAGTGGAGAGCCTTTATCTTCAAAGAATCAAATTACTAGAAAAATAATTTTCAAGGGCCCAAGTAAGAGAAAAATGATTTTTCAAGACTACTAATTGATTTAGTCTTAAAAAAGTTCCACAATACGCTAAAGATTTTCTCTTTCTGCGCTGCGCCCGACACAACAACAGAAGTTAAAAAAACTTGTGTGCCTGGACTAGAATAAAACAAAGTAAGTGTGATCTACAAACACTCTATGAAAGCAGTCCAGAAATTATAAGAGGCTAAAGCAAGGATCAATAAGATAAACACCTACAAAGAGTTAGTGTCCTCGGAGAGCTGGAACCTATTCACAACAGGAAGCGCCTCCGTCTGCATAGCTGTTTATCCAAATTAACGTAGTCAACAACAAAAAAGAAGTTGCCAAAAAAAAAAAAAAGAGGTAGGGATAAAACAGAGATTGCAGAGAAGGAGGAGGAGGGTGTCGGTGATTGGAGATTACCAGTGATGATGACGATATTGGAAACAGGTCGCTTCTGAAGTTGGTCAGCCATGGCTCCCTTCCCAGCGTCTGATTGGTCGCCACGAAGAGCCACAGCTGCTCCCAGGGTCCTATGGCCTTAATAAAGCCCTTTGCTCCTGCCGTTGCGTTATCTGACTTTTCTAGTTTTCTTCTATTTTCCCGATAGGTTTTCGAGTTCAAGGAAACTGAAATCAGTATGCACGAATCACCGCCACGGAGGATCTAGATTATGTGACTGTGGCACGGACATTAAATGGTTGTACTAATATAAAAAAAAAAATCAAATCAACAGTTTAAATACACCCATTCATCCATTGATTTTAAATAAAATATAAATTTATAATTATTAATATAAATTTTAATAATTTGAATAATATAAATACTCTATATTCAATATATCATTTATATAAAATATAGCCATCAAATCTAAATCCTCACTGCGGTCTTATGCAAATTATTTTGAAGATAACAATCAAATCAAATCAATAAAATGTGTGTGTTTTATATATATGGCAAAAAGAATATGTTTATATATAATGAACTTTCTCAGACGTCCATGGACAAAACAAATATATTTTTTATTGAAAATACATTTTTTTTATTTACTAAGTAACTAGAAAGTAGAAATGAGAGCTTGAATTGTAAAAAAAAAAAAAAGAAATGGGAACTTGAATCCCTCATCAGCAATTCCTTCAATTTATCTTTTAATTTTTTTTTTCAACTATTAGATTAATCTGAATGGTTGTTGCGCTCTTTTTTTGTTAAAAAAAAAAAAAACAGGATGTAATGTAGCATCCACCCCTTTCATTAAAAAATATAAAATATTTTTTAAAAAATTAAATATTTAAAAATATAAAATATTTTTAACATTTTAAAGTGTAATTATTGGCTCATTGTGTCTTTTTTAAAAATTCATCTAATAAATAAACTACTTTATATTTATTTTAAAATAATATATCTTATTAAGTAGAAGTAAGTATGAAAAAAATGATATTAATTTAAAAACAAGTAATTATTTTAATGGGGGATGAAATTTTTTAAAACTTAAAAATGCCTTACCTTTTTAAAAGGGTGGAATAAAAACTATGTAATTAATTCTAAAGTCATATGATCATTTTAATCTAAATATAAAAAGGTCTTATAATTTATTTTATTTTAATTGATCCTTATAGTTTAATATATTAACATTTTTAATTCCTTAAGGTTAAAATCCTTAAATTTTTCCTTTAAAAGAATAAAATTAAAATCTTTTATATTTTGATTAAATGATTATATGACTTTAGAATTAATTACATAATTTTTACTTCTTTCATTAAAAAATATAAATTATTTTTAAATGAATCTCACCTCTCAATAAAAATAATTACTTATTTTTAAACTAACATACCCTTATTTAATGAAACGTTTCACTCAAAAATACATATAGAGTGATTTATTCATTAGGGTACTTTAAAAAAAAATATAATTATTACATATTGAAATATTAAAAATATCTTGTATTTTTTAACATTTAATTTCTCAAAAAATATCTTATATTTTTTAAAGGAGAGAGTATATCTCAAAATTTATATAATTAAATAGTCTTCTAAATATTTTTAATGCAACTAGAATTTTCAAAAAAAATTAAACAATTAATTTTTTTAGCCAAATTTATTTAGTTAAATTTTCTGTGAACTTTACAGTTTTTTTGTGAAATTTAATAATTCATTATTAATTTCAACCTTCAAAGGTTAATAGATATATATATATATATATATATATATATAATAGATTAAATTATAGGGACTTGATTGAAATAAAATAAATTATAGGAATTTGATTCAAAATTGAGTGAAATTTTAAAAACTTGCATATATATTTTTTCTCAAATTTTCAACAGAAAAACTTATTATAAATATACAATATTGATGTGTGTTACATCTTATATCTTTTATGCATGGTAGAAATAATGAGTAAATTTTAGCTTTGCCTGCTTACTATATGCAAACTATCCTCCTTTCATCGAATATTTTTAATGAGATTGCAAATGTTAGTAGAGAGTTTCTTTGGGGAGATGGGGAAAATGGTAGAGAAGTTCATCTTTTAGCTTGGGAAGTACTACAAAATCATAAACAACATGGTGGATCCTAAGGCCCTTTAGGTGCAAGTTCTAAGAATTAAGTATAGATGTGGAAATAAGCATACTTTTAAAGTTAGAAGCATGTCAGAGTTTTTGTCACTTGGAGGAGCATTGCAAAGATGTGGGATTCATTTCAACAACAAATGGGAGGAAAAGTGGCTTGTTTAGGTAACCGAACTTCTTTTTGGTTTGATAAACAAAGGTCAACAACATGACAAGTAACTCATAAATGAAGTGAAGAAATGTAACAAAGCAAAACACAAAGAATGGACACGAGGCTTAATTAACTAGCACAACTAGAATATGATGCAGATGCCTTGAAACAACAAATCCAGCATTCAAATATCCAATTGTCCACAGCAAAATCAAATCCAAGAAAAGGAAAAGGTCTGCAGAACAAAAATTTATTTTCCAACAATTTGTGCTTGCACTTGTGAAATTAAAATGTGCATCACCATGAATGCCTAAAAAGAAGAAGAGTTATGCAAGGCCAAATGCCAAGAAGCTGCATTATTTTCTTTTTAATAACTGTTTTATTTGAACTTGATACTTATGTTATAATGATAATGAATTATAATTAGGCTGAGCACAAGCATACCCCTTATCTAAGCAGTGCCATCATGTGTGCACATGAACTCTATCTCGTTCTTCATGGACACCTAGAATCTTTGTTTGCCGGCCCATGCTTTCTGAGTTTGGCCTAAGTCCTATTGTTTATAATTTTTTCATAATATATGTTTATATAAATTCTTCATCATAAGTAGATGGATAATACAAGAAAACCTATTCTCAGATCTTAATCAAGCTTCACAATATGAGATGATTGTATTAATAAAAAAAGTACATGCATAAATATATAGACAAAAGCTTAAATTACTTCAAAACAATCGAAAGTTATTGATATTGGGGTTCAAATCTTGCGAAAGAGTTGCCCACACTTAGTGCCCAACTATATTTCAAATAAGAAAGCCTTCAATATAAAGATATTTATATAAAAAAATAGTTATTGGAAGTTATTCTTTCAAAACAATGTCATTCTACTATTATATGGGATGAATGGGCTTTCGTAGCCCAAGAGTGCTTGTTGTTTAGTTTGGGCTCTGTGCGTGCGTGCGTGCGTGCGTGCGAGAGAGAGAGAGAGAGAGAGAGAGAGTTGGCTCCTACAAAAATTAACAGTTGTAAGCCAATATATCAATTCCATATAATTGTTTTTGTCAATTTCATGAAGGAAACTAAGTATTGAATTAGCAAAAAAAGAGAGATAATGTTTTGAAGATGAAAGTGCACCATAACAAGGTTGTGAAATGAACTCTCACTAAAATTTAAAAAATCAATGTACAAATAGAATGTGAAATTAAAGGTTAACATCTAAGTGATGAAATGACAAGACATGCAGGATTTCAAGCAATGAGCGGTGAAATAAAAAAATGAACACTACAAAATAACCTAATGTTATGTAAGTTCTTTTGTAAATGAAATATCGATCTTATTTATAATTTCAAATTATGAGCCCTTATCTTTCTAATTCAAAAGAAGAAAAGCAAGAAGTAGAGAGAAAGAGGAGAGAAGGGAATGAGAAGGAGTCGAAGAAGCATTAGGCAAGGCGGGGAAGGTGTCAGGTGAAGGCATTTGACAATCTTCTCCGTTGAAGTATACTCTTTAGGGAAAGCCCCATCCATTGGTCAGAGTGAAGCCGAGCAGGTCCTTCTTCAGCAGTATTTCTGTGCTCACAAACCCCAAGCCCTCCTCATCAGAGTGCACAAGCTCATCGTTGTAGTCCTCTATCCCCCAAAACAACGTCACCTCATCTGCACACCATTCCATTATTATTCACAGACTTTTGGTTATCTATGAATGCAAAGCAATGTTCAATAAAAGTTGACAATCAGCTTTTGCGAATTCTGAGACAGGCCATTCTCACTTTGCTTTCCAAACCAAGCACTATATTACTTCCTCTCTCTTTATTTTAAATTATAAAATATTTTTAAATAAAATTTCACATATTAATAAATTTTATTAAATATATTTAATAATTTTATTTTTTTAAAATAAAATTATGAACTTTTTAAAATACTTATCATTTATTATATTAAAAAAAATAAAAATTAATTATAAAAAGAGAAAAAATAATATTAAAATTGATGCATTAATAAAATTTTAATTTATTTAAAGTGTTTTATATTTTAAAATAATTTTTTTTAAAATATTTTATAATTTGAGACGATATGATATTTTTGTTATTGAGGCAACAACACTGATAATTTCACATTATCCATGATTTATTATTAAGAATGACATTTAGTTGTATTCCATCCACTGGATCAAGAATTTAACATAGAAATGATTAATAATAATGGAGGGACTTGCAGAAAATAAAACAAAAGATTTTAAAATTGCACCGTACAGGTTCGTCTCTATTTTGCGCGGATCTCCAGCAACTTCATTCCTGCTAGCTCATCCAATTTTCCCACCGCCACCAGTCCTGTGAAACGAAACATGCTCCGAAATCTCCGATCCCGGCGTCGCCTTCGTTACGGCGCCTTCATATGCGCCGCCTCCTCGGCCCTTCTTCTCCTGCTCTCCGTCTCTCTGCTCTACAGTCGTCTCTCTCACTCCAATGCTCACCTTCACAATTACCTCCCCCGAAACCCTAGGCCTTCGCACGAAATCAATTACGACTCCCTGCTGTCGGATTCCGTCAGTGACGAAATCTTGGGCGGCGAAGACAAGATCGACGCGCTCGATTTTGTGGAGGAGCAGCAGCAGGAGGAAGATGATCTAAGATCTGGGGAAGTCGATGAAGAGGAGGAACCGTTCGATCAAATCAAGACTGGTGGGTATTTGTTTGATCATGTTAGTGGGTTAATCAGGAGGGCTTTTAACAAACGTTCGATTGACGAATGGGACGATGGTCAAGTAGGGCTCTTTCCGGGATCTGGGCCGGAAGATCGTAGCAAGACCGCGTTTGGCTCCGATGACGTGCCGGTAGACGAGGAGGTCAGGAGGAAGGCAATGCAGGTGATGGGGATTGAGGATTTACTCCTGTTGAAAGTGGGTAGGAGAGTCTCGCCACTGAGAGAAGGTTGGGGTGAGTGGTTCGATAAGAAGGGTGACTTTCTGAGGAAGGATAAGATGTTGAAGTCCAATTTGGAGGTTCTGAATCCTCTGCGTAATCCACTTCTGCAAGATCCAGATGGAATGGGCGTGAGTGGGTTGACTAGGGGTGATCGAATTGTGCAGAAGTTTTTGCTGAACGAGTTTAAGAGAGTCCCATTTCCTCGTAAGAAGGCTTTCGACGTCTCCAGGAGGGCTCGTGGGATCTAAGCAGCTGGAAATTTAGGGTGAGGTGAAAGAAACTGGAGCATGAAATTTCAAATGTCGAGGTCGGGAGAGTAGTAATGAGTATTCTAATAAGAATTAATGAATCCCAGTGGCGGTGGAACAATGAAATAGTAGTGCTGGAGGGAATTCGGATCTCTTGAAATATTCGGCCTAATAAGTATTATACCAGAGGGGAAGAAACCTACTGGATGGCTTGCCACTTCCTTACAGTATGGGATAAGAAAGTATCTGTAGTTGAAACTTGGCTTAACAACATAGCAACAGGACGCTTGGATATTATTTAATGAGGCATATGATCTATGAAATATTCTGCATTAAGTACCTTGAAGGTCAGCTGTGGGAAGCACTGTGCTGTTGAAGCTATATGTTGTTGCTGGCTGGCTGAAGCCAGGATGTTGAACCAATAGATTCCAGTTTGAGTAGTTTCTGTTGCGGATGTGGTTAGAAATTGTAAGTTTCACTCTCCAATGATCCCTGTAGTTGTTTTTAATATGCCAATGGACTCGAATTGGGCACATGTGGTCAGTGCATTGCATTATGTCGTGATCATTGTCATAATTCGACTGTGATGAGAAACCAACTGGCCTGGTTAGACAAACACACAGTAAGAGGAGTGGAGACTAGACCCGAGACAAATTCCTAACATTATGTGAAAATGAGGATTTGCAAGTGTACCTTATGCAAGTCTCTGTACCCTTTTCCGCTTCTCGGCATCCACAACTGCAACTGGGGCATGATGTAATGGTAGGATCGTAAAATGTTGAGAGCGAAGCACAGCGTACTGGTGAATTGTATGCTAGAAAACTGGAGTACGTGCATTTTGACTTCCATGTTCCTGGATTGCAAAATGTTGTATACAATTAGGAGGACTGATAGAAAGGAATGATATTGCAATTGTTTTTTGTAATTTTATTTTGTTTGTCCAGCTATATAAACCTCTTTCTTAATATGCAATTTGCTTTGTGTTTCTCATGCTATTCATGGCTATAAAAGGAACTTATAGATTAGTGAGGAAATGAATGTGGTTTCCTTAAATGCTACAACAAAAGAAATACTTCCTTTCTGGACATTACATCCCATATTGTTTATATGCCACGAGAACTTACTGTAAGCAGGAACTTGTCTTAGTCCCTCAAAATCTGAGATGATCGTGGGATCAGTATCAAGAAGTGGGCCACAACTGTAACCAGGACCAGGGGCCATTAATTTGAGATTTCTTGGTGCTTGTTCTAGTGAACCATTTGCCAAAGTTGCCTACTTTGAGTTCAAATGAAGAGAGTGAATTCATAGAATTGATAGCCCAGGCGGAAAGAAGGCCACCATGGCAGCAATTCTCTGACCTGCTTTCTTCTGAGACATCTGAACTGAAATCAACTATTGTGGGATTTTCCATGCAGGAGTGTGGTGTAGGTTGAGCAGTTTCCTCTATCAATGGCGACGGCACCTCTTATTGACCAGATCACCTCTTTGTTAGTCCATGTCCATCCAAGCTTCCAACCAGGCTTGGTTACGTGACGATATTGATGATAGTTTTGAAGAGTCACTCTTGCCTGTACAATATGTTGATGCTAGGTTGCAGTTATGCTTCTTAACGTTATATGCAAAATATTAAGGCTAGTCAATTATTTCAGTTGGAGTCGAAAGAATCAACTAAAAATTCATGTCTATACTGTGGAAAATTGACAAGTTATTTGGAATACTTCATTTTTCATTTTCAAAATCTAAATCCCTACATAGGTGATTCAAAAATCAAATTAGAGTGATCGCAATGTGCAGTGAGTACAGACCAGATACCCATCATCTGTCCTTCCGTAAGTGTCAATAGTCACTGTAATGTTCCCATTTGGATCCAAGGGTCGTAGCAATCTGCAGATTAGGATTAGAACCAGATGAGAAAAAGGAAAAGGGCCAATACAAGTAAGAAGAATTCCATTTAACAGCGTAATTGCAGCTTCTGCAAACTGAGCTAAACAGAGGGCATAAAACGAGAAGTTAGTGCCTGATAAAGTGCAGAAGGCAACTAGCAGAATTAACTTCACTGCCAGAGGCCGTGGGCGATGAAGATTCAGCATCATCCCCCCCCCCCCCCCCCCCCAAAAAAAACCCCGATTTCTGCCTGTGGTATGTCAGGAGAATCCAATCCAAAGAATCGCCTTTTATCAAGAAAGAAAGGGAAGTTGTTTGGGTCTAGAGAAATCCGTTGTGCGCTTTTTCTCATTATCTTACTGGGATCAAACCAAGGATCATTGGAAATATCAACTAACTCCAATTTAGCAAATTCTCCGTGGAAGATGATAGTCTAGGAAACTTCCAAAGATTCCACTCCCGTCGATGCTTGCTAATTTGCAAAAATGGATTATCAGACATGCCCCTTCTGTCCCATTTAGTACCTGCTAGTGCCGTGTGTATAAAGGGCCGGCTCATATAGTTCGAACTGAAACACAAACTTGCAAGACAAAAAAACACAAACGGCTGATTTTTGCTGGTAAATAATAAAAAAAAAAAACGACTTGTGAAAAATTTAAAACAATATAGTAAAAATACATATATGTTATTGTTAAAAGTTGAACCTTAAATTGTTTACATCTTCTCTAAATTAAAAACCTAGGTAATTTGCTGTCCCATTACAAGTACACGGCTCTATTTCAGATTCACAGTTTATTCACTTCCACAGACAGGTTGGCTTGAATTGAGAGGGAACATGTCAAGATACAACTTACAACAAGAAGAAGTTGCTCGTGAATGAGCCTCTGATCCTATTTTCGAATTATTGACTGCTTGGAAGGATCAATTTTATATTTCAGTTTGCATTATAAATATGTTGGAGATGCTGTAAGATAAGGATGTAGCTTGTGATTATTATCTGTATTTTATTGGAAATCCTCCAGTCGGGTTAATAGACTAACAGTGCTTTCCAAATTCTAGCTCTTCTCTATTTACAGGCACTCTAACCTATCAATAATAATGTGTATTTTACTGTCAGTATTTAAGAGTTTTATGAACACTTGAGTTTCGGTAGATTGATCGTATAATTGTTTTATTGATAAAAACTGGATATTATATGAGCTAAATCAATACAGAGAAGGGATATGTCTTACGAACAGTTATGCTTATGCACACGTCATGTTGAGTTGGTGTTCACACAAACTGTGTATGTGGATGGAGAACATGATGGAGTAATTAGTCTTCTTAGGCTGGTCATAAACAGCCTCCAAAAATTCCCTCTTATCATACTTTTGAACATTCAATTGCTTCATTGCCAATATTAAACAAACTTAGCCGAGAATTGGAATTTCTCTTTTGGGCACATCCTCTGCTCTTCTATACAAAGAAATTAATAAATATGATGATTGAAAGTTTAGATATGCTAGAGGACTTTGATGTTAATATTTAGCATTTCATTAATCCCTGTTAGTGGATTAGGTTATAGAAAGAGTTTAAGTCTTTATACGGCTTTTACGAAGTCTTCTTAATCTATAAAAAAAAAAATTGCTTTCTAATTGATAAAATTTCATTGATTTATATACATAAAAAAACTATTAATATTAATCTCTGTACATGAAACTTATCGATGTAATAGAATACTTAGTATTTATCTGGGCTTACAAGTTGCCTTGATCAATGGAAAAATTGCAGATATAACTATTAACCACAGAACCTTGTTTGTGACCTGTGAATATTCTAGGAAGTGAAGCTCAAACCTATCCATATCATAGACATTCACGGGGACAACATCTAATCAGTTTCCTTAACACGCAAAATGACTCTTAGGGAAGCACTAAAACCACAATATGTCACGGCCTCGTGGAGGGCTAGTTTGTCATAATTTATATATATTATGGCCGTCGAAGGCTATAGAATCAACCACCTAATAAAGACGCCAATGTTTCAGGAAAATTAACGTAAGATCAATGCTAAAATCCAAGTATGTTTTATCTTCTTCCACAACGGGGTTCTTTGAAAAGAGATTATAACCAGCCATTCCCTTCTCTCTGAGTTCAGACCAGATGGATTTATCAAACTCCAAAGTTGCAGAAGATCAATTATCCAGCAACTCTGATAGAATGCATGGCGAAATGAGTTCAGCTAGCAAGAAAACTTTATGGTCCATAGGAGCTTGTGATGTTTTCAGACCAGAGGTGATTGAATTATTTCCTGTCTTCCTAAATCACTTATTTCCTTTCATTGCTCTCTCTGATCCCTCTTTTGTATACATACGTTATAAGAACAAGTCAAAAAAAAAGCTCATTTTAAAAAACTAGTCTGTTAGGTGACACAGTCTTTAAAATTTATAAACATTATTTTATCTGTTTGAGAGCAATTATCTCTATGATACCAGCCTCTCAGTGAAAGTGTTACAAGCCGAAATTAAACCAAAAAAAAACCTATCTAAAAAACTACTAAACTAACATGTCAGGATAGAAGAGCCTTTCAACTTACAAATCTCATTTTGTGTTTCCTAGCGTGGAACTCGTAACAATGCATTGGTGTACGAAATGAATCTTAACAATTGTCTTTTGCGAAGGTATGGAGGGCAGCTTTGACAGAGTTAGTAGCAACAGCCTTACTAATGTTGACCCTCACAACCTCCATTATTGCATGCTTGGACTCAAACGAGGTTGATCCCAAGCTTCTTGTTCCTTTTGCAGTATTCATAATAGTCTTCCTCTTCTTAATGGTCACTGTCCCTCTCTCTGGAGGCCACATGAGCCCAGTCTTCACCTTCATCGCTGCCTTAAAGGGAGTCATAACTCTTACACGCACTCTCATTTACGTAATATCCCAATGCATCGGCTCCATTATTGGCTTTCTGATCATCATGACTCTGATGGACAAAAGATTGGCGCGAGTGTATTCCTTAGGAGGCTGTGCTGTTGCTGGCTTGAAGCAGCAAGAAGCTCTGTTGTTAGAATTTTGTTGTACTTTTGTGGTACTCTTTGTGGGCGTCACCATTGCTTTTGACAAGAGAAGGTCCCATCATTTGGGGTTGCCAATGGTGTGTTTGGTGATTGCGGGAGCCATGGCCTTGGCAGTTTTTGTGTCTATTACTGTGACTGGACAGCCTGGATATGCTGGCGTGGGCCTCAACCCAGCAAGGTGTTTGGGCCCAGCATTACTTCAAGGAGGCCCATTGTGGAATGGTCATTGGATTTTTTGGGTTGGACCATTCTTAGCTTGTATTCTCTATTATTTTATCTCTTTAAACTTACCTAACGAGGTTTTTGTTTAAATAAAATTAATCTTACTATTGATATGATGATGTTATTGTTGGATAATTTATAAGCATTTTTGTAAGTATCCTTTACTCCTTTAAGCTTAGAAACATGCCTTGATCATGAAGCTTTGAGACTTAACTCATATAAACTTTATTATACCAACAAGAAATATGAGAATTTTTTATGGTCATTTCTTTAGTCTTTTTCCAAGCCTGGAGGTCATTTCTTTAATTGATTTTCATGTATAAAAAGATTACATGATGTAAAAGAATGACCTATTTAAAAAGAAGAAGAATTGGCAACGTGTTTTTTTTTTTATTGTTCACATATACTTTTCTATTGGAGGTAATTTTTGTTTGGGATAGAATAGGCACTAAATGCAGATAAATCTCTCAATATAAATTTAAATATTGGTTTATCATGTTGTAAAAGACTAGTCTTTACCATTAGACTTAACCCATATCAGTTGCCATCAGTGTGTTAATGTAGTAAAATTGCTCCAAAAAAATCTTTCCCTTAATCCAGTTGAGTTTGCTTCATGAAGTGAGAGATTTGACTTGGTCATCATTTAATTTCTTTAATTGATGTATGTGTATATTTTTTAAAAAATACATGATGTAAAACAAAGGCCTGTTTAATTAGGGGGGAAAAAGTCTCGGTGATTCAACCATTCTTCCAATAAACTATTAATTTTATTTAAATTTAATGCATGAATGAAAATTAATGAGTACATAAATAGTTTATGAAAGGAACAAATTTCTTTGTATGCCTGTGCTTTGTTAGTACTTTGAAGTCTCATGACAAATAACACGTAAGGGAGTTTTATTTCTTACTTCTCAGACTTCACTCTACACAAGATGATTGCCATATAAATATAACGCTGCGCCTCATAACATTTCCAGATCAGACGTGTAATGTGATCACTTTGAATGATGCATACAAATACACAGAACATGCATGCACCTTTCATGATGATGCGTTGCGCATCTTCAACGTGGAACACAACTTGATCATTTGCTATAAAAATATACGGCTTATATAACATTTTGCAATAATTCATTTATTCCCATTATTTTAACATTATGCAGAGCTGGACATCTATTAGCAGATAATGAGACTTATGTATACTTACAAACGCATGCGATTATGACCATCCTTAAATATTTCTCTTCCTTTTACTATAAGATTATTTAGCTGTTATAGTGGCGAATTCGCATTTGTCATGACATGTAACATTTCATTTTGTTTTCCACGGGTGTCTCAGTGTGCCTGTCAAATACATAAAAGTATATATTCTTTAAACGACTTTGTTCGAAGGGAACACTGTACTGATGAGAGGAACCAGGAATCAGAATTGTTTTCTTTTTACTGTTGAAAGGGAAGCTTTATTTAACCTTGTTAGCTATAAGAAGGACGCGGGAGAAAATATAATTGTGAATAAAGTTTATAATATAGAGAGCTTTCAAGGAAATAAAAAACATAAAACTTACGACGTTGTAAAATCAAACGTTTTGGACTTGTTCATCTGGAAACCAAGTACAAACACACAATCAGTAAAACGGTATAATTAAAAGGAAACAACGCTTAAATAAAAAAGTAGCACGATCAAATAAGAGAGAGCTGTATAAATATCCCTTTCGGGTGTTAGACAAAATGGTTCATAAATAACCCAAACACCTCCTTCTTGACTTTGAGATCGAGGCTTCATGGATTCACAATCACTTAACTCTCAAGTCATCTCAGAAGATCAGTGCACCAGTTCTGCTAAAAACCGCGAAGCGAACAAGTCTTTAGAATCAAAGCTTCGAGTTTCCCTTGGTGCTCATGAATTCTTCAGTCCAGAGGTGATATAATCCAATACAGCGCAACATTGTGTTTCTCTGTCAAACTTACTAATTACCCTCACTATATTATTTCGTATGCATGTTTCAGATGTGGAAGGCAGCTTTGACAGAGTTAACAGCAACAGCATGCTTACTGTTCACCTTGACCACTTCCATTATAGCTTGCTTGGACTCACACGAGAGTGATCCCAAGCTTCTTGTTCCTTTTGCGGTATTCATCATAGCCTTCCTCTTCTTATTGGTCACTGTCCCTCTCTCTGGAGGCCACATGAGTCCAGTTTTCACATTCATCGCTACTCTCAAGGGTGTCATAACTCTCTCTCGCGCTCTCATCTACATATTCTCACAATGCATCGGCTCAATCATTTGCTTCTTGATCATTAAGAGTGTCATGCAGCAAAGACTGGCAGATTCATATTATTTAGGAGGCTGTGCTATTAGTGACATGAAGAAAGAAAAAGCCTTACTGCTAGAGTTTTGCTGCACGTTCGTGGTTCTTTTTGTGGGAGTCACGCTGGCTTTTGACAAGAGGAGGTCTAAGGATTTGGGTTTGCCAATGGTGTGTGTGGTGGTGGCAGGCGCCATGGCTGTAGCGGTATTCGTGTCCATCACAGTGACCGGGCAAGTCGGGTATGCGGGTGTGGGCTTGAATCCAGCAAGATGCTTGGGCCCTGCATTGCTTCAAGGAGGCCCACTGTGGAATGGACATTGGATTTTCTGGGTTGGGCCCTTCTTGGCATGTCTTTTGTATTATGGTGTGTCCATCAACTTACCAACGGAGGATTTGGTTTGTGTGGCTGGGGAGGGTGATATCTTAAAGTTAGGTTTGGACTTGTGTTCTGCAAAATTAGCTGGTAGTATAAGAGACTAAATGCTATGACATATTTTAGTAGACATATTATGTAGGGATGTTCTTTTTTAATTTTTTCACAAAGTACCATGTAATTCAATCTTAAAATGAATCTTTATTATATGTTATATTTTTAAACCTTGTAACATGAAAATTCACTGTAGATTTTTTACGTAATTTTTATGTCACAAAATAGTGATATTTATCCATAAAACAGAATATTCATCTGTTACAAAATAATTTGCAACATTAATTATAGGATAAATTGGCCCATTAAGCCAAAAAACAAAATCTTGTGCCTGAAATATATGGAGCAATTTTTTGAAATTTGAAAGTATGGTTGATTTACATTGATATAAAAGGAGTTTATTATTTATATGCATCGGTATATCATTGAAAAAAATAATAAACTGGCCATAATACAAAATAAAATTATATGTTATATTTTTAAATCTTGTAACATGAAAATTCCTTGCAGATTTTTTGTTTAATTTTTTATCCGTCACAAAATAGTGATATCTATCCATAAAACAGAATACTCATCTGTCACAAAATAATTTGCAACGTCACTATTTATATAACACAATAATAAAAAATTTGTTATCGCAAAAACTAAGAAATTTGTCACATTTTTTTTTAAATGTTAAGCTGATTGCATATTGTACACAGTTGCGAGGTCACTATTCTTCTTCAGATAGTTTGCTAATTGAATTCTATTAAGCTGATTGCTAATTTTGGATTTGAATAAAATTTGCACTGTGATAACTATGATATATATATAAAAAAAAAGTTAGGGTGAAAATGTAACTCCTAGTGCATTCTACAATTCTAGAACCCAGTGTCATCTTTAAAGAATTAATTGCCACATTTAAGCTAGTAAAATACTAAAATTTTTTGCGCTAATGTAATTGTACTGAGATATGGTAATTGTCACCTGTTTGCTGGCACACTTAAGCAACAATCAATACCCATCTGTTGGTGAGATATTCATAATATACTAGGTTCAGATATTTGTTTGTATTCCCCTTGTATTTAGCATTATTTATGGTTGTCATTGATAATTGATACTTTCATAAAAAAATTTATTTTGTAATTGGCTCATCTGCTTCAAATGAAAGCATATAGTTTTTAATTGATGAGATTAAGAGAAAGAGTAGAGATATAACTGAAATTATTGCTGAAGGGAGGCATAAGATTGAAATTCTTACCCCTGATACTTCTGAAGCCTCCTAATTTGGATATGGTAACTTGATAGATTAAAATGAACATTTAGTATGGGTTATATTTTAAAATCTTGTAGCATGAAAATTCATTTGTAAATTCAATATCAATAGATACCATTTTAAATAATAAGATATCACTTTGAATAATAAAATATGGGTTGGCTCACTAAGTGAGTGTATGATATTTTGAGAGAACATAATCACTTTCGAGTTATTTAGAGTCTTTTTGTTGCAAATTAGTTGTAAAAATTCTATATGATTGTACTAATATAGAATTTATCATTCATGTGTTATCAAAGCTTTGATACCACGGGCCAGTTCTAATACCACCTATCAAAACTTCACATTCCTAACACTATCTCAATTAGATTCTCATTAAGCTTCATAGATCTTACTCTCTTTCTTGTGTTAGTTGGCATGTTAGCTCCATGTAAGTAATGCGGACAATATGATTAATGTTTTAGTGCTTTTAAAAGTAAAAACATCTTAGGTTATATTTTCACTAAAAAACTGGATACTAAATACTGGAATTCCATAAGTTAGTAACTATACCTTATTTTAATGTGACTTTAAAATTGAAGCAAGTATATTATAATTGTAGCTAGATAATGCTTTTTTAAAAAAATGAAAAAAATATATTCAAGTTTGTGTATAATACTATAGTTACACTTTTGCATATTTTTACTCATTCAATTCCACACATTGATTGAGTATTAACTTATATACAATAACTTTTTCAAATTCAAATCTCGTTACTGTACCCATCATATTATGAATGCACACTTTAGAAATGCATTTAATATATACATGGCTCGAATAACAGCAAGGTAACAATAAAAATTAAGAAAATAGTGAAAAAAAAACTAAGTTAAAAAGAAAAAGAGGAAATGAATAGAAATTTTAAGAGGAAGGCTTATGTATATATTTAAGATACTTTATCCAATCAAATTAAAACAAATGATTCTTGAAGTGCTAAAAATATCAATGACAATAATTTATTATATGCAATCAAGAATTTGCCTGGGGTATCAAAGGCTTCTGTAGAAAAGTACAAATAAATCTGAATAGTTTCATATTTTTTTCTTCTAAAATTAGCGGTGACATCTTATAAGAAAATTAAGGGCTCGTATCATTTTTGTTTTTTTTTATCAAAAATATCATATCAAATTATAATGTGGATGAAAGAATATGTAAAACTAGTGATAATTTAAACTTCACAAGGTCTACTTTTTTCTTTAAAAATTTTTTAGACCAGCCTCTTTGGCATATTTTGGTCGCTTTCTTTTTGATATGAAATCATATTTCATCCACAAAATTAAGACTATAAAATTCTATAAATAAATCATCTTTTAATTTGGTCAAGTCGTTGTTGCTTGTTAACTGAGCATTTGTTGTCTAAACATAGCTTCACTAAGTCTCATTAACTGAACATTTCCACGTATAGAACAAATTCATTGAACAATTTGTGTCAACAAAAGATAAGGTCTAACAAATTCATCATTGAACATGTCAATAAAATGCAATTAAGAGGAGGGTTGGATATGACTATCTTCAACAGGTGGCTATGGGTTGGATTTTATAAAATGGTATGATGAAATATGTCCTTTGAAATACTAAACTTCTTTGTGCTAACGTAATCGTAGGGAGATATGAAGGTGATTGCCACCTATCTATTGGCACTCTTAGGCGGCAATTGATCTCCATCTGTCGGTGATATTGATAATATATTAGGTTTAGGCATTTGTTTGTATCCCCCTAATATTTAACACTATTCGGCACTGTTATTGACAATTGATATTTTGTTTAAAAAATTACATTTGCTTCAAATGAAAGCATACTAGTTTTAATTAATTAGATTAACATAAAGGGTGGAGATATAACTGAGATTGTAAAGGGTGGAGATATAACTGAGATTGTTGCTGCAGAGAGGCATAAGATTGAAATTCTCACCCTTAATACTCCCTCTATTCTTATTTATAATTCACTTCTAGCATGTTTTACTGGAACTAAGAAAAATCTTAAACCTCATTAATTTTATCTTAAAATTTAATAAGTTTTCACCTTTATTCCTAATAAATATTCTTAAATTTCATTACTGATATTTTTATTTAAAACATTAAATAAGGGAAAAAATATAAAGAAAACCATTGGAACTATAAATGGAACTAATTTTTTTCTTCTCTCTCTGCCCTATAAATAGGACCAAAAAAGTACTTCTCAAGCCTCCTAATTTGGATATGGTAACTTGATTGATTAAAATAAATTTTTAGTATAGGTTATCTTTTAAAATCTTGTAACGTGAATGTTCATTGTAACTTCAATACTAACATATATCATTTTGAGATATCACTTTGTATAATAAAATATGGGTGGGTGGGTTCACTAAGTGAATGTATGATATTTTGAGAGAATATAATCACTTTCGAGTTATTTAAAGTCTTCTATTATACTCTGTTGTGAAAATTCTATAGGATTGTATTAATATAGAATTTATCATTCATGTGGTGTCAAAGCTCTAATACCACGAGTCAATTCTAACACCACCTATTAAAAGCCCCCATTCCTCACACTATATCAATTAGAGTCTCATCAGGCTTCACATATTTTTCTTCCTTTCTTGTGTAAGTTGGCATGTTAATTGCATGTAAGTATTGCTAACTATATGATTGATGTTTTTGTGCTTATAAAAGTAAAAACATTTTAGGTTATATTTTCACTAAAAAAACTTGATACTAAATACTGGAATTTCACAAGTTAGTAACTTCACCTTATTTTAATATAGCTTTAAAATTGAAGCAAGTATATTATAATTGTAGTTAGATAGTTCTTTTTTAACAAAATAGAAAAAATATCAAAATATTTTTTCAAAACAAATATTTAAGTTTGTGTGTAATTACATTTTTCCATGTTATTTGCATATTTTAATTCATTCAATTCCACACATTGATTGAAGATTAACTTATATACAATAACTTTTTCAAATTTAGACATTGTTACCTTATCAATCACATTATGAATGCACACCTTGTTATCTTAGATGGTTATTATTATGCATTCAAGCTCACTTTGCTTCTAAATTCATTAAAATCACTCATTATTATTTATATACCTATAGCTCCCCTCACCTGGGTAAAATGAGAACTTTTTTTTTACACGCATATACATAAACTTTAAAGTAATTAATAGATAGTTAATTTTTAACTTCAACAAGTTTCGAGTTTCTCCTATATTTCCTATATGCATTATATATGTCAGTTTCATTTTCGTATTGCTCGTTCTTAGTTCATAGTTCATTTTCGTATTCCTTCGTTTACCTTTCTATTCTCTACAATTGATTTACATGTAATTGCTATAGTTGCAATCACTTTAGGTAACACTTTTTTGCTATTTTTTTCAATTTGCTTCAATTTATTTTATTTTTATTCGATTGACAGTGACCTTTCCCATCTTTTTTCCCAACTTGTTGAAGCAAGGGATGCCATTTCTACTTTCATCCTAGTTCGCAGTGACTCTGCCAAAATCCCACATATGAAGGCCATTCTTGATTCTTGTTTCAAAATTAAGGATTTTGACACACCCAAATATTTTCATGGCATTGAAATTACTCTCTCCTTTACTAATATATACACTTCATGTCAAAAAAAAGTTTGTTTTTGATATCTTAGCTGACAATTGTTATTGTTTTGCTTGCACGCTAGTCAAAAGATTCTTTCACATGCTTGTTTTGATATTTAGATTATGATACTTCTAGACTTGTACTACAAATTTAAGAGTTATTTAGAATCTTTCATTATAATTTGGTTGTAAGAGCTCTATGTAATTGTACTAATATAGAATTTATCCTTATTCTGATACCACTTACAAGGAAGCATGGATATGACATTTTCACCGGCATATCTATATTTGATGTGTATGTTCAAGCCCAATGCATTTTTTATTTAAAATAGTGAGATATGGTTAGGACGTAATAGTTATGGCTCAAATATGAAACATTGTGTTTTGAACTTTGTTTTTAGAACTAAAGTCATACAGTTTTTAAAATCCTCCCCATTTTGCATCTATACTATGTTGTCGCTTTCATCTTTGTTCTCTAGTCTCTTGACCACAACTCATCTCTTCTTCTTTGGTTGCTCTGTCATGGACTTATGTGGTTTTATAGTTGTTCTTCTGTAGTCTCATCTTGCTCAGTTGCTCCTTATCAAGTTCTCATCTTGTTGAATTCGTGTGGTCCTCTTCCTCCCTCCTCAATCACAATTACTTTTTTTTAAATATCTATCTTGTGGTCTTTGATTACATTTTTTTTCTTTTATTTGTTCAATTCTATCTATCATGGGCTCATAGTTTCCAATTACAATTTTATTTATTAAGTTAGCATAAAGTCAAGTTTAGTTTTAAATTAAAGAAAAAAATTAATCATTTAATCTTTATAGTTTTAATGCAATTCCTGAACTTTGACTCATTATAATTCACTTATTATAGTTTTAATTTGATTGTAACTCAATTCTTAAACTTTACCTTTTACGATTTAATCCTTATAATTTTAACTACTTAAATATTGGTGCCTATATTTTAAAAAATAGAAGTATCAAGATTAAAAATATGTTAAACTTTTAATAAAAGGGTTTAGTAATTTAAATAATTAGTAATAAATTTTAACATATTTTTAATTTTTATAATTTTATTTTTAAAAATATAAAGATCAACATTTAAATGGCTAAATTAAATTACAAGAAGTAAAGTTCAAAAATTAAATTATAATTAAATCAAAATTTTAAAGACTAAATTATAACGAGTTTAAGTTTAAAAATTGAGTTACAATTAACTTAAAACTATAAAGAAAAATGATTATTTTTCCTAAATTAAATGTCATAGGCTCTTTTCTTTTTTCTTTAAATATCATGTGATTCAATCTTAACAGTAAAACTATATTAGGTTACATTTTTATTAGAAAACTTGACCTTAATTTAAGGTAGTTTTAAAATTGAAACAAAAAAATTATAACAGCGTGCAGATGATATATTAAAAAAAATTAGAAGAAACATCAAATTTTTTTTTCAAAACAGTTATTTAAGTTTGTTTATAATTACATTTTCTCCATGTTACTTGTAAGTAAACTATTTGAAAAGGCCCGCCATAGTATAAAATGCGTTATTTTGTTCTAGTGGTAACAAGGTAATCCCGGGACGCTGTTCCGTCTTGAATCTTAAGGGCATTCTATATTTTCATCTTGAAGATGCTGCTCAGCTAACAAATCTTCTTCCTAGAACACAAATTATGGCAATAATAATTTACATAAAAACAAAAATTATCATAAATAGTTTCTTTTACACTTTATAAAAATACTTAAATCAGGGCGGTTCGGTAGTTAGGCTGCTTCACTGCGGGGAGGCTGCAAGAGCATGGAAGGACCCAAGGGCTCATGCACAACTGAATTTGAAGAAACTGATATTGGATTGCCCTCTAATTGCAACATGATACTTCCCAGTATCTCAGTTAAAATTTTCTTAAACTCGCCATCCTTAACTGTCTTTCCATCATGTGCATCTATCATCTTGAAGACTTCCTCAATAACTTTATCCATCTGTAAATCATAAACATGATTTTGCACAAGTGGCTCCAGAAAAATACTACACATGCTCGTCTTCTGAATTGAAAACAACAAAAACTGTAACTCAGAGTATAGCATCATATACCAGGCCTTAAAGTTTCTCAGTCATCTGGCATGCTTGTTTACCTTAAACATCCTCCAGGAACTTGCAAGATAAAATAAAGTGAAAGAATTTGTAATATAGGATGGATTAACTGTGAGCATTAGCAACATACCTCTTCAATGGCACCAACTGGAGGTAAACCAGCAGATGGAGACACCACATCCAGGGCCACCCGCAGATAGTCCTTCGACACTTTTCCATTACGATCTTTTGGCAGATTCTCCAAAGCCGAGTTCAAGGTCTGCAATTCATTACAGATTGGCAAATTACGTCTACAGAGCTCCAACAAAATTCAATCAAGAATATGAAAGATTTTATAGAGAAATCGAATGAAAAATAAACCTTTTCTAACTCAAACTTGCTGGATAATAGTCGCTTAACACCAGATCCGTCAAAAGTGTTTTGACTGTGGGCAACAATGACAGGTTGCTCCTTAAGATGTTCAGCCACCCTCAAAGCCACTTTCCTAAATTCCATCAAAAATATCTCTTGAGAAATGGGGTCATCCCAATCAGGGCCTTCTGGAGATTGTAGCGCGGGATCCACAATGTTGTTAAATACCTAAATGCAACGAGGTTGAGAATTTCTCACAATCGAAATGGAAAATAAGAGCCTTACAAACACATTAAATTAATATTCATGGTTCTAGTCACTCCAAAAAAAAAATTGTGGGAAAATAAATCGTAATTCTGTACAGCAATATTAAAGTTGAGTTAATAAATTACCCAAGAATCAGAAGTGGGAGGAATTCCTTGCTCAACTGTAAGCTTCCCCATAGCTTCAACTATATGGTCACGGAGTGATAAATTAGGGGACTTAATCTCGAAGAATGTGGATGCCATTTCTGGTTCATAACTTGGACTATTAACAAATTCAAATAGATCTTCCCCATCAATACGAAGTATCAGAATTGGGTCTCTCTTCAGCCCAGCAGCCATACCCAACAGAATGTCAGAGAGAACCTCTTTGAATTCAGCCTTGCTCACTTTCTCCACCTTCCCATGGGTGAACTCATTCAAGACCTATAGAGCAAGTCAATAGAAAGTTTAACATGCATAGAAAATTCAACAACCAAACTGCAAAAACAGAAACTATCAAAGGAATTGCATAGAGCTTGCTCTTCCCAACACATTACTTTGCATGACAATAGTTTTTTGCATTTCACAAACTTAAAGGAATGAAAAAGGTAAAGAAAAAAAGGAGGCCGGAAAGAACCCTCCCCCCCAAACACACACTTCGATGCCATGGTCCAAAATAAGTCAATTACTGTAGAATTATATTACTTCTTTTTCCTCTTGTGGTCATGACATCCTACGCATTACATATTTATTGTTTATCTATCTCAAGCAGAGAGTAGGCAAGAAATTCGCTTTTCCCTAAAGTATGCCACTATAAGAACAACCATGCTTGTCCCCACTCCCCACAAGAGCACTGCCTTCAAAAAGAGGAGAGGGTACAAGAAGCCATTGACTACAATAGCACATTGACTTCTTGTAACTTCAGAGTACAAACTTTACAAAAACATCTAAATAGTAAAGTTTATAATCTTAATATAGTCTAAACAGCGATCATCACCATTAGTTAATAATATATAATAAATTCTTAAGTATTTACCTTATATTAAATATGGTTAAGAAAGACAGGAATTGCATTTGGTTGGGGTAGACGTATACCTGAAGAAACAAATCTATGAGAAAGATAAAAAATTCAACATTTTTTATATTTAACATGTCATAAGAATTCTGAATTTTTATCATTCAAATAATTATAGATTAAAATACCAAGGTAATAATCAATATATCAACATATTTTTATTATATAAAAGTATAATCATCGGATATCATTATTTTACTATTGATTCATTATTGATGTGATTGTAATTTATTTTTTCAAATCTTGTATGATTTTAAAAATTTGTGCAAGCGCTTGAAATTAATTTTGAGGATAGTTTAATCTTAAGTGATAATGAAAAGCACAGCGGAGCAGGAAAAGCAATTGAATTCGAAAAGCAGAGTCCACAATATCGCTACCGACCGACCAAGCTATCATAGCCATATGTAGGATATTTGTGGGGCAGTAGACTTCGAAATCTCGTTCTTTGAAACAGAAGAAGAATATCACTGTTTACTAGCATCAAATGAGAAGAAAGAATATCAACTACATTTATTTCACTCAAAATATCAACTATATTTATCATAAGCGAAACGAATTTTAGTCCCTTTCTGCCTTGGCATCTTAAAGCATCAAACTAGGAGATTTAACAAAGGAAAGTAAAAAAGAAGTGACTAGTTCTTTCCAATGGCACAACAAAGCTTAAAACCCACGGAAAGAACATGATAATGAAGAACCGACAGACGAGAATGAAAAGAAATGAGATTATGATAATGATTCAAGAATTCTTTGAAGGAATCATAATTATTACGAACACATTGAAATGACAGAATTCCACAACCAGAACCAAAAGTCTAAGCATATCTAAGCCCTCGTTTTAGCAATGAGGATAGATAAGCTCTACGGTTAATCTTTCCATCCTTCTCTTAGAATTATGACTTCATCTCCAAGGACCCTCTACTTAACCCTCATTTAATAATTAATTAAAACTAGTAATGTTTCTTCTCCCATGTTGCAGATTCCAAACTCAAAATCCAAATAAATTAACCTAATTAAGTTATTCCCACGTGTTAGATCTAATATCTCAATTCATATATGATATAATAAAATAGAATAAAATAACATGGAATCCATGACTACTTATTACAGACACCTCGATTATTTTGAATGTAAACAGACGCACAACTCACTAAACTCCTATAGTCTTCAAAGAGTGCAGAGATAATGGAGAAAGTAAGAGTATCGTGTATTTAGTGGTTATCGACTGATCGATTTATGAAGATCAGATCAATAATTATTTTATTAAATAATTAAATAATTATATTCTATCATCTCTGACTTACTCCTTTAAGAGATAGGGAATAACTGATGGTTATTGGACTGTGGTTTGGATCTCTGTCCATTAGGCTCACTTGTGTGGTAGAGTCCACACAAGATCATAAAGATCAATTTATTTAAGCTTATTAATTAATGTTAATTAATAAATAAATATTCCAACATAATTTTCATATTCAACTCACCTACCTGACAACATTGCTAAAACTCCAAGCGATTTCAGCTTAATCACCAAATTAAGAGAACTCTAGAACACGTATAGAACACTCCCAGCATACAAAACAAGAAAAATATTGAGGACAGAGTAAAAACCTCAGAATAAATGTGATCGGACTCAGGATTCGTGCCCTGAGCAGGCAATCCGAGAGCAGCACCGATGTCGGCGACGGCAGGCTGGAGCTCCTTCACCGAGAGCTTACCGTCACCGTCTCTATCCAACTCCCGAAACTTATGGTCCACGAAATTGGTGAATACTTGATGGTTCCCAACCAACTCCATTATACTGGAACCATCTAGAACCTGTCCATTTGCGACACTTCTCTTCTTGCTTGATAAAACAGCCTCCATTCTACGTTACAGCTAACTAGTACAACTGATTGGGATTTTGCTTTGTCTCGTGAGTCCTGCGAACTTGGAGCTGGAGTGAGGGAGTGTTTTGCTTGGAGGGTTCGGATTCGGAGTTTGAAAGCCTCCTTGTCCTGTGCAAGAGTCTCAGGGCTTAATCGACGAAAGAGAAGATGAAGGAAGGATCACTGGGCCAGCAATGGCCTCCCGAAATAGCAAAGGAATATCAAAGAATTATTACTTCCCAGGAAGGGCAAACACCGCATGTGCTGCGAAAAGTTTTAGGTCCTGTTTGGATGGGATTTCCCCTCTCAAATTTTCCTCACCGCTTTAAATGGGTTTTGAAATTCTTGGCCTTGTCTTGTCTCACTTCTAACTTTGTTTTTAAATCTTCCACGCTTTTGAAAATCAACTTTTTAACGAGTCTATTTAACATATTGATTAAGTAAATGGAGTGGAATATAATCATCTTCATTATCGATGGAGTTGGTGTTGCAGGAAGGACTAATATTTGAGTTTTTGAAGTTACATGTTTGTCTAGTTTAAATAAAAAAGGATTGAAAAAATGGGAAAAAAGAATATCAGGGGAAAAAAACCCATCAGAAAAAATAGTAAATTTCGTAGTTTTTTTCCCCAGTATTTTTCTTCTTTTTATTTTTCTCTGTGTTTAAATCAAGAGTTGGCATCTTATCAGGCTTTGAATAAGATTGTTTCTAGGAGTACAGCATCTAAAAAGATAGCAACAATGTTATATACAACTTATTTAAATTTAAAATTATGTTTGAACTTGATTTTTTAAAACTTTCCTGAAACTTGAAATTTAAATTACATATGTCCTGAAATTTTATTTTTGATGAAGATATTATAATAATTTAATGCGATAGGAGGAAGCTGCATTTTGAGATGAAACAAACAAGTGCTAATTAGGAGAAGACCACTAATCAATTCGTGGGTGGGACACGTGGGGCCATTGACGATGGCCACCTATCATAGCTACTTAATTAAACCATGCGCCAATGCCTGCCACTTTTCCAGAAGTGATAGAAAATCAGTAAAGAGAATAGAGTCTTAAATATAAAATTTTACAAAATTCACCAATACAAGTGAACAAATAACGATTAATATGACAATTATCTAGTTCAACCAAGTGAATGGGAGAATACGACACCGTGGTCTCTCGGCATGAAATACCAGAGCTTCAATGAAAATGGCAACTAAAAAAAAATAAAAAAATATAACTTTTAATTTTTCACACTTCACTCACATTATAAATTTTTATATATATTTTTTAATATTTTAGAATAGAATACTGAAAAATAAAAAATGTAGAGATTCAGAATATTTAAAAAGAAAAAATGAAAACTTGTAAAAAAACTAGAAATTAAGAGTTACATTTTTTTAGAAGAGAACCACAAACCACACTTGTACATATATGCAGCGCAAAAATCGTTGAACCGTTCCCATTAAAATTGCAATTGATATTCTGATGATTTGATCACGGGGATAGTCGGGGAAGATCATAATAGATTCATCAATCATAAGTCCGCAGAGCTATAAATAATTTAATAAGAGAAACTAATCACAAAATTTGAGGTCAGTTGCATTTGTTATCAATTTGTCCACGTGACAATAATAAGATAAATTTGTCTTTATTGGTATTTATTTAAAACATCTAGCTATTTAATATCTATTCTATCATCTCAGACTATGTTAATTATATTATTTCAATTTAAAGTAATACTCTTTTAATTTTTTTTATAAGTTATTTCTATTAACTTTATCAAAATTAATATAAAAAAATATAAAAAAATAAAAATGTGTAAAATTTTAAATATGTCCTTATATAACAAATTAAAAAGTTATATCTATTATTTTTTCTCTTTCATAACAAATAATTTTAAAAATATATTTTAAATATTATTTAAAAAATTACGTCATAATTTATAAATGAAATTAAATGAAGATTCTAAAATATACTTTATAAATGGAATTAAAGGGAGTATATGTTAAAATTACAGAGATTAGGTATAGTTAAAATTGAAACGAAGGAGATGAGAGAATCGAGTTATTCTTAAAGGCAGAGATATTATACGTAAGTACTGGTAGCGAGTAGTTGCACGGCAGGGCCATTCATCACCATACCATTGCTCCCCATCGTCCATTTTCTTTCTACGGGACATGGGTTCAGCCTATTGGATGGGTCAAACTCCTTTCTTGATCACTCGTCTTTGATTTGCACTTACGACTTCCGACTAGGACTTTTGTCCGTTAAACCTTTTTTTTTTTTTTGTTTATTTTCGTTTTCAAGTTGCATATTATTATGTTCGGTTTCGCCTCGGTTGGAATAATGTACTTATTCTATCTCGTAAATATTGATTTACTTTACATGAATTTTTTGTTTGATAAAACTTTTATATATTTCATATGCTAATATATATATTTGATGTGAAATACAGTGAAAAATTTATATTTATCATTTTCTTTTATTTGAATAACTTCTTATGGTTATATATATATAATGAATTTTGATGGATTTTTATTTTTAAAAAATGATTAAAGTATAAATCTATCTTAAACGTTTTTTAAAAAGACACAATATTAGCCTTGTGTTTTTAAACATAACACAATGTCGCCCTCCATTAATATTGACTTTTGTTTATCGTTGAGCGTATATCTACCCCCCCCCCCAAAAAAAAAAAGGGTCCCACATAAAGTGCCATGTATCCTGAAATTTTTTTGACCAATATTCTACGTCTCTTACACAACTTAGACCTCCTCTCCCCCTCATCATCAGAAGACAAAGCTTCCTCTCTGTTCACTCCACCCTTCTCTTCCTCTTTCAAATGTTATCCTCTCCATCGTAATCCACGAGCTATGGCAACCCAAACTTACTTCCTTTAAACCCCACCCCTCCCTTCCTCCTATAAACCCACTCTTCCGTGGAAGCAAACCCTACCCACCACCTTCTCCTTCATTGCCATCAAACCCCTCCGATCCACCACCTTCCGTTCGCCCCTCAAAGCTGAATCTCCTGAAGATTCCGTCTCTCTTATCCAATAAATGACACCTCATCTTATAAATAAGATGTACAGGAGTGGTTGGATTCTTCCTTCATTGTTTTGTATTCAGTACGCCTTGGCCCATGTCTTAATTAATTAATTAAAAGACAATCTCACAAGATGAAAGCAGCAATATCCTTAAAGAAAGGAATAGTCGTTAAACTGAATGAGAGGGAAGAATTTAAATTAATTACAAGCTAAGCATTTTATAAACTGGGAAATTAATTACACATATATAATAGGCTTAGCTGGTAACAAAAGATCTGGGAAGGTGACTCATCATCTGAGTTGGGAGGTGAGATTAAGGAACTGGTCTTCTTTGCAAGGAAGAGAGAGGCCGCCCAGGGGATGGTGAAACCCAAACTCTTGCTCATATTGCTGAAGCAGTTCCAGAAACGTGGGATGGTTCAAGTACGATATCGGAACCACGAACCTCTTCCTCTGCAACTCTCCCACGTAAACCGTAATGTGTCCCCTCGGAACCACGTTCTTGTTTTTCGACGACGTGTCATGATTTCGACTATGAACATGATTCTGCGGCCATTTCATTATTTTCTTCGCTTGCTGAACCATAGATAGCAGACGACCACCCATTTTCTCTGATATGTAGCAGCTAGTGTAAATCTATATTTCTTGCCTTGAAGTGAAGGGTTTGGCTCAGTGGCATTGTATATTTGTAGTGAATGGTGTGAGTACAAGTTGATGAGTATGGTGGCAAAGTTCCGAGGACCCACCACGTCCAAGACGAAGTTAACCAAACCCTCCCATGGTTTTGCCTAGTTTGCTAATGTATCCTACTTGGCCTCTTCCTGATCGCTCCATACGTATTTTCCTTCTTTTGAAGACGTCGGAAACCAAAACTAAGTGCCGTACACTGAAAACGAATAAACCCATTCCACAATCATGTTTTCAAACTTCATTCTTCCAAACGAGTGTTTTACACGTTTATTTATTTAGAGGGTGATTGAGTAATGACTTATATTTTTTGTTTGATTGGAATATAAGCTTCCTTCTTCTATAAAACTTTGTTCAGTTTTATTGAGGTTGTGACTAGAAAGACACAAACAAAACAATACCAAATGTATCAGTTGAGTTCAAAGAATATATAATGAAGCAGCGAAAATTGGAGAAGCAAAATGTAGATTAAAAGGCATATAATGAAAATTCAGGCCAACTCGTTCAATTTAATGCTTAATTACTAAATTAATATCTTGAATGATTTTTAACAGAAATACTTTGTATATAACTGGTTGATCATGATTCAACATTAACTTTATTAAAAAAAAAAAAAGAAGAAGAAGAAGAACCAGTGCTTTCAGTATGATTTTTCATACGTTAAAAAATTTCATACATGGAGTCATAAATGGAAAATTGAGCAGAAAAATGAATAAGACAAAACTACAGTATGAGTAGCGCAGGATATATAGATCATAATATAAGTCATTTTTTAAAAATTTTATTTAATTTAAAATATATAATATTGAATAGGTTTTATATATATTTTTGAATTATACTTTTACCTTATTGAGTAATTAATGATAATATTTACATAAGTCAAATATTATGTTCATTGTACTTAAAGACATAATTAAAAAGATATAAAAATTTAAAAAAATCAAAATTTTAATTAACCTTTTTTTTAAATTAATTAACAATAGTTTAAATTGTGTTCAGAAAAGAGAATACTAATATTATGTCAGAAGATAAGGGGGATGGGCAATCTTGTGAAGATACTGTGGAAAGTAGTACCTCATCATTCCCTCCCTGCCAGAGATATGCAACATTGCAGCTCCAGCCAAATATTAATAATATAATAACAACTATTTCAATAATGCATGCAACCATCTATTGTCGTACTCATAATTATTACTGACTCTTATATTTTTAATTAAATTTTATTTTTAATAAAATAATTATTTATCTTATAATTAATTATATTTTTTATATTTATTTATATTTAATAAGGTGTTTTAGTTTAAAATAAATATAAAGTTATTCGATAGGGACATTTTTTAAAAAAATAATTATTATATCTTAAAAAATTAAAAATAATTTATATTTTTAAATATCTAACCTCTTAAAAACAATTTTAATGTAGGAGTACTATTTTTATCTTAAATTATAAGACAATTTTAAAATAATTCTTTTATTTTAAAATATAAAATAATTTTAAAAAATAAAATTTTATTTATACTTTTTCAATATTGCCCCTCAAATAGAGAAATAATTGAAATAATATTGTAACGTAATAATTAAGGATGTATTTAGATTAAAAAATTTACAATTGAGGTTACGATTCAACTGAAGTTAGTAAATTGATGTTAGAAGAAAAGTCAATTAATATAACGTGATTTATATTTGGATACTTTTTTTTCAATAGTTAGTTAGATAAATTAAAATTTGTTTGGATGTTTTGATTTAAAAGCCAGTTGAGATGTTTAATAATAAAAATAAACATAATTTTTTGTATATATTTTTTGACTACAAATATTAAATTTAAAATTACAACTAATAAGTAAAAAATTTATAATACTCCTTGACTATATCAAAAAAAAAAATCTTTCTCTATGCTAAAAAAATTATTTCTATATACTAAAAAATGATTTGCAAGTTTGAAGCGATAAAAAGAAGGAAGATGAAATAGTGATAAAGGTGAAGCTACAATGATGACGGTGAGTTGAGTAGCGACTTGGTCTGGCGACTAGGGACGACCATCAACTGGCGATGCCCAGCGACTAAGGATGATCAACAACAAGTGACGTCTATAGCAACAACGAACACATACTCCCAAGTGCAAGGCGAAGTAAGGAAGCCAAGAGAGACTGAGAACGGGGCAAACGAGAGTGCAAGAGAGACTAAGAGAAACTTGAACTCATTAAAGAAGAAGAAGGTTGAGGGGTAAGGGTGATTGCCACTAGTGAGCCATGAGTTTATGACCATGAGTGAGAGTGAGAGAGAGTACTCAAACTCAAAGAGGAATAAGAAGGCCAAGACCGAGGGGTGAGGCCGTAAGGGTGACTAGTATGGTAAGCTTGAACCATGCCATGAGCGACAACCGTAACTCCATGAGAGAGAGATTGAGAGTGCAACTATGCAAGGGATGGAGAGAGTAGATACTGAGATCTTAAAGTGTGACTGTGCAAGCAACACATCAACACTGACGCTAATAAGAATGCATAAGCCAGGTTTAATGGCTTTGGAGAAAAAGCTCATCCTAACGTTAACTGAAGTTGAAATATTTTGCTCATCCAAACAAATTTTTTTATCTTTTTTACATCATAACCTCAGTTAACTCATTCTAACCTTAATTAGAAACTAATCTAAACACACTCTAAATATATTTTTAAAATTTTATAATTTTATTTAAAAAAATAAATTTGTAAAGTATTATTATTGTATTTTATTGATATATATATGGTCTTATCTCAAATTAGTTTATAATTTATAATGGGGGGAGTATTAATTAATGCATCTTTGGAATTTTCTATTCAAAACTATATATTTTATTGTCATGCAACATATAAAGAGAAAAAAAAGCAGACTTTTTTAAATCGTTACCACCACATTTTTACTTCTGCTTTTTCTTTGGCCAATCAGTCACCTTACGCGAAAGTAACCAGTATATATTTCTTGGTGGCGGCAATACGTTTGTTTGAAATTGAATTAATGTAAAGCACTAAGGTAATGATTTTTTTTTTTTGCCTTAATAAGATTATATTACCTTTTTTGTTCAAAATAAAAAAGAATGGAAAATAAAACAATAAAAGGGAAGGAGGTGCTTGATCATGATGAATCAAAACAGAACATGCATGTATATTTGTTTTGTCATCTTACACAATAGGATAGCAGAGTGATATATAATAGCTATATTTCCAGCTTGGCAGCCTCTTATTTATTAGGCTTAGCCCGCTGTTTATCACCTTTTCTCCATCAAATAGTATTGTTTTGGAATTTCCGATATTCTTTAAAGCAATAAACAATAAAAAATTCGACTTTCACTCAAAATCGAGCTAACCAGTATGACAAACTATATTATTAATATTTAAATTAAAATTGTTAAGGCATAAAGCGTACTTGTTATTAATAATTACATTTTTAATTATTTTTGTAGAAGATTAAAAATATAATTTCATAAAAATTATCAAATAAGTCCCTATAGATTTCATATTAATTATCCTATTTTATGATACTATAATATTATATTTTATTATTTGCCTATGTTAATGAAATTTATTATATGGTATGAAAATTCGGGTCACTTATCTAGTTAAATAAATGTATTAACCTATTTAATAAAATGTTTGGTTTATTAATGGTTTGATCACTTTTCAATTACCGTTTTATCCATTAACTTTTAAATTAAAATAATGATTAGTTTAATGATTGACTTGACTTCAATATCTTTTTTTCATTTCCCCCAATTTAGCATGAACCAATTGAATGTATATATGTTTGCTTGGCCCAAAGGGTGTCTGTTTTGTGGAGGCCCAATATCAATAGCATAGCACCCCTCTGATCCCCACACTAAAGGAGACCCTGTTTGTTAAATTATGAACACCTTGACACTCGAGAGAATGTCCATCTGCACCCCGTGTTTGTGCATGGCAATCTTAATGTTTCACTTTATTAATTGTCAAAGTAAACAAATGCATTTACTTTGATTTTAACTCAAGATTTCATTCTCATGATATCTCCAACAAAAAAAAAAATACCAAATCGCTCAAACCTAGAGTTCTCTATTTTTTTTTCTCCTTTCTTATTTTAACATAGGATAAAGCTCTATCCTTAAAATTAAGTAATTAAGTCAAGAAGGAGCTTTTGAGTGTAATACAAGAAGAACGATGCATGTGCCATGAATTGAATATTAATAAAATTCTTCTAAAAATTGGAATTATGTATTATTTGTCTGACATTAAATATTATCTATTACTGCTATTGTTATTGCTTTTTAATGGTCAACTAACCCACTTTTTTAATAAAAAAAAAGAGGGTTTCTAGCAAAAAACATTTTACAACATAAAAAATTTATTTTTAGATTTCGCATCTAATTGAATTGTAGAAATATAATATGATAATCTTCTCCATGAATTTTTAGAAAAAAAATTGTCATGTTAGATTCACATTGTAAGGGTGTTTTAAATTAGGACTTAAGTCATCACATTAATCATAGTTAATCAAGGATTAATCCAAAATAATTATCCTATAAGAGACTAACCTAAACAAGTCATTAATATGTATTTTCACAAACTATTTAAAGTAAAGGGATCTCAAATCTTTAAGATAATTCAAGACCTCAAATCATTCAATTAAACTTGTATAAAAGCATGAGATTAATTAAGTATTAAAAAAGACATTTCAATATGAGAGAAAAACATCCCCCCTCATTTCCTCTCTATGTTCTACACCACGTAGTGTATATATATTCACCAATATAACACATATATTTACTAATATAATACTTGTCTGCTCAAATCTATTCATAATTGACAGTGGGGGGTTAAGGTCTCAATCACATTTATCACAATGATTATCATCTAGTCATCATACTCCATGCATATCATATATTCATCAATAGCTCATTACATGCATAAATTTTCCTTTTCATATATTTATAGTTA